AAGTGTAAAAGAAAGTCTAGCTATTAAACGTTCAAATATAAGTTATTTTGACATAAATTGCAATAATTCTTTGTTAGGATTGTCATAAAAATTAGCGGCCCATTAGCAATTTCCATTTCCACATCTATAAGGATGTACGGGTTCATCCATTACCGTCAAAACTCTAAGCCTACTTGTACTTGATGAAAATCAATGGCTTCTTTTAGAGTAACATAGAAAATGATTTTCAAAGCATTAGTAAAGATAGTGGGTTATGCTAGCATTACATAAATTAGCCTTATTTGAACAAAACCTTCCATATTTTAAAGAAGTCATGAGTTACAGGATTGCACCATTAAATCAAATACCTCGGATTCTGAGATAATCTATAGATGATTGCCAGAGCATGTTATTGGGATATTTTACTGGATTTGAAAAAAGCAACTTTTCATTTAATTTTCCAAGGTGTGTTCACTTTGCCCTATGCTGGTTATATGTAAGAATATTTTCCCTTACAAAAAATTTCTCAGAAACTTGGAAAAATAAATAGCATTAAAAGTGCAGCCAATAAAGTGATCCTCAATTAGGCGATAGCTAAGCCTACTTCTAATTGTTACTTTGTAATTGGCAAAATATGAAAGAAATTCCACTTTAAATATTCATGATAAGTAATCAACTTAAAAGAATGAATGTGTATATTTTGATAATCTTTATAATAGGTAACTCATAAGCAAAATGTATAAATAAGCTTGTGATTTATAATTCTGTACAATAGTTTTTATTTATACAAGAGCTGTAACAAACACAATAGTAAAAACATTATTATTCCCATAGGATATTTATGATGGCTTCTATTTTGTATGTTATTTATCAACATGTATGCAGATACAATCGTGATTTTGTTTTTTAGTTATTTCTTTAAATTATATGAGAAATACAAAATAAGCTTTTTCTTGCAATTTGGACAGGAAGCATTTTTCTCCAATTTTGAAAAACGCCGTATGCAATGCTCATATATCTCTATGTATTTCACACTTGAGTGGGTTTCGGGTAGATATCACCCGGGAATATATATCATATCTGAGGAGCGGGCAGGATATATTGTATATGTCCCGCTCTAGGCCAAATGCGGGCAGATATAATATATCCATCCCGCTCCCGGGAATTTTTTCAAAAGTTTAAAAAAGTTTAAAAATTTCAAAAATTTAAATTTCAGAAGTTTAAAATTTTTCAAAAAGTTTAAATGTTACAATTCTATTGATTGAACTGAAGGAATATTATGAAAATGTTAAATATAAATTGTGCTTTTACAGTATAGGCCTATCTTGTCATTTGAAAAAGGTGGTAAAGGTTATATCTACCCCAAACCCACTCAAGTATGAGATACCCCAGTTATGTACGGTCGGTTTTGGATACAGTGTTTATCCCGCGGGAAATATGTGTATCTCCCTCGGTCCCTGCGGTCCCTCGTGAGATACACATATTTCCCTTGGGATAAACCCTGTATCCAAAACCTCCCAGTACATAACCCTTATATAGAATATGGGAAGTTGCATAACCTTCTCTTGAAGGGCCATGATATTATTAAGTTCTGGATGAAATTGACTTTCCAATGAACCCTGCCAACTTTTGCTACACCAAAGAAACTAGTATATACTGCAAGGAGGATTGGTTCCCAGAATGCAATCTCGATATTTTCTAACAATGAATCCAATCTTGAAGGATCTCATGATTATAAAATTCAAAATCAAACAGCAGCCATTTTTTCAATTCAGAATTTGTATTGCAAGTTTTGTTCTTATTGTTCTACAAAAAAATGTCAAGAAGACAAGAAGTGATCAAGACATTGGTTTAAATCTTATGGATCACTGATTATAAATAAGGACATTTTCAATGTTGATATCGATCAAGGTCAAGCCAATCCTCCTTGGATGGCAGATTCACGATGTCATAGGTTGTAACTAGCTTAAATCCTAAAAATGTTTTACACAATATAGAATTAGCAATAAGTTAATCCTATTTTGGCTTAAAAATAATATTCTCCAAAAGGTTTTTTATAGTTTAAGGCCTCTGATAAGGCTATATTCAGACCCTATCGCTTATGTAATTTCAAGCACCATTTAATATTCTATAGTGATTCCATATTCCCCATTTATATGAGACATGCTTCAAAGTATCATGCAATCCATAGGGAAATCTAGCCAATTTTAAGGGGTTAATAGATAATATAATTGTCATCTTGCTTCCTTTGTAATATGTCATGCATTTTAATTAACTTTACTTGGGCACCTGGGTATAAGTGACATTTTCATTTTTAAGAATATGTCAACAATATGTATGCAGTTGAGGCATTTCAAGAAAGGAAGGAACGGGGATGTTTGTGGGGGGAAACTGGCAGAAAGTTAATTAAACCTTGTAAAACCTGAGTTAGTGAACACATCTCTCTAGTAACATTGGATCAGATATAAGATTTCCTGCGGATTTTCTGCAACTGTCTTATCAGAGTTGAGCAGTTAATGTTAATATTACCTGCGAAAAATAATCAAAAGGTAAATTTGGGATGTGACTAATTATAATTCTTATGCTTTAATTATAATTAATTATAATGCTTTGTTTTTGTAATACAGGAAAAGTGTCTAGCCTTGATTGCTTTAAAGATAATCTGGTCTACTATTATTACCTCTATCTGTTAAGTCCCAACTTAATCTTTTTCTCATCCCCATCAATTTAAAAAAACAGATTGAAAGAAAAACATAATGACCACCCTTAACTCTGCCATGTCCTTTAATTAATTCAATTACATCTTTTAACAGGGTGAAATGTGTCAAAGATTCAACTATTTAAAGGATCATCTTGATGAGATTATAAAGGATTAAAAGAGATTGAAATTTGACAAGAAAAGGATGAACCATTCAGATGACAGTCAGTCTAAAATAAGTCAATTTATATAACCACGCGGTCCTAACTTCGACCGTTAATTGAATTTTTGACCTACCAGATGCTTGAAAATTAAGGATTGCGAGTCTCATACTGCACCGTTTTTCTTCAAACCTATACCATTAAAATCAAAACAAAATTGTCTTTCTGTCGGTGCATTGCTTTATTGTAAAGAGTCCCTCGTTCTAGCAGCATTTTGGTCCCAAGCTGTTAGAAGGCCTTCTACCAGCTGGGGACCAAAATGCCGCTGGAAGTAGGGACTCTGTTTAAGAGAATAATGTACCATCAGAAAGGGATTTTTGTTATGCTTTGAATGGAACAAGTTTGAAGAAAATCGGTGGATGGATTGTTTTTTGAAGAATAGTTTTTCACCAATTGCATCTACTTTCTAATTCCCTTGAGAATGAAATGGTAGTTACAGCACTTAATGCATCTTTATTTGAAAAAGACACTACGTGGAATGTTGCAATTATTTTCTGTTAACATAAACATTTAGATCTATTACATCTATGCAGTGTCTCTAGGATATTGAATTTCATCAGGTACTGCAGAGATAAGGCTTTGGGTTTATTAGCTAGGCGTTGTCTATAAAGCATGCTGTTATACCCTAATTATAAGGGAAATAATACCAGATTTCATCTCCATGAATTGTATCGGTACATGCAATTCCCTAATTCGTAGGAAATCAGACAAGCCCTTTACCAACATAAAAGTGCTTCAATTCACCTACACAAAAATACAGTATTGTTTTTATAAACACTGATTATTTTTTGTTTGTTTGGATCATCACAATGTAAAAGATATTTAAAAAAGACAGTACAAATCTGGAGGAATTAGATCTACACTTTATAGGGGATATAAGAGCTATGTACTGTTAGTTTTTGGATACAGAATTTATCCCAAAGGAAATGGATGTCTCCTGAGGGACCACAACGATCAAGGGAGATACAGTTCTCATATTTTCCAAGGGATAAACCCTGTATCCAAAACTAGCTGTACTTACGCACAAAGGAAATGCATCCAGTACTTACAGAGTACAATCTACCTTCTAAGGTCCCTTTTAAAAATGGATTTTTAAATATTAATTAAACTTTAGATAATTCTTTTCAAAGACCAATTTCTTAAAAAATATTTTAAAGTAACTTTTTAAAACAATTAAAATGTTTATATTTTCAGTTTTAAAATCAATATTAAAAAATACATTTTTAAAATCTTACGAAATGGGACCAGGATGGGTACAGAGGTTATTTACTGAGAGGGACTGAATATGGGTTTTATTCCGAGGGAAAATATGGTATTTACAAGGGACAATATTATTCTAAGGAACAATGTGATATTTATGAATAAACTCAATCCCAACCAGTGTATAAGCTTTTCATCCCATGATATTCATGACACCCACTTCATGAAATTATTAGTTCAGAATCCATATCTGATTTTAGTATGAAACAAAACCAGACTATATCTCTACTGAAATGAAATATGACTTAACTTTATGACATCTTGAAATATGAAAACTCTATTGAATAACATAAACGCATCATCAAATTCAATGTTGCACTTTCATTAGCAGCCCACAGGGATCAAATACATTAGCTTATTGCTCAGATGTCTGTGACTTTGACTGTCTGTGTCAGAGCATGATGATGAAATTATACTTAGCCTGTGTTTAATAGGCTTACATGGCTTCACACTATTTACATTGAAAATCTCTATTTTCAACTGTTTGGAAAATATCGCAACATCGAACCAAATGAACAAAACGGGAAGCATTGTTCGGCATAAAGTCCCGGGAGGTGAATATTATTGCAAGAGGGATTGGCCAATGTTAACCAATTTCGTGATAAATTAGGAAGGTCAATATGATTTTTTTTTCAATTTCAAAAACATTCCCTGTTGTTATTCAATGGGAAGTAGTACTATCATGGGATAAATAGAGGATATCCTATGATTTTTGAGGGATACCATTTTTATCCATGAGTGGATATTGCTCATCTCCATGAGTGAGCCACAAAGTAAATATTCCATATGTGGGATTGTATGTACTGTATGAATGGAATTAGAACAAAACAAATATTATGATGGCACTTTGATTAAATTGTGTTATTTAGTTTCAACATTCCATGGGGGCCATCTTACATCATTAATTTTCATTTTCTTATTGCTTAAATTAGGAGTTACACTCTCATTCTTATCTATATAAACCAAATGTTCTTTATCGTCTTTTATTGATTTAGCATCAGGATTTTGTTCTTCAATAGAAGATTCATTAGCTTTGGCACTGGTTCTTTCCCTAGAGTCTGAATTGAGTTTCAGTGTTTTTGCATCCTGAATTACAGTTTCAGCTGTGGTATCTATTGCAATGTCATTTGAAGCTGTATGCTCAAAGAACTGCCATCTTTTTTGAGTTGTGAAGATCTGCAAGTCAAGTCTGTCCACTTGCCAACTGAAATGATTTGATCATAAATTAGTTCTCTTATAGATCAGTGGTGTTGACTAAGATTATGTGGAGAGAGAGAAACCCTAAACTCACTTTATAAAAGATTGTATTGAACTTGATTGACACAGACTTTTATTTCAACCCCTTATTGCCAAATATAGAAATAATGTACTGCCTTTTATGTTTGCTTCAGTCAAGCAAGATGATTGTGTTTTTATTGCTAATACATTGTTTGCGAAAAAAAACGCCCCTCTGTAAATATTTTTCCCAACCTTGTGTTTTTCACCTGTTTATATAATGTTGAAATAAATAATGTACATTATAATATCAATGTCACTCTCTTATTGGTCTGTACCATACATGTGACCAAACATAAGAAGACATATTCATCAGTTAAGCACTGTGACGTCAGTAAAAATGTGTATTCAATGAGCGTATTCACCAGCTGTGGCATTTTTTCGTCCAGTGGAAATCTAAAATCAGTCACATAATAATGCGAAAAAGGGCCACATGAAAGTAATTCATTCTTGTTTTTTAAGACATTAATAAGAGAGTGGGGAATATAACAGCGAATACTAAAACAAATGTTTCATACTATTTTAGTTCAATACCTGATGCACTTTCAATGATTCTGCAAGGTGTATTCCTTGCTAAAATCTTGCTAGAATCATTGAAAGATGAACAGGTGTTCACCTCAATAGTATGAAATATTTGAATCATATGATTATCAAACATGGTTGCAATAAAGAAATATGTATACAGGGTGGGCCAAAAAACAATACCCAAATTTAAAGATGAATGATTCATATGATATATGTTAAACCATTCTATGTACCATATATCATTTTGAAGATAAATCATTTCCTAACAATATGACAGCATCCAATTGAACTTTTGTTTCCTTGTGAAGATAGAGGCTTAAATTGACACTAGGAGTATCAAGAGTGACCAAAAATTAGAAAATGAAAATTCAAAAAATGTACACCCGTATCGTAGTCACAGCTGCTCTCAATATGCTTGACCGAATCCTAGTTCATGCTGTTGACTTAAAATACAAATTGGGAATCTAGACTGAGGCAATAACAAACCATACATTGTACTGTTTTATTACTCACACGGTACTAACTTCGACCATTAATTTGAATTTTTGACCTACCGGATGTTTGAAAATCAAGGATTGCGAGTCTCATACAGCACCGTTTTTCTTCAAACTTATACCATTAAAAGCAAAACAAAATTGCCTTTCTGTCGGTGCATTACTTTATTGTAAAGAGTTCCTCGTTCTAGCAGGGTTTTGGTCCCCAGCTGTTAGAAGGCCTTCTTACAGCTGGGGACCAAAATGCCGCTGGAAGAAGGGACTCTGTTTAGAAGAATAATGTACCAACAGAAAGGGATTTTTGTATTGCTTTGAATGAAACAAGTTTGAAGAAAAACGGTGCACTATGAGACTCGTAATCCTTGATTTTCAAACATCCAGTAGGTCAAAAATTCAAATTTACGGTCGAAGTTATATGTTACTGTAAAAATTGGAATGGTTTTGTCTTTTTGAAGTTTTAAAGATGTATACAGTGATTGGGAAAACATTAAAAGTTTTGACTTACTCATCTCCAGCGTCTTTCCTACTGGCAAACACAAATAACGTTCCCTTGTTCTTGGGTCCCTTTACTGGAACAGCCAGCTGAAAAAAACAAATTAGTTAATCAATACTGAAATAATCCTTGTATCACTCTGGTGTCATGAAACCTAGTGTTCAGCCAAAACATTTAGAAATTGGCCAAGGTAAATAAATGAAGGGTTGAATAAATCATTGTATTATTTGTCTTGCTGTTCGGTAGGATAGAAAGCATTTGTACAAATAATTATTGAACAGTCCTAAGACATACATGTACCTTTGCCTTACACACATCAGCAAAGTTATGTTCTATATCTGTGAGATCTAGCCTTGTTGATCTGATAGGTTCTCCGAGAGCCTCTACAGCTGGCTTATACTTGCGTAGCAATGATGTCCCCTCTCTGTAATAGTCTGTACCTCTGAACTTTTCTGAAATAACATATACACTACACTCAGACAAACTGGTTTCCATCACCACCTTCAAATCAAGAACAACACTACAACATAGTATAACAAAACGGAGCACAAGTACACACCCCAAAAGAATGACAACAAGAAGACCAGTTTACAAGTCTGAGCTTTGAGGGTCATACTTCAAACTTCGCCCATAGATGTTAGCCAGATCGTTTTGCAGTAGGATCTCATGGGCTCAAAGAATAATTCTGAAGATGAGACATCAAATTGGGAAATTTCAAAAAAAGTGACCACCTTTCAAAACGTTCCTTATACAAAATGGTACCTGCTTCCATATGACAGATTTTGCACTTAATTTATAAGCTGAGATCTTCATCTTTCTATTTCTACTTGTTTGGTTCGATTAAATAACGCAGTAATTTGACTTTTGATATGGCAAATATTTTTCACTTGATCCGGGCTCTTGTGTGTCCAAATCTCATTTTAATTCTGGTGTCACATTTCTGGAATCACAGGAGCACCATTCATATTTGGACAGACAAGAGCCCAGTGATAAAATATTAGTGTTTTGGCCTCTTATCAACGCAGTATTGCTTGAATAACATTCATTAGTGATAAAAAGGTTAAAGAATAATAAGGCGCTTCGAATGAGGTATGATTTGTCTCATATTTTTAGAAATGGCTGCACAATCGTCATTTTAAAATTTCGAAAACTTTTTTGGGGTCTCATCTTGAGGAATATTTATTGAGCTACTGATTCTTCTAAAGTCGGTTACACTGCTTCAAAGGCAAGCAGTTAAACATGAAATATAGGAAATCTAAATAATATTGTGCAAAAATATATAGAAAAATATATTCATATTGCACACGAATGACATTTGTATATGTTGGATTGCTTGTAAATTGGCTCATAAAGTCTGTAACCTCTTATAGTTTGATGCTTCTCTACCATGTTAATTCTCAAAAAATAACATGGCGGACAGACCTCAAATTACAAGAGAGCACAGGCTTATTGCACTAAACACTAAATAATCTGAAAAATATACAAATGTTTTTCGTGTGCAATATCATGGGCTTTCAACTAAAAATCTAATTGAAAGCCCATGGCAATATGAATATATTTTTTTTATATATTATGGCACAATGGTCTATACATTTCTTAATTTTCAGGTTCAACTGCTTGCCTTTGAAGCAGTGTAACAGACTGTACAAACGAATCTGGCTGGGATCTTTGACTTCGCCTTTCAAATTTTCTCTGAGAAATATAAATCCCAAATGAGGATGAGTTTTATCCGATAAAGATAAAATGAACTTAGCAACAGTCTAAAAGACAGAGTATTCAACGATGATGATTATGCACCAATATGTTGTTGTTGTTGTAAATAAAATATCTATTATCACCCATCAATTCTATTTTTTCAAAATCAACTTGGAATAAATATGTTTAAAAATCCATACGCTGTATGCCGTTCACAAAATATAATGCACCAAAACTGGCTGCCATTCCGCCAAATATTGCAATTTTCGCTAGCATCTTCTCGTTTAACAGGTTCAAATTTGCACTTTAGAAAAAAGAAATAATTTTTTCCATTTTGCTCAGTCTCGTGACCTACTTTTAGGCACTCGCGAGATCAAATAATTGAAATCCATTTATTTACAATAATAGGGGATACTGTTATCAATTGTTGGATTAGAAATGTTGAAGGTCATATGAATGTTCATGGTGAATACATTTTGAGACTCCAGTAAGATTACTAGGAGAAATAATACAATTTGTACGACCAATAAATCATGTGACCACGAGACTTAAAAATATTCAAGATGGAATCTTGAAAGTAGGAGTTTCTTCCACCTTTTAGCTAATATCCTTGCACCCTAGGTTAATACTGCACGATGGCACAGCTGAAGCAAAAGTTTAAGTCCTTGCAAAACCTTATACAGAAACAGGTTAGTGGCCATATGTCATTTCAGAGTGCTAATCAATATTTTGTAAACTGAGTATGAGTTTTTCAATGATGATTCTTGAATTTCTGCCAATCAGTGATGATTTGTTCATTATTTTCGATCTGAATAAACTTATAAACAACATAGGGGAAGAACCAGTTGACAAAATATCCTGCTAGTACCTTTGCATGCGTTTGACTTCACTTCTTCGTCTTCACTCTTTCAAACTAAAATAAACCTGTGAATTCACTGCGCCAATCAGTGTTCGTCGGCCAAATTTGACCGATGTTCTATATATGGTCATTCCTTCTGACGTCATCGTTGAGCCCAGAATTGACCAATGACATGTGCATATTTATTAGAACGCATTTGGCGTGTTTCTTCAAGCTCGCTGATTGGTGGAAGAAAGGTCACCACGTAGGTCAGAAGTGATTTACTACCCAAACTGTCACCGGTACCTGCCGTGGGGGCGGGGCTACTAAACTGTAATATGGTCTCTACTAGGCAGATTGTAGTTTTAAACTAGACTCTGCATGCAGGGTAGCTAGTACAGTTTGGGCAATAGAGAATTCAAAGTGTCTGGAACCTTAAATTTTAAGGCCCTTTAGCCATAAGGCTATATAGCAAAGAATATAGTATTTTGGCTAGAGGGCCTTAGTGTTTATAATCAGTGTTTATATTGTTTTTAACGATGCATGTACATGTATTTACAGCAGTCTCTTATAGTTTCTCGACCGAAAATGTCACTTAAAAAATATTACACATATTAAATATATGCTTGTATTTGCAAAATTTTCAGAGTTGTTCTTGCCAAACCGCCCTGGTCTAGTGGTTAATGCATTTGCCAAACATGATTAATTCTATTTTTATAGAGATTCTTTGGCTTTATTGATAAGATATTATCTATGCTTACTGGAATAAATCATGTGGATTGGTTTTTGGTTTTGCTTGAGTCTCAAGCTTACAGCATAAAGGGAATCCCGTTTGAAGGTGGCAAATAGTCGGGCAAAAAGTATGATAAACCCTTTCACAACGATAGGCTCCATAGGCTCGGAGCAGAAACAGGAAACAAAAATCTTGACCCTAGACATCGAAACTTGCCAGAGAATACTGAGAGCAGAAACCAAGAACTAAGGAAGCAAAGTGTCATACTTAATGGAGAAGCATCGTCATGGAAGGACGTCATTTCTGGAATCCCACAGGGGACAGTCCTGGGTCCTGTGATGTTTCTCATCTTTGTAAATGATATCCTCCAGTATGTTAACAGCCCTCTGATAATGTTTGCGGATGACACAAAGTTATATCGGGAAGTGAACAACACAGATGATTGTAATGAGCTCCAAGAAGATATTCAATCCTTAATGAATTGGACAAATGACTGGCAATTACAATTCAACAGCAAAAAGTGTAAGGTCTTAAGAATTGGTAGATCTTCTCCAGATTACAGTTATACCATGGGTGATACAATTCTTCAGGAATCTGAATCTGAGTGTGAAAAAGACTTGGGACTAATGGTGTCGAGGGACCTAAAGAACAATACACACATACAAATGGTGGTAAAAAAGGCCAACCAAATCCTCGGTCTGATGGTCACCATATTTAATCCAGGACATTGAGGCTGTTGAAGCTGTTCAAAGAAGGGCAACCAGATGCATACCAGGATTCCAAGACAAAGAATACTCTCAAAGACTTAAGGATCTAAAGCTACCAACACTTGTGTTCAGGCCCCTGAGTGGTGATGTGATTGAAACTTGGAAAATCCTAAATGAACAACATGACCTCCCAATTAGTAATATACTACCCCTCTCACACAACCTAGGAAGGACCCGAGGCAACAATAAGAGGATTCTGAAGAATCAAAGCAGATTAATTCTGAGAAGAGGATTCTTTACCCAAAGGGTTGTTAACACTTAGAACTCCCTCCCTCAAGAAGTAGTGGAAGCTGACAATCTAAACCACTTTAAAAACAAGCTAGACGGACTATGGAGTGACCACCCAGCCAAGTACAACTACAGAACCCTGAAGTAGATCCAAGTCAATCATTTGGGTTCAATGCTAAACTTTATGCTCATTTTTACTCTCTTAAGAACGGCCACAGGTCAATACGACCTAAGCAGTGATAACTATAACTATATGGAGCCCTATTATGTAATACCTTTCAGTACAGCTTCTTTTGGCACCATTATTTCTATTTATATATATCAATGAAATTACAATATCTCCAGTTCTATTCAGTATTTTTACATCAAATTTTCCCATAGGGAAAACTCATGCGATCCATTGCTCTCAGCTTAATTTTGGTCACCCATAATGGATATCTTTAAACCCCTGAAGGAATTGCTTATTTTTTGTTATAGCCGGATTCACAAAAGGCAACAAAGTCTCCTGAGTTAGAAGTGAATGTCACATCAGCTGAGTTAACAGCAGAAGCTGTCGTAGTAAAGGTATGTAGTAATGTACCAGAACATAGAGTTTTGTTTCATATAGATTAAAAATACCATTCTCCTTTCACATATTTATTTTTGTCTGTTAGTCTGTCAACATTAGTGGCATGTTTTAAAACCTCTGTTGATACTCAATAGGATTCCTGTTTTAAGTTATTGTGGATGATCATGGTGGTTGGTGTGCAGTAAGTGTTCAGCATTCAGTTTTGTGACAAATGGCAGGTGACATTTTGCATGTTAATGCCTTTTTTTGTAGTTTGGAGAGCAATAAGAAATAATTTTTGTTTCTGACTTCTAAAATGTAAATCATTTCTCAAAATCAAAACCTAATACTCTCCTTACTCCAAATATCTTCCTCTGCAGTTTTTGATGATACAAATCATTGAGAATTGATACATTCTGAATATGTTACTGCTAGTATGCAATGTTATTTAAGTGTTAAGTGTAGTCTTATAGTCACACTGACTCTGAATCTTATCTTATTGTACCTCTCATATCTTGTAAAACAATACTCAGGATGAGATAATTCTATCTTGAAACAATCCTTGGAGTGTAAATGTATTGAACATAAGTTAACCTTCTTGTCGTGAACACCGTGAGAAAAATAGAGAGCATGTTGAAAGTTTTTATGTATTTTTTCGTTATCATTAAAGCATGGTTTACACACGCAATTTACTTAGTTTAATATGAACTTATGAAGTGATTTACTTAGTTTAATATGAACTCTGAAGTGATTTACTTAGTTAAATATGAACTTATGAAGTGATAGGTACTGTTCAATGTTATTTATTACAGATATTTTGTCTTGAATTCTGAAGGTCATAGTATTCTCATTTATTTAAAGATTTCATGAATTGATATTAATGGTAAAATTATTTATTATAGGGAAAATTCATGAAGTTGTCCTGTATTGCTATTGCTATGCTCCAAAAATATGATCCTTAGATTCCATATGTGTTGTACTCTTTGGGAAGAAGCCCCAATATAAATCCCTCAGTTACATGTTAATAACTTAAAGTCTGTTATATTCTTCAGGAAAAAGCCCCTGTGTATGATCCCCAGGTTGACCAGGAGATACTTGACAGCATAGAGAAAGATTACTTTGATAGCCAACAATTTGATGCTAGTCTCTTTGAATTAGAGGTAACAGTTTTTTTACAGTGGGATTCCTTTAATGTGAAAATCACCACACCTTTCTTCTGGGTAATTTAGTTTGACCTTTAAAAATTGGGTCAAAAGGGTAAAAAATGTCAGGAAATTTTGAAACTGTTGATGTGTCGGGGAAACTATAGGGAATTTTGTTTTTAAAAATGTGTAGGAACACTGCCTAGGAGTCAGCTCCACAAATCTTTATCAAGTTCTGAACTTTGAACAAGTTCTGAGTATTTAGGAAAAGGAATCTGACAGAGATATTTGAGCTTTATGTACCATGTCAAATGAACTTTTCAGAAACTTCCAGAGGTAGGAGAGTCCTTGGAACTAGGGCAGATAGACAGTGACAGGCAGAGGTTGAGAGGACAGCTGCAAGCTGTAAGTGGAAACTTGTTTGCTTTTCAAAGACCACCAACAAAAATAACTCAATATCAAAAATAAATAAAAATGCCAGGGCTTACTTATTTTGAAGCAAAACTTTGACTATGGGATCATATTTTTATGTATAAAATAGAATTTAGACAGTGCAGTCTAGAGCATCTTACTGTTCTTACACTTTCAATATATTTTTACATTTCCAAATGAAATTGTAGGTTTCCAAGAAAGTGTCTGATTTAGTGCTCCAGAACCATTCAGCATTTGTAGATGAGTTGCATCGTGTTATAGACCTACAGGAGTCATTACAAACTGCAACAGTGGTCTGCAAGAATGGCAGAAGGTAATATAGCAGATGGATGGGACTTACATAATCTGTGTTACATCGTTTACAATGGGCTACTTACCTCAGATAACTTTGTCAAATATTTCAGAATTTTGACATAAATCATGCAAATGTTCTGTATTTGGAATCATATTTTTTGCTTTTGTAGACAATTGTCCAGTGCCAAGGAAAGATTCACTACTGCAAGCTTGGGTTTGCTTGCGAATTACAAGAAAAGACAAAAGTTGGTTGGTCTCCTCAATTCTATGAGCACAATAAAAACATTGGTGGGTGCATAGATAAATTAACAAATGTACTAGAAAAATGTATTTGTGATACATCATACAACAATGCACTTCATAATTATTGGTTCACTTCATACAATAATGTTTTTATAACAGTGTGCTCGTTATACATGTTGTAAATTGATTAAGAGTTGACTGAACTGTAGACTAATCTACTTGGGTGTTTTATGTTCTAGCAAAGGACAGACATTAGACTTAGGGAAATGCTGGAAGAGGAAGACTACCCAGGAGCTATTCAACTCTGCCTGGAGTGCCAGAAGGCTGCTAGTACATTCAGGCACTATAAATGTATCAGGTTAGACATAACAGATTGAATTTGCTCAGTTTCATTGGTTCTTGCTCATTTCACTATGAGCCTATATGTGGAGGTTCTCAAATCAGCAGTCACATTCAAATTAGGGGCCAGTATTTATGGAACAACCTCTTCACAAGCTTAATGATAAAATAGATTGATTGCATTGTTTAAATTGCTTCATTACATATATCTGACATCACAGGCATCCATTTCCTTGAGTAACTTATATAAAAGGCATGAAAATACACCATTTAAATGTTAAATATGATGGCACTCAAACTAGACATTGTCAATCAATTACTTATGTTGTTCTTTAGTGAGCTGAGCTCCAAGCTAGACATTGTCAATCAATTATTTATGTTGTGCTTTATTGAGCTGAGCTCCAAGCTAGACATTGTCAATCAATTACTTATGTTGTTCTTTAGTGAGCTGAGCTCCAAGCTAGACATTGTCAATCAATTATTTATGTTGTGCTTTATTGAGCTGAGCTCCAAGCTAGACATTGTCAATCAATTACTTATGTTGTGCTTTATTGAGCTGAGCTCCAAGCTAGACATTGTCAATCAATTACTTATGTTGTTCTTTAGTGAGCTGAGCTCTAAGCTAGACATTGTCAATCAATTATTTATGTTGTGCTTTAGTGAGCTGAGCTCCAAGCTAGACATTGTCAATCAATTACTTATGTTGTGCTTTAGTGAGCTGAGCTCCAAGCTAGACATTGTCAATCAATTACTTATTTTGTGCTTTATTGAGCTGAGCTCCAAGCTAGACATTGTCAATCAATTACTTATGTTGTGCTTTACTGAGCTGAGCTCCAAGCTAGACATTGTCAATCAATTACTTATGTTGTGCTTTAGTGAGCTGAGCTCCAAGCTAGACATTGTCAATCAATTACTTATGTTGTGCTTTAGTGAGCTGAGCTCCAAGCTAGACATTGTCAATCAATTACCTATGTTGTGCTTTATTGAGCTGAGCTCCAAGCTAGACATTTTCAATCAATTACTTATTTTGTGCTTTATTGAGCTGAGCTCCAAGCTAGACATTGTCAATCAATTACTTATGTTGTGCTTTATTGAGCTGAGCTCCAAGCTAGACATTGTCAATCAATTACTTATGTTGTGCTTTAGTGAGCTGAGCTCCAAGCTAGACATTGTCAATCAATTACCTATGTTGTGCTTTATTGAGCTGAGCTCCAAGCTAGACATTGTCAATCAATTACTTATGTTGTTCTTTAGTGAGCTGAGCTCCAAGCTAGACATTGTCAATCAATTACTTATGTTGTGCTTTATTGAGCTGAGCTCCAAGCTAGACATTGTCAATCAATTACTTATGTTGTGCTTTATTGAGCTGAGCTCCAAGCTAGACATTGTCAATCAATTACTTATGTTGTGCTTTAGTGAGCTGAGCTCCAAGCTACAAGATACACTGGAGATGATAGAGGAACAACTAGATGTTGCCTTATCAAAGACTTGTGGCAACTTTGACATGAAGTATTACGACAAAGTGCAGACTGCTTATAGGTTACTGGGGAAAACACAGGTTTGTGGATTCTATTAAAATAGTTGCTCAAAATAATTTGACTCACTCCTGATGTAAAGTAAGTAGAAAGCACATCTATGGTTTTAGTACTTTAAGATAACAATGTACTCACAGTATTTTTTATATTGTTAGCTGCTTACGATCCAACTTTGGATTATCCCATAAATTAATCATTGGTTTTCAAGTTAAATCATGATAACCATCGTTGATATCTTAAAATTATGTTTTTAGACTGCTATGGACCAGTTACACATGCACTTCACCAGTGCAGTGCACAATACAGCATTCACCATTGTGCTTGGCTATGTGGAGCTAACTGCTGCAACATCAGGGAGCAACTTCCAGAAACGACAGTATAATGATCTTTGTAAAGTGAGTTTAAGATTATGATTAATCCAGCATTAATTCCATGCATATGATTCTCAATGTAAATATTCTTTTATTAAACGAGTATCATAGTTTTGTAATCAAATAACAATAACATAAATTATGAGTAAATGTTAACTTGCATAAATCTTTTTCAAACAGTAATGAATAATTCTAGAAGCGTTTGTGTCCACTGAATTACATAAAATTTGAAAGTGTAGTTATTGTTTCCAAATTCATTGTATTGCAGAATGTTACGCCAGAGACATTCACTTCCTGTTTGATAGACCTGTGCAAGGCATTATGGGAAGTGATGAAGAGCTATCACCAGACGATGGAGTGGCATGAACAAAAAGACAAGTCATTAGAAGAGTCGGGTATGAGTATAAGATTTCAATCGCTTTATTCCAATTCTGAAAGAACTAACCTAATTTCTTGAATTATCTTTCTATTTTATACAGAGATAGGACAAACTTGCTGCTTTGCACTTAAGTCATGATTGTCTTAAAGAGATTTACCTACTCCTGGATAAAAATGTGAATCTTTATTTTCTAGGCTCTGGGAGCACCAATGTAGATGCACATTTTACAAGGCGCTATGTGAAGCAGAAATTGGAGCATGGTTTATCCAGGATCTGGGGAGATGTCCAGCAGAAAGTGAAGACGTACATCCTCAGTACAGATCTCTCCTATTTCAAATTTGATGAGTTTATTGATGTTCTAGACATCATCAATAGGTAGGTGTTAGGGACCTGCTCAATATTTTGATGTTGACCTAAAATATAATCTTAATCAGTGTAAATCGAAAAATTGATTTTAGTCAAATTGAAAATCATTTCTATTTAGCAATCAATGTAGGCTCACCTCTTCCCCCTTCCAATTCAATTTATTACATTTGTAAGGGCACATGGATGAATTAACTTTTTCCCATCAGGAGGCATACATGACATAATGTGATAAGTTAGCTCAATTGCTTGGAAATTATATCCACAAGTAATTTTAAAAAGAATCTTAGACCAGTCTCATTAGGATTATCATCTGAAGAGAAGTTTCCATATCACAGAAACAAATGGCATGTACAGGGTGATCCAGAAGTAACGTCAAAGACATTGTAATTTCAAAAGTATTCATCAGATCTTCATGAAATTTGGTATACATGTACCCACAACATTTCTGAGTTACCATCTCAAAGATTGGAATTCAATCATTTCATTGGTTGAAATTATGGTTGCTATAGTAACCCGATATCGCGTAACCCGGGGCAAATTGAAGAGAAACCATAACGTTTTTGTGAATTTCTCTAATTTAAAAAGTCAGTAACATTTGAAAATGTTCATTGTTTGTTTTCTATGATTTTTATATTTGTTGCCATGGTAACAAATATGTAATAGTTGTGATGTCACAATAGGCATTCATAAAAAGCTTTCAATTTCTTTGAATTGCTTCCATCATCCATGACAAATACTAACATGACCAAGGACACGAACCCACCCAATTCAAGATGGCGCCAAGTCAGAGTAAAATAGAGCAAAGAACAAACATTAAGTTCTGTGTAAAGTTGGGGAAAGGTGTAAAAGAGACTATAAGACAGATAAAGAAGGCATATGGTAAAGCTGCCATTGCTGAGAGAAACATTTACAGGTGGTTTAACAAGTATTCCAGTGGATATGATGAAGTGGTAGACAAGCAGCGAGGAGGCAGGCCAGTGTCGTCATTCGATGATCAAACCATCAAAGCAATTGAAGCTGATGTTATGGACAATAGGCAAATTTCTATCAGAGAATTGGCTGAAAAACACGATCTGAGCTATGGGACTGTGCAACGGATACTGACAAAGAACTGTCTGTTAAAGAAGGTGTCTGCTAAATGGGTGCCGCATGACTTGACACAGGAGCAGAAAGACCGGCGTGTTAAGGCTTCAAGGGACTTTCTTGCAAAATATCGGAGAGATGGAGATGACTTTCTTAACAAGATCATTACGAGTGACGAATCATTGCTATCATTCTACATCCCAGAGACCACGCAACAAAGTTCATCGTGGAAACATGACAACTCCCCAACACCAACCAAGCCTAAAATAGTACCAGGAATTCCACAAAAGAAACAAATGGTTGTGACATTCTTTGACATTAGAGGAATGGTGTTAACCCATTTTGTTCCCATTGGCCAGAGAATTAATGCCGTTTACATTGCAAAGGTAAGATATCATTTGTTCTAATAATACATCATACTGTGAATTTTATTTTTAAATTAAAGTATTTAAATGTTGTTCACTGTCAATATAATTATAACTCCATGGCCATGATTCAAATCCAAATCCAATCAATGAAACAACTGGTTTAACAACCATTAAACATTTGTTTTTCAGGTTCTGAAGCGTGATCTTCAACGTTCCCTGAGGAAAAAGCGTCCCGGACATCTGCAGCAGTTTATCTTGCATTGGGACAATGCCCCTACGCACACTGCAATCCTGACCAGCAACACAGTCCAAACACTTGGATTTCAACAACTTGAACATGCCCCTTATTCACCTGATCTCGCCCCCAGTGACTTTTATTTGTATGGGGAACTAAAAAGAAACCTTAGTGGAAATAATTTTCAATCCTGTGAGGAATTGAAAAATGCCGTAGTACTAGCCCTACAAGGAATGAGTTCTAATGGATTTAATTCTGTGTTCAAGGAATGGGTATCCAGACATGAGAAATGTGTTGCAAATGGTGGCAATTATGTAGAATGAACTATTATTAGTAACTGTGCAATAGTATGATTTATATTGTTGTGAAATAAAATGTTGAGGATATAACAATTTCAGATCTTGTTGATATTTTGAGATTACGCATTACACGTTAAGTAATTTGCCCCGGGTTACGCGATATCGGGTTACTATAGCAACCATAATTTCAACCAATGAAATGATTGAATTCCAATCTTTGAGATGGTAACTCAGAAATGTTGTGGGTACATGTATACCAAATTTCATGAAGATCTGATGAATACTTTTGAAATTACAACATCTTTGACGTTACTTCTGGATCACCCTGTATGTAACTTCACACATATTTCCCTGAAATCCGTAAGTATGATTGATAAATTGTATCAGACAAAATAAGGGGACTGACAAGGCGTACTGTGTTTTTAGATTAATTATTAATTATTTAATTGATTTCTACAGGTTGATTATGATTGGAGAGGAATTCTGTGGCAGTAAATCTGAAGGTCTCCAAGACTCAATTAGGAAACAGAGCGTCAATTACTTCCGCAATTATCACCGTGCCAGAATGGACGAATTGAAGATGTTCTTGGAGAATGAAGCCTGGCAGTTGTGTCCAGTTAAAGCCAATTTTAGCATCATGCAATTACAGGTATGTTCATGTACTTGACAGGCTGTTCAATAAGTACCAAGAAAATATCATCAAGCACTTCATGATTATTTACATGAAGATTTTAAAAATAAATATTATTTGTTACTTATTGATGTTTTTTGTTTTTATCGTATCTTCACTTTCAAGACTTGTCTACAGATTTTCAGCCAAACCATTTGAGGGATTCATCTGAAATTTTCAGGGATGTTTCTACATATCAACGTCAAGAACTGATTGATTTTTGGGCATTCTGGGTAAATTTTAAGGTGGCCATTTTGGATTTTCCGTCCTAAAATCTTCACTTTCAAGACTTGTCTACAGGTTTCCAGCCAAACCGTTCAAATTTTTACATATGTTACACAGTGATAAGTTCTAGAGCTGATTAACTTTTCTGCGGCCATCTTGCTTTCTTGGTCAACAAGACCTCAATGCTGTGTTTTAGGTACGATATTGTTCACGTCTGTGCCTTGTTTTTTATATACTTATTGATGTTATGTGTCTTGAAAAATTTTTGTATGAGATATTCATTATTAATATTAAAACTAGAAAAAAGTCATCAAAACTGAATTTCCCATTCATCTATCACAAGCAAAAAAGCATAATTTTATATCTGGTTAGTGTATCATGAATTTCATTTGTAGGAGTTCAAGTTTTTACGAAGTCATGCACAACAACAGAGAAATATTATAGCTACCCCTACGCAATCACCTGAACATACTGTACCAACCAACCGTCCAAACTACGGCTTTTTCACAAAGTTTGACAACTCCAGTCCATTTGATCTCCCGGCTCAGGAGGATGAGGATGAGGAGAAAGAGGATGTCATGGCAACCAATGGGGTGAGTCTTTTAGATGTAGCCATGGCAACAAATGGAGTGAATCATTTAGTTATGGCAATCAATTGGAGGATAAATTGAGAAATGAATGAAAAATTGACTATCATATGATATTTTTTATTTTTCTCAGACCGTGCATTTTGATAATCAAGAAATTGATTTTTCAGTACATGGAGGATCGTCAACTGTCAGTAGATAGCGAATCAGATGAAGACATTCCAGAGGAATTAAAACAGGACTTTGTGGACGAACAGACAGGAGAGCTTCCTGTTAAACGTCCTACTAAACTACCCAAGAGTCACTCTGGCAGTTTGAAAAGACAAACCAAGCTAGGTCCTGTGTTAACCAATACAACTTTAAATGTGATACGTTTAATAGGTGAGATGCTCATCAATTGAGATAATTATTTCTTGCTTATATTTCATTTCAAAATTACTTCATGTCGCTCTTTCTAAGAATTCCAATCATTGACAGATGTTCCAACCCTTCTAATAATATTCTGTATTGGCTCTAAGCCTTTTCACTTAATTTCTTGTTTATGTCATTCTTCTTCACTTCATTTTTCATTTAAAGATGATTTGTTTGTTCATTTGCAGGTAAATATGCTCAGATGATGAGTGTGTTGAAGCCAATAGCCTTTGATGTGATTATATGTATGTCCCAGATCTTCGACTATTATTTATATACAGTGAGTATCATTCATAAATAAGTACAAACAATATGTTGCAATATGTTCAAAACAAAGCTATTGCAAGAATAATCAGGCTCTGTGATTATGCCTTATGGATTACTTTTGATTTCTAATTTAACTTATTTTATAATTCTTGAGAAATATATTGAGAGCTGCTTTTTATACATGCTCCATAAAAATGCAATAATTAGAGTGAATGGATGAAAAATTCTATTTTTCAGATATACAGCTTCTTTGGGATAGACCTTGGGGATGTGAATGAGTTGTCACTCAGCAACAAACTGAGAACAACATTGAAGAGAATCAAAGATAATCTTATTTATGAAGAACAACAGGTCACCCCTACCACACCAGGAGTCCCCACAGTGCCAACAGCTGAAGAGAAAAAGGTATTTTGAATGTCTTAATTGAATTTTGCCCAGTGCGGTAGCGACAGTATTAAAATCCATACAATAGATATGTATTGAAATCAGTTGTCACACAATATTTATTATCATTATTACATATATTACAGTGCTTAATGTGGATTGGTCCATAATATTGGTTGATATTGATAGGTGTTTTCTGTGTTTTCCAACTGTTGTCACTCATGATATTAATAACATTTCAGATATATGATGTAGCAATATATTATGAGGTTATATAATGGTTGATTCCGTATATCGTGTTTATACTCAAGTGAGTATATGATATAGATGTATTCACGAGTGACTGAAGGGAACAAATGAGTATATCATATACTCACGAGAGTTAATAACGATATACAGAATCAACCATTATATGATCTTATCATCCCACCCTAATCTTTAATCAATAAAAGGTTAATCTAAATTCTGCAGTTGTATATCAAGTCGAGGAGTTGTATACGCTACCCAGGAGTTGCATATCGTTCTCAAGAGTTGTATACGATGAATGTTGATTTTATATCGCAGTTATACAATGCTATTATACAATCATATAATGCTCTTAGGGTGGGATAAGATTAGTTCTCCTCATCCTGTTCTTGATGTAGTCTTGATGTAGTTTTGGATGGTTCTCTAAAAAGTACAAGACGGTATAGTAAACAAACTATATGGTAATTTCCTACATATATTATCTTTTTGTTGCAACAGGACAAATTTGGCCAGCCTTATCTATCTGGAATGGTTGACCTTAGTGTAAGAGAGTCCCTGTATGGGTTAGCTGCTAGGGTTGTAGCTGCTGAGTCACTGTAAGTATGCCACAATTGTATATCAATTAAGTCAAGGAGTTGAACTAGGGCTAGAGAGTTAGAGTGTTATATGAATAAGAGCCATTCTAAATCAGTAATATGTAACTTCAAACATACTTCATACATTCAATTATTTCAAAATGTATACTTTTATATGCCTGGGTTTTGTTTATTTTACAGTATTTCTTGTTATACTTGTAAATGTATTAATATTTAGTTCAACATGTTCTTGTCACTTTTTCAGTGTGTTCCTGGCTGAACAGTTTGAGTACCTACAGCCTACTTTAGATAATATGATTCCACAAGCCAAGAAAGCATTCCTTCAACAATTCTACTCTCAAGTAAGTGTGTTTGCCATCAGTCTTTTTGGGTTCATTTACTTATTTCAAGTTCATCAAAATTTAGTTTCTATTAGAGTTGGTGAATGTTTCTTATCTTGTCCATGTATCTATACTCAATATTGCTTTTTGTAAATTGTAAGAAAAATAAATAAGAATCCAATGATTATTTTAAACTATCCCTACTTATCTAGGTAATGTATGTAAATATACGAAATGCATGCATAAACATATTTTGAAAACCCTAGTGTTGACTTATATTGTGTGACTTGATTTCATGTTTTAGACTGTTACAACAGCTGTAGAAATCAGAAAGCCAGTGTATCGTACCGTGGCTGCCAAATCAATAGACTATGAGAACCTCTTCAATCTGATGGCCACCACAGTCAAGTGGGACATTAAAGATATCATGTCACAACACAGCAGTTATGTAGATAGGTTACTTCAGGTGAGGAGATATGGATAACTTCCTTCAATGATCTCATGTAGTTTGGACCATAAATAATTGAGTAGTCGATTTTCTATCACCATTTCCAAACCTTGGTGGTTTGAAAGCCCATAATTTCCTATATTGTCCAGATACATATCCCCTAAAATTTCTATATTTTACATTTTGTATACTGTCATCCACTGAAGTATGGCCTCTTGAAATTTTTTATGAGTGGTCCTTATGGGTCAGTCAAAAGTATGTGTATCAATATTTCAGGAATTCCATGCATTCAAAAGTATGTGCATCAATATTTCAGGAATTCCATTCATTCAACAGTATGTGTATCAATATTTCAGGAATTCCATGCATTCAACAGTAGGCTGCAGGAAGTGAGTCGGAGGGTGCCAATACCAAAAGTTGTGGAACACATTCTCTGGGAATACTGTATAAGGCTATCCAATAGAACATTTGTAGAGGGGTAAGATTTAAGGTATTAAATTGGATTAGTATGTTGGACATGTTCTGAAATAAAAATTGTTCAATTTACTTGTAATCAATTGAATGTACTCAATCTAATGAATAACTGGTAAACAGATATGTGACCTGCCCTATTTCAATTTGAACAATTTCAGGTTGCTTTAACATGTTTAATCAGCTTCTAACCCATGAACTTATATATTTCTTTAGGTACGCTAGTGCTAAGAAATGCACTAATGAGGGGAGAGCTTTGATGCAGCTTGACTTCCAACAGTTTCTCATGAAGTTAGAAAAACTCACTGACCTCCGCCCAATTCCCGACCGTGAGTATGTAGAGGCGTACATAAAGGCATATTACCTACCTGAAGCCCAGTTGGAGCTCTGGGTCAAAGACCATCGGGTAATTAACAAATCATTAAAATTTGACACTTGAAAGTTTTTTTAAAAACATTTGTATATGACAATGAAATGGTGAAAATTCTTGTCAACCTCAGAGTCAACTCAACCCTGTAAAACTCAACCGCATTAATTTCTTACAATATTTTTGAATCATTCACTAGGTTGAGTTGACTTGGGGTTGAGATGACCTGGAATTTTAAAAAAGATTAAGTTTGTCCATATTGGACAAATTAATTGAACAAGATTAGGTTTAACAAGACAAACGAATTCGCCATTTAGTTCATTCCACTTTCCAAAAGTTTTAAAGTTAAAGAGTTTTTAAAGTTTTAACAATACATTTGGTAGTTTAAACTAACATTTCATCTTTTGCATTGTTTTTCAACATATTAAACATACCTTTATTTTATTTTAGGAATACTCTGTGAAACAGCTGGTTTCCATAGTGAACTGTGTTGACCATAAAAACAAGAAGGCCAGACAAAGACTTATAAACTCAATAGAAGAAACCTGGAATAGGCGGTGATATTCTGATACACTGGAATAATACTACGACCACTTGATATATTAGAAAACTCCCCTGGTGTTCTAGCTTTCTTATTAGGTGCTTTGGGAAAATTGAATTTGATTTTAAATATTCCATGGGCTGAAAAGAAATATTCAAATTGATGCAATATTTGTAGTAAATATTACACATTGCTTAGATTCATATGATATATAGTATCATCATAGGAAATAATATGTAGTAATATCACTGAGCCATTCCGTTCAATGGAAGGAGAATTTGTAGCATTATTATATAATAGTTAGCCACGACATGTAAGGTGATCAAACACTTATTTTGATTTAACTACTATTTTTAGCCCACTACTCTTTCAAATTTTCTGATATTTATCTTATGAAAATTTTGGACATTCAAAATGGAAAATTTTGGGTTAAAAATGACAATTTGAGAATATAATAAGTGGGAGATCATCTTATATATCAAGGCTACTATCTAGCTGTTCTGCGTGAACTATGTTATTCACTGAATAATTTACTACTTACATTATGTTCAACATGAATGTAAAAATTTATTGAATTAAATTGCATAGATGAACTGCTTAGAGTAGATATTTATTTATTTGTGGTGCAAAGATGAGCAAACTGTGATGATATTGCCAATAAATATTTAAGGTTATATCAATGTAAAAGTAGCCTTAATAATCTATATATTAAAAAGTATTGTATCATTAATGTAACTACTTTAAATGTTGTACATTTGTTGAACATTTATATGGTTATAAGATAAACTACTTACACATCCGTGAATTAATACAAATTAAGGGAAGTAGAAACAGTTCAAAGATGGCATAAATATTGCAAATGACTGACTTTTTATACAGATTTGGAGCTATAATGTTGATAAAGGTTGAAACATTGAGACCGTTTCTCATTGTTAATGAGCAAAATCAGTTTTTAGTAAATTGTGACATCACAATCCAAAATTGTCATAACTTCTGTAGCATTGAAGATATGTGATATATTCATATATTTCGCAAAAGTTCATTAAATTGAAAATTAAATTCTTTTTGTTTGGGTATGTTACACATAGTTCATATATATGTGCTGTCTAATGTTTTTAATAATCATGCAATGTCCCATTTTTATGGCCCACTCTGTATACTTGTGCAATAAATGTAAATAAAGATGTTTATATTTACTATTTAATAAAATGTCATAGGACTGCTAAAATGAAATAAAAGTTGTTATATAACATAATTTAAAATATTGTTTCTTTAAATTATGAAAGATCACTGGTTTGCCATTAAAATTTGCCTACAAGAAGGTGGAAGTTGTGAGAGAACTTGTATCACCATTTAAGAGAGCAGCCCAGAACAACAAAACATGTCTGGTTGAAAGCCATTGAGACCCGGAATAAGTGTATTTTTAAAAGCAGATTGGCCACATGTCATTCAATTTTGTAAAATATCAAACTTTCTATGAAAAAGTCATGTAACTTAAAGTGACAGCAAAGACTATATAGAAAGTGTAAAATGTTGGAAGCAACCTTTTCAAAAAGCATACCTATGTTTCCCTCACAATCCCTAATCTGATAAAATAGAGATTTGATCTGTTAGTTATTTAAGATGCAGAAATGTCCAAAGCCATTAGAATTGAAAACAGCAATAAATTGGAATTAAAGCAAAACATTTTTGAAACCAAACATCAACTCCTCTAGTCATTGATGTCACTTTTACCTATAAGTGGAATAGTTGATTTGAACTTGACCAATAATTAACATCAAAGGTCCGGGTCAAAGATCAGCTCTATAAAATATTGAATAACAAAACATAATTTGAGTTTATTTCTCAGTTCTGATACTGTATTCTCAGTACAAATAATGCAACATAATGATTGTTCTCCCTCATCACATTAGAATTGGATGAGGCTCAGATGGGGATTCAAGATTCTATTTCTTCATTATACATATGAGGCATCTCATAACAAAAGCTTGTGTAAGTCATTCACTCCCATGCAGTGTGTAAAAGTGTGACATTCCTCTCTGGCTCAATCCTTAGCCATTAATGCCAGGGCTGATAAGAACTGAATGAATTATTTCATCAGCCCTATGTAGCATCTATGTAGTATACCAATACAGTAGGCTAATCATCCCCTGTAGCATCTAGAATACCAATACAGTATGCTAATCATCCCCTGTAGCATCTAGAATACCAGTACTATACGCTAAGTTCCAATAATGTTCTACATTGTGTTTCCTAAACTGTTCTCTAGCAAATGTTTCTGTTGGACATTGTTTAAAGATTATTTCTCCAAATGCTCGGTCTTTTGTTGTACCCTGGAAGAGAAATTGAAAGAAATGTGATTTTGGAAATGAGAAAATAAGAAGTCATTCTGAATGATTTGTTAAGAAATGGTGACAGGAAAAAAGGCCATTTAAATGAACACAATTAAAAATCATTTCTTTGGAACGTTGATTTGATTAATCTTGATAAAACTGGCTACAAATCCATATTGTTGATGTTAATATGACGAGAGTTCTAATTGGCTAATTTATCTGGTTTGAGTCAATTATTAACTGAAAATGAATTACATGTATGCGAAAATGTCATGTTGGTCGGAAGTCCAAAATGGAAAATAACGTGGAATAAGACATATATCTAGAACAGGCACATAGAATACAAAACCACAAAATCAAAATGTTATGAGCAAAGAGTCATTGAGTTTTTCTATTAATAATGTGTATGAAACTTACCTCCCAGACCAGTTTGCACTCATTAGGCTCCCCTTCATCACCAGACTCATCATCTGTAACACACAAAACAAAATGTTATCAAGGATACACTCTGACATACAAAACAAGATAGTAGAAAAGGGATACATAAAATACATGAAATTAAACAAGCAGGTAACACACAAGTAATCAACAATACAATCAGTAACAAACCTTAATGACATTATACTGCCTGCCTAATTTAAGAAACTAAGTAGTTAATCATCTGTTCATCTGATATGAAACTCACTGCCATGCTTTCAACTCTTACATAATGCAAAAATAGTATTATAACTGGAGTGACCATATTTGAAAATATAATTTATCACTATTACTTGGTTGAGAATTTATTCAATATTCAATTGTAGTGCTAATACGAAGTACTTACCATCATCTTTAGAAGCTTTTATGGTGTCTTCAGCCCACTTTATCCTATGAAGCATTAACCTGTTGAATTTTTTCTGTTGTTTAGGGCCTCCTTCTACGACTACAACATTACAGTCTCTGTATAGAACCACAATTCCAGTCATGTAGAGTTGTTTGGCATTCGCCTCCACTTTAAACTTCTTGGAGGGATTTTTAAATTCTTTTATTCTGAAATACAAAATGAGGTTGACATGTGTGATCCAGTTAAGTAGCATACATCATGTTTAACAAATGAAATCCTGATTTTCATCTTACTAGTTTTTAAATAGTATTTAGATGTATGAGCAGTTATATCAGGAAATTCATTGCAATCAAAACAAGGCATTAACATTAAATGTCACCATATGCCATTCGTACTCTCCTTGGCGTTGATGTAAACCATTAACATCATGGTTAACATACCTATATATTGCCACATGAACACCATTTGTTGTGTCTTCCTTCAGTTTCTTGGCTTTCTTATCTTTACGCTGATCAGGTGTGAGTTTACGTGCAGCATTGGCTTCCTCATGACCCCTGAAACCAAATTCATTTCCAATATGAAGCATATATTTTCATGTACATGTATAAACAAGAACATCCTTGGGGACCTATAAAGCCTTGATAACCTCGGTCAGACATGTTTATTAAAGGAATGAGATATATTGGCATTCAAAGTACATAAGGATAATTACACTATAGTAGATAGAACATAATACACTCAAGAGGTGTTGCTCACCTTCATAGGTGGTGAAGAACTACAATAGAAAAGGCCCATGTTTATGCTGCAACACCAACTTACCTTTGTCTCTTGGCCATCTGGGCTCTGACATGAGCTTCTATCTTAGTGGGGTCTTGTACAGCCTCCGTACCCAGCACCCGCATCAGGTTAGCCATCTTCACTGGAATAGCATGACAAGACTGAATAAATTGTCCAAACATAAATTGGTAAAATAGAGACAAGATTTAGATACAAAATAAACAAATTAATCAGGAGGTCAGGAGAGACTTCAGACAATTTTATGATAACTTCAATGCATTTATGAAACTGGGTAATCTTACATGTTCTGTGTTCATCTTTGTTTCTTACTTTCAATCAATTCTTTATCTTTATTTGATTTAAAGTCATATACTTCCTATATTTCTCCCTACCTTTAGGTTCTGGTGCAGGCATGAGACCAAGACGTATCTTTTCAGTTACTTCCTTCTGTGCCTCCTCTCTATTCTGTCTCCGCAACTTCTTGCGTTCTTTCTTGGTTAACATCACCTTGATCTCAACGGACTTCTGGTCAACTACAAACAATACACATCATAGGCATGTAGTGCATAGGTGGTTCATAGGATAATCACTAATCATATCAGAAAAATTGTGCAATGTTAATTTAAACACAAGGCACTTTAACATGCAAATAGTTACCACATGCCATTTGTTACAGATGTTGAACTTCGAATATGTAACCACTTGCGCTTTCATTTTGTTAACATTTCACATGGTCTGATATATTGGAACATCTCAGATTTTTGCAAGTTCAAGGTTGAGGAACAAGAATTTGAGAGGAAGAGTTTGATTGAGAGAATAGCAATATTAATACCTGGGGGCTTCATCTGTATAGGATGTTCCACATAATGTGTGACTCCCTTGATCTTCTCCTGATAGCCCTTCTCTCCAACAATGTCATAGCTGCAAATATAACATATGAACAGATTATACAAAATGCTTGTAATGTTTAAATTTAGTTATCACAGAGAAGAATCTTGAATTTGAAATACTGTTTTTTATTTAAGTAGACCAGATACACAATATCAAAGCACTGTAACAATTTACAGTACAATGGTAAATCTTATACATGTACTTCAAAATTATTAAACAAGTGCTTAATGTGAGGTTGAGAGGGGAGGTAAAATTGTTCATCAGGGCTGGGAAATTTCTACATTATTCTAAAGACTGTGACATAAAAAAGTATCTGATATAACGTACTTGTCAACTTGAAGTATCACATTGTCCCACCACTCTATGTTTGGGATCTCACCCTCTTCCTGGAACATTCAAACCATTAGTTTAGATTCAAATGTGTTGGTGACATTCATAACATAAGATTCAAATGTGCAAGGAACAGCAGGGGAGTAGATTTCTAATTACATAGAGATTTCTTCTTTAAAATTACATGTACTAGGAATATGTATTCAATGCCAAATTCTCTCATAATTAAAAACATGTGCCATGTACAATTTCTTTGAAAAGTTAATCAATGAACTTGTTTCTTTGCTAGATAGTCTGATGATGAGCCAATGCCTAGCTTTAAAGTCCATCATCTGTGTACTGTAGCCCGCATACTGTGGCTTAGTAGTTTGCACATCTCAAATACTTACAATTGCCTTCTTTGGTTGGGTTGAGATAAGACGTGTCATAGTTGCAATACCAGTTTTCTTGGCAGCTTGAGCGATCTCATTCTGTAGCTTGTCTAGTTGAGCCTGAAGAAACATAATAGGATATTTATAGCAGGGAAGTACTAATACAGCTTCATTACTTTCTCATGCATCTATCTATGGTCCGACATCGACCTATCTAACACTTACTTGCAAACAAGTAGTGAAGTAATCATTCAACTGAAACTTCTATGTTACACAATGGCAACTCTGATATACACAGTAAAACCTGTAAAGTGAAACATGTCTCTGTAAGTGGAACACCCCGTAAATGGAACACTTTTCAGTCATACACTTTTTATGTACCAGAGTCCAGAGGTGTTCCACTTAAAGAGATTTGATACTTGTACTTGATTTGGTAATATATTTTGGATCCTGTCTGTTAAAGATGTGTCACCTGGACGCCGTAAGAAACAATACAGGTAATTTATCCCAATAGGGATATAATGTGTTTACAGAAGAGAATTGATTACCTTTGTACGCAGTCTGGCAGCAATTTCTTGAAACTTGCCCTGGTCGTGGAACTGAAATGATCTCCTCTGTCTGACTGCTCCCTTGTCACTGGATAAATAAGAAACAAATCTTAAATTAAACTTAAGGAAACTAAAATGTGTTTGCAAATGCAAGACTGGGGGGATCTTCTATACTCATGAATATTTTATTTGAGAAGTGAAATTCATTAACATTGACTGATTAGGATTTTGCACTCTGGTTGAGTTTTTAAATAATAGTTTTGTTTTGAAATAAGATTCTCATGTAATCTATCTCAGCTAAGTCTATTTTTCTTTACTCCTCTACCTAAACCATACTTATGTCACTGGAAAATCTTACCCAACTCTAGGATCAAAGAATTTAGATTCACTAATTTCTTCAGGAGGTCTAGAAATAACAGTTTTGAATTCTTCTCTCTTCTTCGCTCGAATGTTAGCCTGAAAATACAAGGAAATAAATTGTAAAACTCAGAGAGATGTTTTTTGAATATTTGATTTTATGTGGAACAAATAAGCCTCACAAATTCAATTTCTATTTATTGGTGCCTACTTGCTCTTTGAAAAACATCCCAAGTAAAATAATTTTCTTGCCTTTTTCAAGATCCATAAACTTTTTTCATTCAGATATATCTTTTTACCTTTAAAAGTAAAATTAATAGTACTAAGAGCCTGGTCACCATAGCAAATCCCACTTAACGAACAGCTAACCTGTTTTGACAGAATTGAGAATGTCTTTTAATATGTACAATTACTTGTAGTATAATGCTGTTATACTTGTACACTAGCCATATAGTTTATTTTCCTCTATGGAAATCCTAAAGATGGGTTCTATTATTCCTCATACCTTAAGTGTTGGCATATGATGAGTAAGTTGTACAGTCTCCCCAGTGTTTACATCTATGGTACGTCCCATCTCATCCAAAATTAGAGGGGTTGGTCTAAAACACAATAACCAACAATGATTTATGAAATAAATAACAAACTTTTATAACAAAACCCTTATTAAATATTTGAACATTGACTATTACATTGATACTTGTGCATGAAACAATCACGGTGCTATCAATGGCTACTTTTAGAGATTTCCTCCAAGATATTGCTACAGTTATGTAATCAAAGTTAATAGTTTTTACTTACTGTCCAGGTATGATAGCTTCAGCAGGGGATTGTCTAAAAAAAAAAAAAAAACATAAAATGGTAATGCAGCATAATATTCAAAAAATATTAAAACTCAAAAATTACTTTTATAATTTCAGGTTCAATTTCTCATGCCTAACTATAACCACTTTTTGAACCTAAGATTGTGATTAATCATTTTACATTGAGCTAATGAGCATTTAAACTTACTGTAGTGGTGGAGGTTTGATTGGAGATACCCCAACTCCTATGCCTGCATTAGCCAACTGTGCTTGGATCCTTGCTTGCAGATCTGCTGCCTTCTTAGCTTTATCCATAGCATCAGACATAAGCTTTTGGGACTGTGGAGGGGGAGGAGGCCTGGCTGGAGGTGCATCCTTTAAAAGAGAAATATTGAGATATCAAAAATGTCAACAGATAATGAGCCTAAAATCAGGCCGTGTCATATGAGTATGAGTATAAAATGAAAAATATACAGGTCGAAAGGATCAGATGCCATGACAAGGGTCATACATGTTAAAAAGAATAGCTAGGCCAAATCTCAACTTAATGGCTCTGGGCTGGACTGTCACATGACTTCCCAAATCTGTTTCAAAATAATAATATTGCGCAGGGTATTTAGACACCATGTAGAAATTTAAGAATTTGGGAAATAAAATAACCAACAAGAAGGATTTATCATTAAATTATAAAAATGAAAGAAATTACAAAATTCAAAAAGTGATATAGATAACATATTTATACTTACAGGTATATTAAGTTGTGCCTTTCTCTCCTTGATCATTCGCTGTGCACTTGCCATCATATCTTTAATCTGACACATAAGAAATTTATTGAGAATTATTCCATAAGAAAAATTTGTGATAAAATATGTGAGGGTTTTTATATAAAATCTTCAATCAGAATGCTTGTTTCTGAAAGTGTATAAAATGATTATTTTGATGCCAAGATTGAATACGTTTTGAGAGAATCTTAACATAAAATACAGTGTACCACACATTGTACCATGTATATTTCTGAGAATGAAGACAGTGCAAAAATTACTTTTTGAATGTTCCCAAAATTTTTAGAAATAATTCAAACTGCATTTCAAAAATATTATTTCAAATTGTAAGTCAAAATCTTACTTTATCTGCAGTGAGCTGTCCTGGACTTGGTTGACCTGGCTCAGGGACAACAACATTTGTTGGAGGCTTTGTCTCTTCAAATCTCTTAACTTTCTTACTCTTTGAGACATCTTCTTCTGTGTTCTCATCATCTCTGCTCCTTTCCTGAGAGATAAACACAATTTTATTTTGGAATAGATAAACAGAGAAATCAGGGAGGATTGGCAGCCATTATTCAAACTCTATATTCTTTTAGCTGGCGTGGAACAATTTAGTAAAAAGTATTCTATAAGATTCTCTTTAGACCAAGAATACCGTTGGTAGATGAACATTACAAATATTATGGTGATATTCAAGTTTCCTTGGCAGTTCTAGTTTTCAAATAAGGAGTAATGTTGTTACCAAATTGATCTATGCTGGGCAATGGAGTATCAAGTTAGAATAATGGCTACCAATCCTCTTTGCACGCAGAAATGAAGAATACATCATAGGGATTGGAAACAGAAATAATTGTATTATTGGCTTATCAGCTCTAATAAACATAGTACACATAGTGATCTCCGCAGGATTTTTTCTCAAGTGGGTGCAAAATTCCATTTTAACAATTTGGTCAAAATATGCCAATTTTTCATGATTTTTCTTATTTACAGTGGGTGCAAATGGATTTGCAGGTGGGTGCAGGACTATTTACAAATGCTGGGGAGATCACTGATACGTGTACTCTAAAAAGGTGTTTTAATATTATGGACAAACAGAGAATGTTATGGTTAAATACACAATTAAGATATTTCTAAAATAGAAAATACACCAATGTTCATACCTTGTCTCTACGTTTTCTGCTACTACTGCTACTACTACTGCTGCTACTGTGGCTCCTGTGCCGACTGTTACTGTCTACTACATCAAATAACTTCTCAACAAACTTAGATGCCTGGCGATCATCGAGATAGGAGGAGAGCTTTGCTAAAACAATAAATAATTATATCAAAAACTAAATTTGTAGTCAAGATTTACCCAATCATATAGCCTGTTAAAAGACTCCAATGTTGACGACCATAGAAAAATGTTTTTTTCAGACTACAATACCAAAAATAACAAACTAAATATTTGAGATACTTGGGATTTTTAAATCACTTACAAATTGCCTTTCTTCTGTCATATCCTTTGTCTATACAGTTGATGGAGGCTGTGACAAGTGTAGGCTCACTGAACCCTAAGAACTTCTGTACAGCTTTCTCTACGGCATACTTGAGATCATCTCTCTCTTTGTCACGCTTTGACATCTTTCACAAAGAGCTATAAACAAAATATGTATATTACCACAGGAATCAGTGATCTCCCCAGCATTAAAGCAAGAGGGCGCAGCACCCACCTGAGATTTTGAAAATAGGCTTGCACCCACCTGAAAATCCATTTGCACCCACTTGAAAATGAAAAAGAAACATGAAAAATTGGCATATTTTGACCAATTTTGGTCAAAATTATGAAAATGAGAATTTTGCCCCCACCCAATAAAAAATCCTGGTTAAATCACTGGGAATGACAAATGAGTAGGATTCTGAGGTGGTCTAAGAATTCAAAGTTGAGCCTTCATGTAAAGATAAACCTCTATTTTATTGATCTTTGAATATCATATGTGGAGCCATTTCACCGTTACCGAAAGTCAAAAGGCATTTACTGATAATGAGAAACAAAATGGTGGCTTAAAGGACGATTCTCGGTTTGGAGAACAGTCTCCTGGGCTAATATTTTTTTGCATGAAAAATATAGAAATATTACCCAAATTAAACTATGAATATTCAAAAGAGGACATTTAAATCTACAAGATGTAAAAATATCAAATTGGTCTGGAGCAGGGATAAATGCTCAATTTTACCGATTTTAATAAAATACAAGTCTCTATTTGGGGAAAGAAGTTCATCAGTGTACTGCGCTAATGTTTTTTTGAGAAAAATCTAGAAATATTACCCAAATTAAATTATGACTATTCCAAAGAAGACATTCAAATCTATATTATGTAAAAAAATCAAATTTGTCCGAAGCAGGGATAATGCTCATTTAGATTGATGAACTTCGTTCTCCAAACCGAGAATCGTCCTTTGCAAACTAACTTCAAACAAGAACACAAATGTATACAAAATGTCCCCACCAATGGGTGATCCCGTCAAATGGTTATCCTGAAAATGAGTAAACAAGACTTTACAGACAAAATTTTAGGATGGAAAATCTAAAATGGCTGCCTTGTCATTTACCTAGAATGCTAAAAAACTAATCATATCTAGATTTTCATACTAAGAATCATCCCTGAAAATTTGAAATTGATCTACCGAACGGTTCACCTAAAAAACGCGTAGACAAGACTTTACAGGCAAGGTTTTAAGATGGAAAATCCAGAATGGCTGCCTTGACATTTATCTAGAATGCCAAAAAACTAATCAGATCAAGATTTTCATACTAACAATCATCCCTGAAAATTTGAAATTGATCTACCGAACGGTTCACCTGGAAATGCGTAGACAAGACTTTACAGACAAGATTTGAGGATGGAAAATCTAAAATGGCTGCCTTGACATTTACCCAGAATGCCAAAAAACTAGTCAGATCTAGATTTTCATATTATGAATCATCCCTTAAAATTTGAAATTGATCTACCAAATGGTTCACCTGAAAACACGTAGACAAGACTTTACAGACAAGATTTTAAATGGCCGACAATAAAAAAAGTGATTATGAGTTTTTGCTGATTTCTTTTTACAAAACCAGAACAACGGCAACGGCAACGCCAAAGCGTAGCGAATCCAATCGAACAGAAATGGCTGGCATTTTTACAAACGAAATATATAGCAAATATCATAAAATAACACACATAAGAAAGGCCAACATTTTCAAAATGGTTGCTTACTAGCCAAGTTGTCATCAGAAGAAGTAATATGGTTTTAAGTAGCCACATCAAAACTTTTAAAAATCGAACACACATACATGTAAATGGTGGCCATTTCTAAAATGGCCGCCTACTACCCAAAATGTCACAAGACAGTATGTAATCCTTACGAGTATTCACATATCAAATATGAACAAAATCGCTCTATTACTTTTTGATTTTAATAAAAAATGTAAAATAACATACATAAAAATGGTGGCCACTTTTCAAAATGGCCGACTACTCCCCAAAGTTTTATTAGACAATGTGCCATGCTTAAAGTATTCACATATAAAAAATGAACAAAATTGCTCCAATACTTTTCGAGTTATAGTAAAAAATGTAAAATAGCACACGTAAAAATGGCGGCCATTTTTTTAAATGGCCACCTACTACCCAAAGTGTCATTAGGCAGTGTGCCATGCTTATAGTATTCACATATAAAATGGCGGCCATTTTTCAAAATGGCCGCCTACAACCCAAAATGTCATTAGACATTGTGCCATGCTCCACTACTTTTTGGGTTACCGTAAAAAATGTTAAACAACACACATAAAAATGGCGGCCATTTTTCAAAATGGCCACATACTACCCAAAATTTTATTATACATTGTGCCATGCTTAAAGTATTCACATACCAAATATGAACAAAATCGCTCCACTACTTTTCCAGTTACAGCAAAAATCGTAAAATGACGCGCAAAGGCAGCCATTTTTCAAGATGGCTGCCATGTATTTCTTCTGAATTTACATTTCTAGCTTAATCAATGTTCTATATAACTTTTTTACATTTAAAACATATTGCTATTACAGTTTTATATGCAGAACCTAAATTACTTTAAAATCGGCACTAAAATGGCCGCCATTTTTAAATGAGCAGCCATTTTTAAAATCGGCTTTCGAGCAGAACTTCTATTTCCATAGGGTATATGTATACAAAATATGAACAAAATCGGGCCAACGGTATTTGAGTTATTGCCAGGACGGACGCGTTCCCTATATCCCTCTGAACTTCGTTCGATGGGATAATTATCACATATAACTACTGTTAACAATAACATAGGCTTCTACAACAAAAATCAACCCCATTTATGGGGGTATCTTAAAGTAAGTCTGCATGTTTGGAATTTCGCTGCATTCCTCAATTAAGTCACATGTTATTTTTCAAATAGGAATCACTCCTTCCACACACTGTCTACATCTTTCAGTTTTGCACAGAGTGCACTAATGGAAAGACAGGTGAGAAGATTGTTTTGTAAATGTATAAAAAACGAGAAGACATCATGGAGACCCTATCTGTTGCAAGACTAACGCCTGGAGTAACCGTCACCATGTTATTCAGTGTTTTTAAGTAGCGCAAGGATCCTGCCATGACTGTGGTAATGTTATCGTGAAAGCCTGGTATAACCGCGACAATGCTGTCTTATATTGCAATGCCTCCCATGACCGTGACAATGTAATATAGTTCTGCAAGGCTTGGCATGACCGTGACAATGTAATATAGTACTGCAAGGCCTGGCATGACCGTGGCAATGTAATATATTACTGCAAGGCTTGGCATGGCCGTGACAATGTAATATAGTATTGCAAGGCTTGGTATGACCGCCATGGCAATGTGATATAGTATTCCAAGTTCGGGCATGAGAGTGGTAATGTAGAAATTTATGATTGCTATAAGAGACCGTGACAATGTGTATTTGAAAACCTGGCATGACCTTGACAATGTATTATGGGATCACAAAGCCTGGTATGACCTTGGCAATGTAATAAAAATTTGGTCAATTTGAAGCAAGTTGAAAACAGACCTTTTGACCTTTTTTGACCTTGAGAAGGTCATTAAAGGTCAAATGTCAAATCTAAAGTCAGATTTGAATTTCTGAGAACATGTAGATGATTTTGAAAAAAAAAAATTAGTCAATTTGAAGCAAGTTGAAAAAAGAATTTTTTTGACCTTGAGAAGGTAATTGAAGGTCAAATGTCAAATCTAAAGTCATATTTGAATTTCTGAGAACATGTAGATGATTTTGAAAAAAAAATTTAGTCAATTTGGAGCAAGATGAAAAAATACCTTTTTGACCTTTTTTGACCTTGAAAAGGTCATTGAAGGTCAAATGTCAAATCTAAAGTCAGATTTGAATTTCTGAGAACATGTAGATGATTTTGAAAAAAATTTTTAGTCAATTTGAAGCAAGTTGAAAATAGACCTTTTTGACCTTTTTTGACTTTGAGAAGGTCATTGAAGGTCAAATGTCAAATCTTAAGTCAAATCTAAAGTCAGATTTGAATTTCTGAGAACATGTAGATGATTGTGAAAAAATATTAAAGTCAATATGAAGCAAGTTGAAAACAGACCTTTTTGACCTTTTTTGACCTTGAGAAGGTCATTGAAGGTCAAATGTCAAATCTTAAGTTAGATTTGAATTTCTGAGAACACGTAGATGATTTTGAAAAAAAAATTTAGTCAATTTGAAGCAAGTTGAAAACAGACCTTTTTGACCTTTTTTTGACCTTGAGAAGGTCATTGAAGGTCAAATGTCAAATCTAAAGTCAGATTTGAAGGTCAAATGTCAAATCTAAAGTCAGATTTGAATTTCTGAGAACATGTAGATGATTTTGAAAAAAAATTTAGTCAATGTGAAGCAAGTTGAAAAAAGACCTTTTTGACCTTGAGAAGGTCATTGAAGGTCAAATGTCAAATCTAAAGTCAGATTTGAACTTCTGAGAACATGTAGATGATTTAGAAAAAAATTGAAGTCAGTCTAAACAGTATTTGTTAAGTTATAGGAAGTTGTAAGAAATTGTTACAGACGCCGGACGCCAACCGCCGGACGCCAACCGCCGGACGCCGTCGCAAAAAAACGGAGACCATAACAATATGTCACCACTTTTGGTGGTGACATAATAGTATTGCAAGGCCAGGTATGAGGGTGGTAATGTAGAAATCTAGGCTTAGTCCTACTATGACTGTTAGACTATATCCTATTTAGTCTGAATTATATTCAGACTATAAGGCACCTATGTTAAAGTTTGGTAAACCTAAATATTTGTTTACATAGGAAGTGCTATTCAAAATGGCCGATTGGGTAAAAATTAATTTGCAAATTTGTAACTTCAACTAGCTTTATTTCCACTTGACAGTACACTGTGTCACTTTTTATTGCATTTAATTGTACCTTACTATTTAATTGAAATTTTGTAACGTTTATTTTATTGAAGAAATGATTCCTCCAATTGATAATTTTGTGCAAAACATTTCACTGCAATTTCCACAGGAAAGTAGTACATCATAACAGACTGACTTATAGTCAGTCTGTTGGATACATACTACTATGACTGTTATAATGTATTGCAATGACTAGTAAATATGTATGAGATTAATGCCAGGAATATCCTTAACAATTTTAAGTGATCGCCATTACAATTAAACAGTTTAATACTATGATCATGGTGTTTAACAACCTTAATCATGTCAAAATCAAAATTACTACTGTACATTATTATTCACATTCGCTTATAAACCACAATAAAGGCTACGGTCGCGCCAGGCTTCCACGATAACACTTCCAGGGTCATGACAGGCCTTGCAATATAATACAGCATTGTCACGGTTATACCAGCCTGTCACGGTTATACCAGGCTTACACGATAACACTACCACGGTCATGGCAGGATCCTTGCGCTACTTAAAACACTGATTAACATGGCGACGGTTGTGGCAGGCGTAAGTCTTGCAATAGATAGCATGTGCAATTTTTTACCAAAATGTTACTTTCCAGCTGAGTAATTCTATGACTATTTAAACGAAGGGATTATGCCTGTTGGCATAAGTGTGAGGTAGTGTGAGAGAATCCTTATTACATTAGGCCTATATGCTTATCGAGTAAGTTAGTGACTTGCCTTTACTTTTTCAAATAAAATGAACCAAATTTTAATGAAATATTTAGTTCCGGTCTGTATGAAATGACGATTTTGTGCAAAACGGTTGAAAACACATTCCTAATATTTCTCTTATTATTTTGAATTATCTCAGGGTATTGCACAAGATCAAATAAATTAAATATGCTTTGTTAAATCACTGTCAAGACTTACTTTAGTTCCCAAAATGTGTTCGGTTTTCTACGACAAAAATGGCGGCAGGTAATGACAATAGATTGTCATGATATGTCAATGGTAATTAAGGACACATTTGATAGTTATTTTAGTGTTTACAGTCAAATTCAAATGAAAATATTGATTCGAAAATATATTGAATGGTGAGAAAATATAAACGTGAATTTTACACAAACCACTTATTGATTTTCAGCCTAAATACCTCTTGTCATGGCAATGACGTCACGTAGCAATAAAATACCAGAGGAAATACAAAGTTTTCCAATTAGTATTATATTACTAAATTCCTTCATTATTTGAACCCCCTGTTCATCAAAATGTTTCTAGCTCGAATGAAACAAGTATACTTTAGAAGTTAAATTCTAAAAAATGCAGTTTTAGACACATTTTTGCAAGTAAACAGCACCTGAAAGTAAGTAATTTTTATTCAAATTGAATTTCAATTCAGAACTTATTTACTTTTTGTAAGTTCCATTGATTGATCTCATATCTGAGATTTGTTAACATAATGTGTCTGGTATAAAAGAGTCGATAAAATACTGATGGGTTTCTGCCATTCTGACACATATGGCTATGGCTTTCAGTAGACAGGGATGCCCCCAACTCTGATAAGTTAAGACTATCGCAGTTTTGACTTAAATCAGAGCTGTAGCGTCAACATCCATGTCAGATTCATTAATAAAGACATTACAAGTGCACATGTACATCTATGCATGGGCTTTCAATTGTAATCTACAATAGACTTAGGGCAAGCCTACCGAAAGGGTTTGAGCAAACTGTATATACCTCTTTGCACTGGCGGAATAAAACTGATTACCCAAGTGCATCATAATTTGATGATAATTATAAGGTAATTATAGATACGTCTTGAGGGCGCCTCTGTGGAAATGTGGTGTAGCAAGCCAGATACCTCTAGTGTGTTAAATTCAATGCACCATTTGGGAACTGAACCCTATATCTGTTTAAAGCCTGATGTTCTACCACTGAGCCATATATAAGGCTACCTGGCTGAAGTAGCAACTTGCTATCCAGGATTGTTCACTGGTTTTCATTTTAGTATCTGTTATCTCATTCAATTTGTGCATAGAACGAATCAAGAATACAATATTATGGGTAAATTTTCTTTGGCGAACAGCATCTAGATACATCAGTTTATAAGGGCAGCTTGATGTCTCATTTGAAAATGAGTCTAATTACATTTATTTGTGACCTTGATCTTATAATCTAACTCTACATTGGTGAATGGGCTATTTTGTGATCAAATATGAAAAGAATTTGCTGCCTGGCACTATAACATGACCAACCTCTATAAGCTAATTAGGCTGAAGTTCAGGACTTTGTGGAATATCATCTTGTGAAAGTGCCACAGGTATTCCTTGAAAGTAAAGTTGAATATTTGTCAAGCTAGCTTAACATCCTATATATAATGATATTAATTCTGTGATGACTTGTATGTTAAGCGTAACATTGAAATACTATTTTTTATCTTGGCTGAAAAGACTCTATCACTGCTTTTAAATTCTGATCCATGTATAATGTCAGTGTCTGTTCGCAATGTTTTTAAATGTTCAAAGCTGTATTTCATGGTTAAAAATTTGCCAAAAATACAATATTTTTTCACTGGAAACAAAAATTCCATTTTTCAATTGATTGATGTTCAATATGTATTGCATTAACAATAGGATATTTGATTTTATGAAACCGAGAGTAATATATTAACAAGTTGAAAGGTTGTGAATGTGTTAATATAAACTACTAGTTATATAAAACAAGTGTTATAACAGGCCTGTAGATATTGTCTTTGCTAGGAGTTGTCGCGATGTGTCATAATCCTACATTGATGCATCAGCAATTTTCAGGAGTAATCATTGATGCACATGACAATGTAATTCGGGAAAAAGTCAGAGAAAAAGTTCATAAACATTTTTAGAAAGCAATTAAGGAGTTTACAAAAATACTGAATGCAAATACAGTGTATACTAAATTACTGAAAGCAAAAATAAGTTATATTTCTGGTAACGGTGTGCGAAAACAAATGTAAAAATTTGGAGATCAGACGAGATAGGAAAAGGGTGATTTTTAGCAGATTTAATTCTTTAAAAAACATCAATGTTTTATTTCAGACATCGATGCATCACCAGGATCACTTTTGGTGAAATATACATCTGGATGTATCAATTAATTGTGACAACACCAAATAAGGGCATATTCTATATTGTTTTCGTTTCCACTTTGGAAAGTTCAAGACACGGGGGTGTGGATATCCTGATGATAAGGATAAGATATTATACTAGAAATTAAAAGGCAGGATTTTTTTAGTCATTAAGAAAAGCAAAAATGGAAAGAGCTGAGTTGGAGGAGTAGCTCAATATTTTATGCTTATTAGCATTCAATTCCATACTTTCTACCAAATATGATGAGATCTAAAAATAATTCAAGCATTGTACGATTTTAAGTGATTCATTGCGACATTTACTAAGAAAATACTATCAACATATTATTACACTCTTTATCTGACTTTTTTGATATAACGATTTGGGCTAAAAAATGCCTTTCATCATACACAAAATTAGTGACTGAAATACATGTACATGTAAATATAATTCAGCATATATTTTGATTGTCCAATTGGATTAAAGAAATATCAAAATTACAGGATGACTCAAAAAATGTTACCTTTTTATTTAAGAAGAACTTTCGATCTTAATGACACAAAATGGTTTCATTAAAGCGATAGCTGTTTATCAGTACTACACAAGTATATCAGTACTACACAAGTTTATCAGTACTACACAAGTATATCAGTACTACACAAGTACATCACTGTCTTATGTTTTAATCACTCTACAGTAGATAATTCATAATTCCATCATAATTGAATAAAGTCTAAAATTAGGAAGTAAAATCATGTCACTCTCAGTGGCTCTGTGTATGGAATTCTACCTTGCAAATGGTATATTCAAACATGATAGATAATATCTCATATATCGTGAGTTTATAGTCCACCCGTGTAGCTCAGCGGTAGCGCAGGTACCTCTTACGCAATAGGTCCTTGATTCGATCCCCGGTTCAGGCAAGACTAAATTTGCTTGTTTGTTTGAAGTACTTCAGGGTGTTTGACTGAGTGGTCTGCAACTCGTACAAAAGGCTGTGGTGTGTACTTATATGCCTATGTATAAGTGCACATAAAAGAACACAGGGCTCCTTCAAGGAGGGGTTTCTGGGTCTATCTTCCATGTTAATTACGTAAATGACGACTGTATATATACGGGACATACCCAAGAGGTATTGCTCACCTTCATTGGTGGTAAACAAAATACAAAATACAATACAATACAAAAAACGACAGATACTTTCAATATTAGAACGTTAAAATTACATTAAAATTGTTTGTTTATTTATTTTCAGCTCAAAAATATCATTCTGAAGCATAAAAACAAGAAGAAACCATGGGGCAATGACGCTAGATAATGTCCTCTGATGAGGAGCCAAAAGGTGGCGCCACACTCACACCACGGAGCATTAGATCCAGGAGAAAAGATGCTGTGAGTAGTAGAGCAACAGAGCCGTCATATGACAGTGACGGCTCCAGCATAGAGAGTGTGTATGATGAACGCTACCAGGGAAAAGAGGTGGTGTATGTTAAAGATGAGGCTACAACGCTGGCTGATGTCGGAGGTCGTCTTCCGAGCCAATCAGATGAAGGCACAACACCTAGTAGGCTCTTGCTGGTCTCCAGTAAGATAAAAAACATTGGAACTATACAGAATGCTATTGTCTCAGGGGTTTGTTTCATGAGTTACAAATATGAAAGTTCTAATCTGGAGTCTATAATGGGTAAGTAAAACATGAACTAATTGTGGGATTCTTGGATGGTTATGGCAAGTGATTTTCTAACCAATTACATAAATGTGACATTTTTTCATTAAAATAACATGTTTTACCTGTTTATCAAATATCCTCAGTAAGCTCTCCAGAATAATAAAAAATATCAATGCCTGATATGATTTGAATCATATCTTTATTGGGCACTAAGTGAAATGAACAAAAAAAGTCATATTCATCTTAGGCTACATAGAAAGAAAGCCTACGGTATATGGAGATATTTTATGGAATATTCATGATTAAATCATGTTTTTTAGTTTATTTTGACAGAAAATGTCATGTGTTTATTCATTAGCAATTTACTGTTTTGTTTAAATTCACATTTTAGTTCTTCATCTCGGCAGTAATTAGTTCTAGCATAGGTTGGCATGGTACTAAATATGGAGGTTTAACGAAAGATGAAAAAATTTCATCCTCTCATTTTTCCACTAAGACAAAATAAAACAAACAGAATTTAATGACTAGTTTAATGATTTCTTGCTATTTCAAGGTAATTAATTAATGATTATTGTTGAGTCGACACTCATACTCAGTCATCACTCATACTTAACCATAGCTAAAACATTTACCTGTGAAGATTCTCTCTTATCTTGCCTCAAATCACAGTTATACTTCATCGTTAAGATTCAAATAGACAACTAAGTTCTTTCTTATAATATCTTTGATGTTACAACCTAAGATTGAAACTATGCAATTATTTTTCTCAATTTTGCATAAAATATGACAACCTTTGTTTTACCTATAGGCTTATTTATACAATGCTAGACCAAATTGTGGACATACGGTTTATTCAATAAATCACTAATGCCTATATACTCTAAGAGCGAGGAGGAAAATTCTTAATAAATGGAGTATAGTTGGTTTGGCAGCATTTTCAGTTAGGGGGAAGTCTTGGATGAAAATTCTACCTAGGTGATAGCTTCACAGAGTGGTACATAATTCTTTTTTTCAGGGATTAGCCCCCCACCCCCCAAAATAACCCCACCCCGGTAAAATAATTTTTTCATTCTCAATAACTTTAGATATCTTGATGTTTGTAAGTTACATACATAGACATTATATATATGAATCATTTGAAAAATAAATAATGCCAATCACTCCTACAGAATTTGAATAATAGTACAAAGTGTGTACCCCAGGGGGCAAATTCGTGACCCATTTTCTCACTATTTAGAGCCTCACTTTTCAATCAGACACTGGAAGACATTGGAAAAATTCACCTGAAGTGCCCAGTAGCAGACCTATAAGCCCTGAAAGGTTCAAATTAATTGAATCAGTATGAGCCAAAAAAAAATTGTTGATTTTTTGAAAAATTTGACATTTTTGAGAGGCGTGATTTTGTGTATGACTATAGCTGAGGCCTATGGTTTCTAGATCTATCCCTCTTTGATAATAAATATGGTTTTGAAGTATGGAACTAAGATGTAAAAAATAATCAAAATAGGTTTTAAGGAAGTTAAAAGTTTTAAACAAGTTCAAAATTCGAAGAATTGTACAATATCAGGTCTGAATTTACGAATTTTAGGTAAGACCTTAGATGAGCCTTAGATTTTTCACATCTGTCCCCTTTTGATGGTTTTTATGGTTTTGTAGTATGGAACTAAGATGTACAAAATAATTTAGATGGATTTGAAGGTTTAAGGATTTTAATCGAGTCCAAAATTTGAAGAATTGTACAATATCAGGTCTGAATTTATGAATTTCTGGTATGACCTTGGACGAGCCTTACGTTTTTTACATCCTTCCCTCTTTGATGATATTCATGGTTTTATAGTGTGGAACTAAGATGTAAATATAATGTAAATGAATTTTAAGAAGGTTTAAGGATCTTAATGAGTTCAAAATTTGAAGAATTGTACAATATCAGGTCTGAATTTACGAATTTCAGGTAAGACCTGGGATGGGCCTTATATTTTTACATCTGTCACTCTTTGATGATATGTATTGTTTTGTAGTGTGGATCTAAGATGCAAAAATGATTAAGATGGTTTTGAAGAGTGTTTAAGGATTTTAATGAGTCCAAAATTTGAAGAATTGTATAATATCAGATCTGTATTTTTGAATTTCACGTATGATTGTGGATGACCCTTTTGTTTTTTACATCTATATTTTACATCTATATCCCCCTTTGATGATATTCCTGGTTTTATGGTATGGAACTAAGATGTAAAATATAATTTAGATGAATTTTTAGAAGGTTTTAGGATTCCAACAAGGTTTGAAGAATTGTACAATATCAGGTCTGAATTTGCAAATTGTTGGTAAGACCTTTGGATGAGCCTTATATTCTCTACATCTGTCCATCTTTGATGATATGTATGGTTTTGTAGTGTGGAACTATGATGTAAAAAAATAATTTAGATGCGTTTTAAGAAGGTTTAAGGATTTAAACAATTTGAAGAATTGTACAATATCAAGTCTGCAATTAACAAATTTCAAGTATAACCTTGGTTGGCCCATATGTTTTTTAAACCTATTCCCTTTTCATGATATATTTGGTTTAGTAGTGTGGAAATATGTAAAACATATTTTAGATAGGTTTTAAAAAAGCTTAACGTTTTAAACAAGTTCAAAATCTTGGCGTATTGTACAATATCAGAAATTAACGAATTTAAAGTATAAACTTGCTTGGCCCTTATATTTTTAACATCTATCCCTTTTTGATGATATATGTATATATTGTTTAGTAGTGTGGAGCTAATATGTAAAACATAATTAAGATGGGTTCTAAAGAAGTTTAAGGATTTCAACAAGTTCAAATTTTTATGAATTGTACAATATCAGAGCTGATATTAATGAATTTTTGGTATTACCTTGGACGAGCCTTATGTTTTTTTACACCTATCCCTTTTTGATGGCATATATGGTTTAGTAGTGTTGAACTAAGATATTAAACATAAGTTAGACAGGTTTTAAACAAGTTTAAGGTTTTAAACAAGTTAAAAATATGAAGAATTGTACAATAACAGGTCTGGAATTTATTAATTTTAGGTATAACTTTGGATGGCCTTATTCGTTTTTTACATCTATCTCTCAATGATTATTATATAATATATGGTTGGAAATATATAGTAGTGTGGAACTAAGAGGTAAAACATAATTTAGATGGGTTTTGAGAAGGTTTAAGGTTTTAAAGCTGTTCAAAACTTGACAAATTGTACAATATCATATCTGACATTAACAAATTTCAGGTATATATCTCTCTATGATGATATATATGGTTTAGTAATATGGAACTAAGATGTAAAACATAAATTTAGATCGATCGGTTTTAAGGAAGTTAAAAGGCAGAATCAGATCTATAGGGGTGATAAAATTACAAGCAACATGTCCAATTCACTACCAATCTATTCCTTACAATCTAAAATACAATATCTTGAAAAAGATTCATGATGTGTTAAAAACTGATGAAGTTATAATGGATTCAAAGTGCAAAAATGGGGGAAAAGTGTTTAAATACTCCCAAAATAATAAGAATGGTAACCATTCTTATGGAAAAATAATACATTATTGTAGAAATCTTTAGTTTTCCTACACTAAAGTGTGCACTTTGGGGATTTTTAGCAAATAGACATGAAAAGGAATGACATAAGCCAGAAATATTCAAAAATTTAAACAATTTTTTGTTTGGCTGCTTGCTGGATCTGATTCTCTCTTTAAGGTTTTCAAGAAGTTCAAAACAAAACAAATTGTACAATATTAGGTCTGAAATTCTTAACCTCTTTGATGATTTACATGGTTTTGTAGTGTGGAACTAAAATATAAAACAAAATTTAGGAATTTGGGGTTTTAAGGAGGTTTATATTTATTACTTATTGCTAAATGATTATCTAGAAATTATCATCATTTTGCATTTTTTATAGTATTAAAAAACAGGGTAACCATCAATATTTCATAAATTTCATTTTTATTGGGATCAACTTCGGACTATCATAACTTTGCACCTCTACCCCCAATCACCTTGATCTTTACACCAAAAGGTGTCAAATATCTGTGGCTCAAGCTAAAAATAATAATGATAGCACAAGAAAAACTTGCAAAAAGTACCATTTAAAAAACAGAGGGCTAGGTCAATTTGACCCCCCCCCCCTCCCCTGCAGACATAAGGGTTAAACTTCCTTAAAACCCAAAATTCCTAAATTATGTTTTACATTTTAGTCCCACACTACAGAACCATGTAAATCATCAAAGAGGTTTAGAATGTAAAGAGCATGAGGATCATTCAAATCTATACCTGAAATTTGTTAATTTCAGACCTGATATTGTACAATTTGTCAAGTTTTTGAACCTCTTTAGAACCTTAAACTTCCTTAAAACCCATCTAAATTATGATTTACACTTTAGTTCCATACAACAAAACCATATATGTCATCATAGAGAGATATATGTAAAAAACATAAGGCTCATCTAAGGCTATACCTGAAATTTGTTTATTTCAGGTCTCATATTGTACAATTTGTCAAGTTTTGAACTTGTTTAAAACCTTAAACCTCCTTAAAACCCATTTTAATTATGTTTTACCTTTTAGTTCCACACTGCTAAACCATATATATCATCAAAAAGGGATGTTAAAAACATAAGGGCCAACAAAGGTTATACTTGAAATCTGTTAATTTCAGATCTGATATTGTACAATTCACCAAGATTTTGAACTTGTTTAAAACATTTAGTTTTTTTAAAACCCATCCAAATTATGTTATACATATTATTTCAACACTACTAAACCAAATATATCATGAAAAGGGATAGGTGTAAAAAAAACAAGAGAACCAACCAAGGTTATACTTGAAATGTGTTAATTGCAGACCTAATATTGTACAATTTTTCAAATTTTGAACTTGTGAAAATCCTAAAACCTTCTTAAAATCCATCTTAATTGTTTTTTACATCCTAGTTCCACACTACAAAACAATACATATCATCAAAGAGGGACTGATGTAAAAAAAATAAGGCTTGCCCAAGGTCTTACCTGAAATTCATAAATTCAGACCTGATAGAGTACAATTCTTCAAATTTTGACTTGTTAAAATCCTTAAACCTTCTTAAAATCCATCTAAATTATATTTTACAGCTTAGTTTGTTACTAAAAAACCATAAATATCATCAAAGAGGGACAGATATAAAAAACATAAGGGTCATCCAAGGTCATACCTGAAATTCGTAAATTCAGACCTGATATTGTACAATTCTTCAAATTTTGGACTTATTTAAAACTTTAAACTTCCTTAAAACCCATTTTAATTATTTTTTACATCTTAGTTCTACACTTTAAAACCATATTTAACATCAAAGAGGGATGGATCTAGAAACTATAAGCGTCAGCTATAGTCATACACAAAATCACCCATCTCGAAAATGTCAAAATTTTCAAAAAATCAACAATTTTTTTCTTGGCTCCTACAGATTCAATTAGTTTGAACCTTTCAGGGCTCATAGGCCTGCTACTAGGCACTTCACATGAATTTTTCCAATGTCTTCCAGTGTCTAATTGAAAAGTGAGGCTCTAAATAGTAAGAAAATGGGTCACGAATTTGCCCCCTAGGGTACACACTTTGTACTATTATTCAAATTCTGTAGGAGTGATTGGCATTATTTATTTTTCAAATGATTCATATATATAATGTCTATGTATGTAACTTACAAACATCAAGATATCTAAAGTGATCGAGAATGAAAAAATTATTTTACCGGGGTGGGGTGTTTTTGGGGGGTGGGGGGCTAACCCCTGAAAAAAAAGAATTATGTACCACTATGTGAAGCTATCACCTAGGTAGAATTTTCATCCAAGACTTCCCCCTAACTGAAAATGCTGCCAAACCAACTATACTCCATTTATTAAGAATTTTCCTCCTCGCTCTTAGAGTAATATGTGTTATATCATCAAGTTCCATTCATGCAAACATCTTTTATATTTACATATGGTTTTTGTCAATACATGTTTTCTATGGTAATATTATAAGGTGAGGATCAACTTTGTATCACCGGCACTAAATCTTGTCTCAATATTTACGTTCATCACAATTACATGAGTTATCTTGGTAATTAGATCACAAATGATATCAGATGAAAGAATTTGATTTGGACATTCTGAAGTTCATCAATTAGGAGACAGTTTGGGTGGTGTTTATAATACAGTTTTTACTCATGTAAGATATAATATAGTTTAAGTGAGTAAAACATATTTTTACATTAAAAATTATGAATAAAGGGTTATATATAATATAAACCTAAAATATATTTTCAATACAGAAGAATCAGTCATATCATTGGAGAACATTCAGAGTAATGAATTGACTTTACAAAATATTATATGTTAATATGTTTCTTCTTATTATAAACAGGTACCATTACATATCACAATGATATCAAAATTGAATCTCGAAATGTCTTCATAAATACACAATTTATTTATTTTCAGCAACATTGAGACAAGCTTTGAATGGTCAGAAAGTTGTGTCAGTGGCCCTTATTTTACATGGTAGTGGCACTTCTATCAACATATGTGGCAAAGATGAGAAAGTAAGTTCACAAGTACTTGTGTACCTTGTTCTTGGATGATGGTCACGTCCCAGGTCACGTATATCCCAGAATGCATTTTGTCAAAATTGTTTTTACTTGCCTTTAAATTAGATGACTATATTTATGTGTGGAATTTTCTCTATATTAATTTTGCACTTTATTTTACATGTGATCCATTTCCTTCCTGATAGACCGCATGCACAGGATGGGAATGTGACTGTCTAATTTTGGAAGGAACTGGAGCAAGACATTTTACAAGATACATCAACAATTTTGTATAACTTATTTTTGAACTTAAATTATTTTTCAACTTGAAAGCTGCGTAATTGTGGACAAAATAAACCACTCTTTGCAATGTTAAAATCAAATATTCTTTTGCAGTAAATTTTTTGGAAGAAAGTTCTCATTGAAAACAACTTTAAACACAAAGTCATATACACTTTGAAATATCTATGATTACATTTACCAAATTAACATGAAAGCTTTTAAAAGTATTGAACTCAGGACACGTTGATATGAAACATAATTATATTTCAGATCCTGACCAAGGACAATACAAATGACACCAATATTCGAGAGTTCTTCAAATGGCTTGTTGAAGTCTGTATAGATAAATCAAATGAGAATGCCCGCATTGATTTCCTTGCTTGTCAGGCTGGCCAGGGTACAGAGGGCACTGTCATGGCTAGGGAGCTGGAAACCTATTTAGGGGTATGTTTCTTTTCATTTAAATCCACGATCTTAGTAAATCATTCTGAAAGAGCACAACAAATCAGTTTGTCAGGAAGGAATCTGGGAAAACCAATAAACGAATACCAAAAACCAAATATTACCTCACGTTAGTAAACTGGTAATTACACTTAAAATATTTTTTAAAAATTCAGTGAGAACCATTTTCATTTAAACATATCAGTTTAAGATAGATGTAGTAATACTAAACATTTTGTTTTCCTGACCTAATGAAATTATTCTTGTAGGTTCCAGTTGGTATCTGTAAGGACATTTGTGGCACTGAATTGCATATAGGAGAGGAAATGGAAGGTAGACCAAAGTAAGTAGTGTTTATACCTGTCATCTGGCATGTATTTTCATATCCTAATAATAATAAGAATTAAACAAGCCTTTTGACCTTTTTGACAATCTTCTTTCATTTTTAACTGATCCTTAGTATTTTAAGATTACCTATCAAGTCAAAGGTTTAAAAAGATATTGCAAAGCAATAATTAAATATACATACACTTACCCTGTCCATATCATGTTCCCCAGCCTTCCTTGTGAATTAATTTTTGTATCAATGAGCCTTTTCCAGTTAATGAGCTTTAAATGTTGGTAACAGTCTTCCCCACTCTGAATAATGTTCAGCCTCTCATTATATTGAATATTTTTAAAATTGACTGATAATTGGGTGCAAAGTTTAGGTGAATAGGTAGCGATACACTGAATTGGCTTAATAACTCGAAAGGCTTCTCATTGATGTTTCTTTTTTGTTTTATGTTCTTATTTGATTGCCTGGGCTTGTTTAGTTTAGAAAAGGGCACACATTTTTTTTAAAAAACTAACCATTCAATATCAAATCACTTATCAATTCATAGAGGCAATCGCATGAACAGGTTAACTATCATCAATTTGTGCTTGATCCTTAAAAAACAATTTGCCTAAATTTATATGGGATCAGCAAGCATATACCTGAAAACATTCTCAAAAGAATAGCTTTTTCATGTATTTGTTTCATGTATATTTCATGTTTCAAGCAAATCAAGGTCAGTGTTATTGTCCGCCTTTGTGTATTTTTAACCATTATCACATAATTATTTGTTGTATAACTCAAGTAAAACCTGTCTAATCCGAACACCTTTGGGACCAGCCAAAAGTATTTCGATTGGCAGGTGTTCACATTTCAAGTCTTTTTTAATATGGACATTTATGACAGATTTTAAAGATGAGACACAAAAGTGTTCACTTTGGGAGTTGTTCTGATTAGAGAGGTGTTTCGATATACAGGTTTTACTGTAAATTACTGTCAATTTGTGTCATAACATTGATTCAAAGCAACACCATGAACCATCATTTTGTAGCAGTACTCCACGCAGCTATACCAGCTATATATAAGTGAACAATGTTGCAGGAAGTAATATCTTTAAATAATATATGATATCTAAGTGATTTAGAGTTAAGGAACCAATGGACATCTGAACAAGACACAAAGAAGAATGGAAAATTACTCAATATAGGAATCATAACTGACACAAATGTTTGCATGTCACATCATGCTTTTTCAAATGTGCCTCTAAATTCAAGGAGTGGTAAAAAACAAAAACAAGGATCATCTTTTTCAAATATTGATGCAGATATTATTATATAATATTACGTTCAAGATGCAATTTCTAAGTAAAGGCTTCAGCAAAAAAAGTCAAAAGAGCAATAGGTAAATACAAAATATGAAGAAATACATCATGCAACATTGATTCAAGTTGATGTTAATATTTAGTTCTGCAATAAAAATACACATCATATGTAAATCATATGTTAATCAGCACTATTGTATGAGAGCCATTTCAGTTAAAGACTCATACTTCATTTTCTCATAATTTGGATTAATGTTTGGAATAAGTTTCAAGTTATTCGTTTTTTTTTGCATGAATGTATCAAATATTCCTATCATATTTAGTGCACTGTCTACTGTTTATTGTGATTTATACATGGTTAATGGGCAGCATTTTCATAAGGAAAGGGTGAGATTGAGGGTGGGTGCGAATGGACTCATGGAACAGAGTTATACAAGAAATGTTTCTTTTACTTTCAGCTTTGCTGGGGACTTGTACTTCAGACTGGAAAAGTTGAAGAACTGGACTGGGAATAATCAACAGACTCTAGCTGGCTTTGAGAAGATAAGGACTGTGGGGAAAGGTATGGAAACAAGGTGTTCATTAAATCATTGAGTCCATGATGATTCGCGTGATGCTCATATATTTAAGATCATTTCAGTACAATATCATATGAAATACTGTCTAGAATTGATCTCGAGAAATCATAAGATAGTGGACATTTTTCTAATAATTTAGTTTTCAAAATTTTAATTGATATCTTTATTCCAGTAAGTGTAATATTTCATTTGTGCTATGGCTACACCAGTATTCATTGAATGGTATCATATATGTTAACGGTACACACTGTACAATGTATATCTACAAGATAGTAAAAATTGCAGGGGCATATGGTGCTGCTGTTTTGTACAAGAAGAAAGATGATGATTCATTGGTCATCCTCAAGGAGGTTAACATGCATGACTTGAATGCTAGTGAGAGACAGATGGCCCTCAATGAATGGAAGGTCCTAGCTATGTTAGACCACCCTAATATCATCAGTTACTATGACAGCTTTGAGGAAGATGGAACATTAATGATTGAGATGGAATATGCAGATGGAGGGTTGGTGGCTTTTATCATTTCACTTATTGTTGACACATTTAAGGAAATGAGAAAGTCATGGAAACACAGATGCCCCAGTTTCTGTCTCATGGGGAATGCCATATTAAGCATCGTTAAAATTTAAAGATATTTGGTATCATTAACTTTAAAATGATGTTTAAATGGGGACTGAAATCTGGAGTGCTGCAGAATTCAAGTTTTGTTAGCTATTTTGGACCTCAGAATTCAGAAATTATGGCTCCTTTTGCCAGACCTGTACTGTAACATTCAAATTTTTCTAAAAATGTCTGATAATTTTTTTTTTAATCAGGCTGTGTATAACACAGGTTCAGCAAATAGTATCACATAAACCCGTATTTTATCCCTCCTAGTTAATAACCTCTATTTATTCCAGGACACTGGCCCAGTATTTGGTGAGAGATAAACCAATGGAAGAGAAGGAGATTCTTTCAATTTTCCAGCAGATTGTAGCTGCACTGAGACATATACACGAGCACAATATTTTACACAGGTAATCATAAATCAATGAATAAATCTCACAATAACTTGATTGGACTTTTGAACAATACATACTAAGCCTCCTCTCTCTCAGACATTCGTCTTGCACATTAAGACATGAAGTGTACATTTCAGCATCAGATCCCCACTGGGAAATTAATTTTAATGTCTACAGTTTTATAGGTTAATTTGCTTCATTCGTATTTATTGTACACCTTCATTGATGATATTCCAATGCATTCCAATAACACAGATTATCAATACACTGAAACCTGGGTATAAGGGAAACACATTTTGTACTTCAATAGTGTTCTATTTGGATGTTTTACTTACAGATGTGTTCCACTTTACAGATTTGACTGTATTTGACTACATCCACTTTTGATTGAGAACTAATATTTTTCAGAGATTTAAAAACTGCCAATATATTTATGACCAAAGAGGGAGTAGTCAAAGTTGGAGACTTTGGAATATCAAAGATGATGTCAACTGCCACCAAAGCTGCCAACACTGTACTTGGAACACCTTATTACATCAGCCCAGAAATGGTAGGTGCTACCCTATTTATAACTGTGATGCTAAACTATATTGTAATATTCTCTAAAAGACAGAGATTTCAATTGTGTGTACACAGAAAAGACAGATTTGATGGAACATCTTTGTAAGGTACCAAGTCCATTGGCCTATAAGTTGATGAACTCTCTCTGTGAGGAACACCTGTCTACTAGGAACAAAATTAGCCAAATACTGTGCAATTTAAAGACTACACATGATGATTATATCAATTCAGAATTCCTGGTGTACGGAAATTGCTTTATTACTCTCTTAGTGTTTAATTTCACCTAAATACATATTTTTTATATATTTTGACTTTATAGTGTGAAGGCAAGGCGTACAATGAGAAGTCAGACATTTGGGCATCAGGCTGTATTCTCTATGAGATGGCATGCCTCACTAAGACCTTCGAGGGCTCCAATCTACCTGCCCTTGTTAATAAAATTATGAAGGTTAGAGAAATTGTGTTATTTTCCTCTCTTTTTGATTTTCTCATAATTCAAAGGAGTTCCGACAATCTCATTGCTAGAATGGTCAAATTGGACACTTCTGTTTGTAAATCCATAGGATATGGGTTAAGAATAAAATAACCCCTTGTGAAATTATGATACTGGCCTATTAATTTCTTACATTTAGATTCTAAAAGTATATATGAAAGTAAAGAACATCATCGGCCTTACTTAAATGTAATTTGTCTGAACTAAAGAAATATGAGACTAGTACAAATAAATAGTACCATAGTATGGTACATGTATTATAATGCAGATTTGTCATGGTAACAATGGAAAGAGAATACCATACATCTTTGTGACATCACCTTCTTTATTTACAATTGTTCTGATTTAGGGTCAGTTTGCCCCTGTGAAGGGAAACTACAGCCCTGAATTCAAGATGCTAATAAGGGACATGTTGCAAAGAGAGCCAGAATATAGACCTACTGCAAGTGAACTCATGTACCAGAGATTACCCGAGGTAAGAATGTTAAACCAAAAATATATGAACTGTAAAATATGTAAAGTGGAAACCTGCATGTAGAGTGGAATGTTCTAAGTGTTCCTACTCATTTAATAAACCCACTTAATATAAAATGAGCACTTAAAAGCATATGAACATGTAAGAACATATGAACACTTATATTAAATGAACCTCTGTAAGTGGAATCGTCACAAGTGAGAGACTATTTTGAGACACCAAAGTGTTCCACTTACACAGGTTTTACTGTACATAATTTCTAAAGGAATTTCAAAATGGATAACATTCACTTTAAAATGGTCGTTCATTAATGTACCGTATGCTCTCATTTTTTTCAAATAAACATCCACTGACTTTTCCCAATTCAATGTTTAATTAATAATCATCACTCACTGTTCTCCAGTTAATGAATAGCTATGAAGATCCGACTACAGACTTTGATGAGGATCTCATGATTTCTATAGATGGTGCTCATAAGAAACGTCGTACAAGGTCAGTATTAGATGACGTGTAATGGAGCTTTGTTTAATTGCTTAACACTGTGCTTAAATTCAATGAATTGCTATTAATGTGTAATTGTTGCATTCTAACTTTGCATGATGTACATCCTAAGTGTCATACCTCAAAAATTGATGTTATTTTGATGAAGAGTTACAGTTGATAGCAGTTATTATATATTGGTGATACACATATACATCTTCCACTTCAAATAAGGGGCCTTATATGGTGGTGGAGATTTTTTATGCTCCTTGTTTTAGTCATAAATTACATTTTTATAAGAACATTAATGTTTGGAGAGACGTTATTACCTCCAATTGCTCAAAGATAAAAGGATCACATAGATATACAAATGGACTTGAATGGACTTCATGTCTATGATGAATCTGAATTTTACATTGGGGACCTTCGTGAAAGATTTCCACCATATAAGACGCCTTGAGCATGATAGGACTGCATGGGCATACTGTTGTGACATCATACAACAATGACTTATGAATTTTTATAATAAGCTAATATGCCCTAATTGTTTGCACCATGCTTAATATTGTTGGTTACCTACATTGCTTGCATAGCCCTACTGTCATGGACAAAAGGTAAAATATTGTTTGCCCCTTGATATATCAACTGTCAATGTCGAATAGACGTCACATGTTAAACTGTATGTTTTTTGTTGTGAAGAGTGGATTGATACTCCCTGTCTTTTGTTTCTTGATTGTTTAAATGTGTGCGGTTTTAAATGATTTACATGTATTCTTATACATTAGTATTGATTATATATACATCTAAAAAGTGAGGGAATCATTTAATTTTGATGTTTCTGGTGCATTATACTTTATTACAACTAATCTTATCTCTGATTCTTCCATGTCCCATTAATATTCTTACACTGTGGCATTACTTGTTCTGCTTGTTCTTTCCCATCTGCTCTGATGAACAACTTTGTGCCTTTTTGGATGGACAATTTTCAATAATACACACCAAATCAGTCCTGTTTGGCATACTATGTACATTTCATAGTACATGTACCTGTAATCTCTGTGACTAGATACAAGTTTTCCCTATATATTAATATGATTGTTCTACTTGAGTGTCGGCGATATCACTGACTAGTTTATGCTATGTTCACGTAATTCTGACTGGTTTATATTCCGGTCACTTTACCCAATGAGTGTGTTTTGAAGTGTGTATGTTTTCACGATTCACTCACTTGTGATACAAGTAGTTGCACAAAGGTTGTGTTTTGTCTGTACCACTCACTTTACTTGGAGAGAAAAGGAACGGAAATGTTAGATTTAAGAATTCTGACAAAAAATTATACTGCTATATAAACAATAACCTATGTACATGTCCTGTTTCGTAGTGTGATATATGTGTAATGACTACTATTTCTTATGTGTAATGACTACTATCTTCTCAAAGAACCAACATTGTTTAAAATTGCAAAGCAATCTTTGTTTTGCCTGACATTTGTCACATCTTTATGAAGTTAACTCCCTGAGTACTTGTATTTTGTTTTCAACCCAAAATTGACAATTGAATTGTATTTTCAGGTCAGTGTTATATTACCTGCAGACCTTTAACATGCAGCTACACCCAATAGACTTGATGCATTCAAAGATCAAAATCAGAGAGGTATGTTTTATGTATCAGATTTTTGGGGGCAAAAATTAAATTAAAAATTACACCATGCAAGAGCCTACATTATATTATATTATATTATATTATATTATATTATATTATATTATATTATATTATAAGGACTATTGAATCTATTTGTTGACTCAATGTGTGCTGACCACTACCCCACAAAATATCAGTGGATGATCTGTATTATAGGTGGCAGTAGGTGGAGATCATGTGATAGTGGTTACTATGGAGAGGATGGTGTTTACATGGGGTGAAGGTAGTAAAGGCCAACTGGGACATGGTAGTCTTGAATCATCAGACATGCCACAAATGGTAGAGGCTCTCAAAGGAAAGTCAATCACCAAGTAGGTCTTTACATGTAGTGTATAATTTAATGTATTTGCTGATCATATATGTTACTTAAGGAAAAATCGTTGTCACTACTACTAGACTTTACACAGAAACCCATAGTTTGATTTCTAGATGTACAGATATAAACTAGAATTAAATGTCACCAGTAAATAAATTTTTATCTCCAGTATTTTTTTTAAAAATGAAGATGGATATGAGAATATTAAAATAAAAAGGCATTATAATGACTGTTTGATGAGTATCACTGTACTCTCCAGGGCATGCTGTGGTGATGGCTTCAGTGTGTTTGCCAGTGACAATGGTATTGTAATGACATGTGGAGATGGGACACTCGGCTGTCTTGGTCATGGTGACTGGTGCTCTACTTCAAGGCCTAGACTTATTGAAGCCCTGCTTAGGTAAATCAATCTTATTATTAAACATATTTGTATGAACTGGAAAGTTATGGCACATTTCTCATTGGTAAAAATAAATAATAACAAACACTTTATGGTGTAATGCCCTTTAGTGTAACAGCATTTTTATTGGCTCATCTAGTCTTGCTACAAGTCTTTCTGGTGACCCCCCTCCCCCTACATAGCTCACCTTAATAATCTGGCAAGATATTGGGGGAGGGGATCAATGAACTAATGAGGCATAAAAAATGTCATTTATATCAGTAGATAACTTGGTTATTATGTCTTGTATACTCTTATTCTTGCAGTGTTGATGTTGTGGCAGTTTCTTGTGGGCCACAGCATGTGGTGGTTGTAGGCAGCAATGGGGAGATATACTCCTGGGGGAAAGGTGCACATGGAAGACTCGGTCTTGGCAATGAGGAAGACTAGTAAGTTATACTACCTGTGCTAGAGAAAATGTGATTTGGTGCCAGTTTGACACCACAATATTGTAGTTTGTGAAATTTATGCACTGATTTTGTGAGAGATAAATTGTTGCCAGTAAGCAATGATAAAGTTTTGAAGAAAACTGATTTCTATTTTGTCTCTAAGCAAGATTAGAAATTAAAGAAATGTGTGATTTTAAATTTCAATTTGATATTTCTGTTGCAGTTGTACTCCAATGGAAGTCACACTCTCTGAGCCAGTGTTTGTACGTGAGGTTCGTTGTGGTATAGATGGCACTATGTTCCTGACAGATGTTGGGAGTGTGCTTGCTTGCGGGAACAATGAATATAACAAATTAGGTCTCAACCAGAGGCAAGGTTTTCTAATGGCTATGAAGAATATATTCAATAAGGTAAGTGTGGTGCGCTGAGGATAGGGGATAAGAGAGTTGGGCTAACTTATCCGGTAGGATTTTTATGTCACTTACGCTAACTGCCTAAATGGTGAGATATTGTTCAGTTGTCAGCATTCGGTATTTTTAACAAATGACAGATGGTGACATTTTGCATGTTACTGCCTTGTTACATGATGTTTTTAAAAGATCAGTTTGTCGGCTTTTTACATCACTGAAATGATCTGTTTAGTGTCTTGGTTAAATTGAAATGTGTGTGGTGGCACTTGCTAGTTATTCTGTTGAAACATTTATACTTGGAATATTATCGATCAACTATATTTGCATAATTATTTCACATTCCAGACTGAAGTTGAGGGCCAAAAAGTGCCAACTGTTATCAAAGCCCTGACGAAGCATCGAGTAGTTGATGTCTCAATGGGTCCTAAACACTGTGCTGTTTTGGTAGAACCAGGCCATGTATATACATTCGGCCGCAATAATGAAGGACAATTGGGTACAGAGAACACTAAGCCTCAGAATGCCCCAATTGAGGTCAAACAAGGCCTTGAGAGTAAAACTGTACAAAGAGTGCAATGTGGAGAGTTATACACTGTAGTTAGTACGACAGACAATGAGTTGTATTTCTGGGGTACTAGATATAAAACTCCTTTACCAAGTGGCAGTAATGGTACACTTGAATCTCAGAAGAGCATTGAAAGTGGTGTGTCAGAGGGAAATGAAAAGAAGGGCCATTCAAGACAAGCTAGCATAACCAGTGTGAATAGTTTGAACAGTACAAAGGAGTCCTTACCCTCCCCTTCTCCAACTCCAGTCCCTGCAAACAGAGATGGTAAGTTTTTCTGTCCAAAAATCAATAAAGTCCAGTTTTTGGTATTTGTCAAGTTATATGACAATGTATACTTATGATTAGTAAAATATGTAAATTGTAACTTGTAAATTGTGTTAACATTGTAATCATCGTTCTAATTTCTGTATTTTCGCATCAAAGGCCTGTATACTTTTTGTTCCATCTGATTCCTAGTGATCACTACTAGTTACATATGATATGTTTGTTCACTTTCAGGATCAGCCTCTAACAGACATGAAAGGACAGACAAGGGTGATAAAGGTGCAAGCAGTGACAGCACATTGTTCTCTAGTGCTGATAAGATAGAAAAGTTGAACCTCTCCAACTCAAACAGCACAGACATAAGTAGCAAATATGGATTCAGACCTATCAGTGAGTATTACCTCCATGTCCTGGGTTGGTGCAGAAATAAACACCACATCTTAAAAAGTGAACTTTATTTTGTGCTAATACCATTTATTTCAGATCTATTTATCATCGTACATATATTAAGTTATGGTTGTAGGTCTTTTTGTATTTGGAAGGGCAATTTCAAACACATAATCCTTGCAACTGTGGTGTCTTAGATTGTGACAATTTGCCTGTTTTATATATATCTTTGTGAGAAATAAATAGATAAATGTTTCTATATTTCAGGTAGCACGCCACGTCGTAGCCAGAGCGCTGGGAGCTCCAGGGATGGCAAAGACCTCAACAAGGAGATGAAGGAGAAGAGAGACAAGGAGAAGGATGAAAAGGAAAAACCTCCAGATAATGCTGACCTTGTCCTACAGCCTATACACCTACTCAGGTTAATGCCCATCAGTTTATCTTTTACACTTTCTTAAGCATCAGTTTCAATGATTTATCCTATACACTTACTCAAACATCTGTTTCAATGATTTATCCTATACACTTACTCAAGCTTCAGTTTCAATTATTTATCCTATACACTTACTCAAATATCAGTTTCAATGATTTATCCTATACACTTACTCAAATATCAGTTTCAATGATTTATCCTATACACTTACTCAAGCTTCAGTTTCAATTATTTATCCTATACACTTACTCAAATATCAGTTTCAATGATTTATCCTATACACTTACTCAAATATCAGTTTCAATGATTTATCCTATACACTTACTCAAGCTTCAGTTTCAATTATTTATCCTATACACTTTCACAGGCCAGTGCCCAAAAATTATCCCAGTGTCACCATCCTCTCAAAATGACAACTTTTTGGTTATTTGTCTTTGAATGTTCTAAAATTACACTTTTGTGAATTATTCATTACATGCGAAACACTTATTTTATTCAAATTTTTATCTTGTAAAAAAGTAGCAGCCTTTGATATGTTTGGTAGATTAGCAAGAGTCACTGAATGCAAAGTTTATAATGTTGTGCATTAAGCAATAGTCTTTATATCTCAAGGTTGGTTACCATAGTTACTTTGTACACTATTATAATGAGCTATTTACTGTTCAATATTCTTCCACTATAAGGTAACCTGTAATTTGTTGTTCATACTATTTTTATAAATTTAGGTGTTATCATAGTCTGTTAATCTTTCTTTAATGACTAATATGTCATTGATTGTTTTAGGCTAGATGCTACTGGGGCCCACAGTCCTGCAGGGGAGATAGTAATCCTCTCCAACTTTGTGTGCCATGGAGAGAATCTGTTCCTGCAAGTAGAGACCACGGCTCCACCACCCAAGAAAAGAAGCAGGAAGAAGCGAAGTTTTAGGTTTGTACATATATTTATGAATCATGTATGTTGCTTTGTTGAATATCATTGGGATTAGAACACCAATCAAAAGGCAAATAATTGTTCATTATTTAGTTCCATGTGCCATTGCTGAAGTAGAGTTGGTGATACTAACATTTGTGGATTATAAATGGGAAAATGAATAAGTTGAGCTGGTTTCATATATATTAGTGAAATTCAAAATATTAATATAATGTGCATTTTACAACATTTAGTGAGAATATACATGCTACAATGGACATGTTAAAAACTCTTCAAGCCTCCTCCAATATTGAGGTATATATACTCATAGTCAATTCACTCTGTCAATCCTATAGAAAGTCATCATCTCAGTTTCTCTCAATGTCTTTTACATTTTAGTTATCACTTCCAGTACAATAGGGATTGTCTCCAAATATGGTCAACGATTCAAATAATTTTCTGAATAAAACATGCCTTTCTCAAGTAGTAATGATTATAATACAGTTCTCACGGTGTACAGCTATTAACATACTAAGAATGGCACCATTTGTTCCATTCTTTAGCTAATTAATAGCCTTTTCCACATCTATGAATATTTGGACACATCCTCCTATTTGATTATTACCAATTTTGCTGGTCTCATTACTCAACAAGATTTTGGTAAAACTTATTCAATGCTAGGCGAAAAAAACATGCCATACCTTGTTTTAAGATCAATGAACCTTATAACATTGTCCCTGGCCTATTGAGTAATGAGCCCATTGTCACTCCTTCCTACACCAGTCACAACCACAGCTGGTTGAAAGTTCTCCATAATACTACAGATATTTACCTTTGATACCTATATTAAATGGAGAACTTCAAACTATCCATGGTCACAGCAGATAAGTCACGTTCCCCGTATCACTTGTAGAAAGCGTGTGAGTGCTGATACACTAGAAGTACCTCATGGTAAAAAGCTTGTCCATTCAGCAGGCAGCAGAGATGGAGGGGATGAATACTCTTCTGAGGCCTCAGAGATTGACACCCAAGGAACTGTAAGTGACCTTTTAATCAGATTTGTTGTCACAGATTAACAGCTAATTAGATTCATTAAATAGCCAATATAATAAGCACATTATTTGCCTCTCACTGGTTTGTTATGTCACCACCAAAAAGTGGTGACATATTGTTATGGACTTTGTTTTTTATGAGGGCAGTTGGCATCTGTAAAAAAATGGTGGTGACATTTTGCATGTTAGTGCTTTGTTTATTCTGCTTCTGTATCAATGTTTGCTATAGCTCTTTGTGTCATTTTAGCTATTTTCTCATTTGAAACAGTAATTTTACAACCCTGAACTTTGAATCCAGATCAGCTTTTTTGGTTGTCTGAAAGAAAAATGTACATGATTCGATCATGAAATATGATAATTTGAAAGTAATTGAAGCAATCATGTTAAATTCTGCCTATTAAGTCTATGTGGTGTGTAGCTTTTGGTGTAAATGCTTTACAGTGTATGAGATTCAATAAAATATTATCATTTCACAGCCTAACTATCGCAAGAGCTTTCTGACACGGCTATCCCATAATAAACTCTCTATGCAGTCAGGGGAATATGGCACGGTAGTAATTACTTTACATTCTTTTGAAATGTCACAGTGGTCAGTGGTTCTAATGTTTTCAATAACATGAATTTTGACGAGTCTGGATGAATTGTCTCATCAGAAGACAACAGGCAAAATTCAACTATCTCAGACTGTCAAGATTTACAAGTAACCCTAGCCAAAGTGAAATTTTAAAAGGCTCTTATTGTTGCGTGTATTTATATTCATTGTGCATTTTATCAATTATGCATGGTGTCATTCTATACATTATGTGTAATACATGTTCAGTATAATAAGTTGTACTAGTATTCGTTAGCTTTTTAAAATGAGATCTCACATGCATTCTATATTTTAGCAAGTTTTTTATGATGGCATATGCATTTGTTAGCATCTTTTAGGAATTAAATTTTTTTTAGTTCAGATGGTTTAGACTATTCATTGGTAATAGAAATTAAAAGAAATACAGGTTAAAGTCGGGCCTCTCTCCGAAACGCAATCTTAGGTTGTTCCCGGGGTCCCTGGTAATATTTTGTGCTTTAATGAGACAATTTGACAATTGTTCATTCAATTGCTCAGAGGTTCGCCGGTAAACAAAATTCTTCGAAGATTTCTAAATTTAGAATGTCATGTGACTAACTAAAAAGAAGTTAAAATAAAATCCCTTAAATTACAAGTGCGCATAACCAATGCCTGGTTAGTACAGTGGCAGAGTGCTCGGCTGTTACTTCGAAGGTCCGGGTACGAATCCCGGTATTGTCTTTTTTTATTCTTTTTTTAAGTTAATGGTTACGCTTTGATTTTACACTTAAAAAAACGTTTATATCTATGTCAAAGAACAGGTCCATTTAACAGACTATTGGTCAACTTAGACTTTTTCAAAAAAAACTCATTCTTCCATTTACTTTCAAAACCGATTGCAAGTTGTAGATAAACCTTTTTTCTTGAGGTGTGCAATTTCAAAAAGTGGCATTAGTTTTCAGTATTTTTGAAAAATTGGCAGTAAGAACCCCTATCACAAGGCTGTCTGAATATGGGTACACACTATGTTTACCATCAAAATAATATCAAAACTTATCATTACATAGAATTTAGTATATGGAACATATGGCATGCAAGCATTCGGAGTACAACATTTTAAAAATCTAGCTATGTATGAAGTTTACCAATGCAAATCTGGAGAACATTGTCATTTTTTGTTTACTTTGTTATCAAGTTTTAGCATGGTGCTCATTTCCTTTCGTTGAAAATTTAACCATCAGCCCATTCTCCCACAAAAAAGATATTGAAACTGTATAATGCAGAGACTGTAAAGTAGCTTCTCTGCAAATATCATTGTTGTGGGAGTTTGGGCTCACCACTAAATCTTAACTTTTGTGATGAAAATAAGGCTGACTGGTTTATGTTTTCAATATGGCTGCTAACCTGGGCATACATGTACACTACATAACTGCATGTACAGATTAGGCCATTCAAAATTAATTATATGTTGGCATTCTGATGAAGGGCCTTATATTAAAAACTACAAAACCTTTATTTATTTAAAGGGCTTTATATATTATTTACACAGGGCTCCCTTTTGAGAACTTCAAAATCCCATGTTTGCTCTTTGCTGATGATATTGTCCTAACTGCTGAATCTGGTAAAGACCTTGAACTCCTTCTGAACGTTGTTAACAGATTTGGAATAAAGTGGGGATTTAAGTTTAGCAAAAAGAAATCAAAGGTAATGGTCATTGGAAAAAAAGTTGATTCAACTAAACTGTGGAAATTTGGCGACCTAAAACTCTCTGAAGTTAATGTATATAAATACTTGGGAACCTTTTTCCACAGGCACTTAAAAGATTCTCATCACATTGATGTACATGTATCTAAGAAATCACGAATGTTAAATGGGTACCTATCATCAACTCTTACTAAACATTGCAATCTTAAGGGAGTAAATTTCGGCAAAACAATATATCACTCTATGATTGAGTCTGCAATTTTATCTGGATGTTCTGTATGGACACTTACCAAAAGTAACATAGCTCAGATGAAGTCAATACAATACAGAGCAGCGCAAGCTGTTTTACAATTAAAGTGTAAACCCGCAAGACCAGCCTTATTGGGAGATCTCGGTTGGACTCCCATTGACCTCACAATTGAAAAACGATTGCCTACTTTAAATATCTAAAGTTTGACCTAGCCCATTCATCCCTACCCCATAAGGTTTTAACTCATTTGATAAACCAACATAGTGAAGGTAATGAAGCCCCTTGGAAATGTGTGTCTAACATAAAGTCTATTTTAATCAAGAGGGGCCTTGATGACATTCTTTTTCGAGATGACTGTGAGTGGTACAGTACCTATGAAGGCATTTGTAGACAGGAACGCGCCACTAATTTTATTGATGACATATCCCATTATAAATCTCTTAATACTTATTCCACTTTTAAGAACCATCCATACCAAGAAAATTATCTAAAACAAGATTTTGATTTTTATGGTGCTAGACTCAAATTTCTTGCAAGAACCAACAATTTTTGCCTTGAATCCAATTACTCTGTATGGGGCAAAAGTGATGGCAAATGTAAACTTTGTAGTTTGAATGTTCATGACGACTTACAGCATAGGTTGCTGCTGTGTGAACATTTTAAAGAAGAACGTGAATCCTTTTTCCACACTGTTTGTAAGCAATGTCCCTTCGATTTATTTTCTGATTTCATTAAGGGTAATCTGACTGAAAAATTGACCTATATGCTTGGTGATGAGACTTTTTCAAAATGGGGGCAAGACTATTTTAGATTATTTGATAGCATTGTAAAACGCTTTTTAACCCAATTGTACAAGCCCAGAGATTTATGTCTTTCATTATTTTAGTATATGCAACATTGTTTTAAAGAAATTATACATGACTTTGTATTCTATTCATATTGTATAGCTGTATGTAGCCGCACTGGATGATAATCCATGTGCCACTGTTAAAAGTGTTGGCAAATAAATAAATAAAAAAAATAATAGTGAAAATGCAATAAAACAAAGTGGAAAGGCAAGTAACACCTCTTGATTCAGATGACCTTGTTAATGAAGACAATACTAAAGCTTATATACATGTAGTTTTTAATCAATCTTGGAACTCATTTCAATGCAATATATTTCACGATCTCAATTCCCTCTGTCATTTATATGCATTACAAGTACAGAGTACATGGGAACATTTTGTTTTTTCTGAAAACATAGAATCTAGTGACATTAATTAGAAAATTCTTTTGAATGGCCTAAGTGTTTTTTCTCAAAAGGGAATAAGAAGAAATTATTTTAGGCAATCTTTTGAGTGTCATGCCATTTATACATGATGCTGCCTTATATTTTATGATATTGAAATCCAAATATGGGAACTGCAAATTGGCAAACAACTTTAAAACTAAGTCTCCATACAGACATTTAATTTCAAATTCCAATGTAGATGCCAATGGGCATCTACATTGGAAATGGCCTTGTCATGGGTATTTAAAATAATAATCACATCCCAACTCATAAAACATGCTTATATTAGGATACTGTTAGAGTCTCAAAAGGCAACAAGAACATTCATTTTTGAAACAGGAAAATGTATCCCCCCAAAAATGGATACATTATAAAATTGCCGAATGTAAAACAGAAACGGCAACATGAAATTAGGAAATATACATCTAATTAAGATATTGAAGATCGATCTTAGTGGGCTTTAATATGGTAGTTGTCTCATGAGTGTCAGCTTATTGTATCAACTTTACTTTAACAAAACTCATAAACAAAATACGATAGATTCGAAGCTTTAAAATCTCAGAAGATATCCAAGTGCTTTGGATATCCCAGTATTAAAAGTTTTTAATCCCGGTATTAAACATTAAAATTGTAGATCAGTTGTAAATTAGAATTATATAAGGGGTGTCAGGTCGGCAATATTTTATTTGGTTTTACATTAGTGGTGTCAGGTCAGCAAACTTTTATTCGGCAATTACAATTTTAATCCAATTCAGAAAATAAAGCACCCGGATTTTATACATGTTATACAGTATCTCTTCAGTCGTATGAAAATGGAAAAATGATTTATGTTCACATATTGCGTTTTGGAGAGAGGTATAGGCTTAATAATGCAAATAAGACATTTTATTTGTTATTAAACACTTCAAGTTTGTTTATTTAAGTATTGACACATCCACAATGACTAAGATAAACAATTTTGTAGTCATAACAACCATGATATTAAAAAAACATCACAGATTGTAAAATGTCCAATGGCATTGTGGACCATTTTAATCTTTGCCTTGACGACCTCCTGGACGGCCCCCTGGACGACCTCCTGGACGACCCCCTGGGCGACCTCCTGGGCGACCTCCTGGACGACCCCCTGGACGACCTCCTGGACGACCCCCTGGACGACCTGGGCGACCCTTTGACTGACCTCCTGAGGAGTCACCTCCTGAGCGATCTCCTGGACGACCCCCTGGACGACCCTCAGGACGACCTGGGCGACCCTTTGACTGACCTCCTGCACGACCTTTTGGGCCTTCTGACTGACCTCCTGAGGAGTGACCTCCTGAGTGACCAATTGACTGACCTCCCGATTGACCTACAGAATGACCTTCTGAATGACTCTCTTGTTTCTTCCCTCGTCCCTTTGTGCCACGTCGTGCTTGGATGGCTATGATACAAGCCACAAACAAGATGACCAAAGCAATACGCATCTTGGTCATATTGATGGAATATCTTAAAAGTATAAATAAAAATATTTAAAAGCTATGATATACCAACAAAAATGATAATAGATTTCTTGATTTAAGGCATTGCTCAAACTAACACATTCTCAAAGATTCCCAGCAGGCTTTTACAAATTATAGCCCACCTGACCCATATACGAGTATTTTAAAAAAACACTCATGTATTAAAAAAACAAAAAAGTCAGCATTTTTCTTAAAGGTAGTGACAAACATTTGCAAGGTAAACTGTGAAATATATGATATGTTCAAGACTTTTCTGAGTGAATAAAAACATGTTTGACTTTTGTAATTGCAATCTATTCATGCTAATGTTACTATTGATTAATAATTGGAAACATTTTGTTAGGGAGGGCATCATTACGAGCCTCAGCTTTTTTTGTCCAATGAACTAAAAATTAATTAAGGTCATTAAAAAATGTGTTGGCAAAAAAGGTAGAAATACATACCAGTTGACTTGAATCAAGAAATCTTCAGTGAATATCCCTTCTTAGGATACTCTGTCTGGTTTCCCTGATATCCTCTGCTCTGTTTATAAGCTCTAACATAGCTACCTCAGGGACTTCATAGTTACATAATTAAAAATAGGTAGAAGTTGTGTCGTGATCTTTAACAATAGGCTTGGACAAAGGTTTGTGGTCACGAAAACTTGGCAAACAATATTGGGGATTATGATATATACACTGGAGACCTCGTGATATTTGTCAATGGGTCCAGTTACTGTGAACTTCAAATAAACCTTCAAAAAAGCAAATATTTACACTGCATTTGTAATTTATCACTAGTAGTCTATAGCCTTATTGTACTAAGGTTACAATTAACAAATCTTATTGCCATCCATCACATTATAAAAAACTTGATAGTTGTCAGTTACAAGATAACTTCCATTGATGACTATCAATTCAGGCATTAATGTTATTCTTGTGAAAGAGAAGGATGTGCTTCAGCATTATCTTATTTAACAAAGTATCTATCAAAGAGGATTGGCTTACAGACCTCCAACTCAATATTCGACCTTGACCCTGATCGGCGTCAACATTGAAACTCTCATTATTTTCTGACATTATAAGTGACGATAAATTCATTATCAGCAATGCAAAAGATTTGTAACTAATTCTTCTTGTGTGTTTTGAAATTTTGTGTTTGGATGTAAAACCAAAACTTGTGATTGAAATTCCTAAGTGATAAAATGGTGGCTGTTTGATTTTGAATTTTGTAATCAAGACATGACTCACTGTGTGTGACATGACTCCCTATATGGCAGAATATGGAGATGGAACCCTGGGGGCCCATCCTCCTTTAAGTATCCTTGTTAATTCTTGGAAGCATGGCATATTATGCCTTGACACTATTCTTAAGAAGGTGGCCAATTTGAGAAATTATTACTCACAGTCTTGCACTTGACAAGAAGTTAAAGGGGTTTTACTGTGCCTTGGTATTGATTTTTTAAAACGTATTAATACATGTTCCATGTTGATAGGCTTCACATATCAGTTTACCACAAACACTAATACAGCATTGCTTTATATGTACAGATTTATCATTGCAATTATCTGTTATGTTGGCATAGAAACAAGAACCACGTCTTCAGTGAAAGGATTTGTTGTTATTAGTGTTGTATTAGTGTATTAGTGATTCCCATGGTGATGTGTATTTGTTGTTGTTTATTTTTTTATACTTTTAAAGTGTTACCCCATCTGTGCATTAAGACTCATCCTTATGAAAAATAGATAGTTTTTTTTCAATGTCTATCATGCGCATGCAACCAAGTCTTACATCAAATAAGGATTTGTAAAATGCCTTGTATTTTATGCTCAATTATAATCGAAAGCAAACAATGACATAACAACATGTTATATTTGTTTGATATTATTTTTAATGATGTCAGTCGGTTAGTAGCAGATGCAAACTAAATACAATAAGCAATAAATGTTTTAAAGTCATCATGCATTGATAATTGTAATTGAGCATGTTTAGATAAAACTGCACGTGTTTGGAGCTTTACTTCAATCTACATGCAGTTCACAGACTTGGATTATGGAAATGGAATCATATTCAAGTACTATCTAGTAATATGAAAGAGTCTGAGATTTAGAAAGTAATATGGATGAATTATAATGTTATCATTGAAATAATTAAAAACTAAAAAATGTCTGAAAATACTGCATCATAAGAGTACTGATACTGATATCTATATTATCCAGATACCTGCATGGATAAAAGAAGAACTTGCTGTGTCTGAGATGGATGAAAGAGAGAATGCTGATACAAGTGAACAATCAGATGATGAACTTACAACCAATGATACATCAATGTCCAGTATACAGATAAACAATGATCTCAGGCCTAAACACAGTAAGTACTTTAACTTTTAAAGATGAGTTGTGAATTTTCTAAAACAAATTGGCTCAATTTTACAATATAATTTTGTCTTTGGTATGTCTATTGGTATATAATAGAGCATGAGATCTGATATTTTAAAATAACTGTTACTAAGTTGAATCAGTCAGTTCCCACAATGTATCAATGTATTCAATATACATATTAAAGTTGCAGTCATTTTTCTCTGGTCATCTGAGTTTGGAATATACTAAAGGAATCAAAATCTCTAGTTCTTCTCATGTAATAAACAAAACTATTATGCTTTGATTCAGATCACAAGTCAAACAATGCAGTGCACAAGTCTGCCAGTGTTCCAATAATGGCACCAGGGAGTCAAAAGGTATTGATTACTTTGAAACAGTAACTCATTTGAAAAATAGCCCAATTTAAATTGGTATGTTTTGTGATTTTTTCTATTACATGTATTTTGATTTGATACATAAAATAATCAATTGTCATCAGCCATAACAACTATTGACAATGCACAAAATATGAAATCTAAAGGCAATAGCGAACCAAACAAGTTATAACTTCCTCTTACTATACTACATGTATTGTACTGTACTGTATTGTACTGCACTTTACTGCACTGCACTACATTGTACTGTACTATACTATAATAATAAAAATATATATGCATTTACTTTTATTTGTAGAACACTTTATCAGGTGGTCACATGAAAGGGCCAAAAGCAAAGGCCCATAGTGATATAGGACCCATAGAGTTCACACCTGTTGACCCTCTCTCCAGTTCTAGCTCCAGTGAGACTATGGCAAACTCAGCCAGGTATGTCCTAATTCAACCAAATACAGAAATTTACAGAATATTTAGACTTTAAATGATATTTATCAAATAAGACATGGCCAATATTAAAGTTTTATTTCGCACTTGATTGTTTGCGTATTTCACATTGATTGCTTGGATATGCACATTGATTTCTTGTATATTGCACATTGATTGTTTGTATATTGCATAATGATTGTTTGTGTATCGTACATTGATTGTTTGTATATCGCATAATGATTGCTTGTACATGTATATTGCACATTGTTTTTGTATATTGCAGTCCTGTGGAGGACAAGAAGGAGTTGGGCCCCAATAAGAAGGTAACCTCTCCCCCCAGGAAGGTTCCTGGCCCCTCCCCCTACAAGACAAAGGTGGGTCCCATGCCTGTGCAACCACAGAAACCACTAAACAGACTCAGGGCACAGAACAAAGGCAGGACAAGAATGTAAGAATTACGATTTCTGAATCATAACTTGGTTAATGAGAACATTGGGTCAACATGAGGTCACACATGATATGACATTCTCATTTTAGAAAAAGTATGTGTGAATCATATTCACTTTTTGCCCTGTCTTCAGGCACTCTATATTTCAATTTTCATGATTGCTAAAATTGAATTTTTTACAGTCAAGAGCAAGGAGCCATAGCTAAAGAACCCCCACCACAGCGAGGTCTTGTTTCTGATGTAACACAGAAAAAGCGGGAAGAGACCCTACTATTAGAGTTTGAAAAGATGAAAGAGGAGAAGAGAAGGACAGAGGAGAGATTACGAGAGCTTGAAGAAAAACACAGAAGAGATGAAAGACAGATAAAAGAAATTGCTGAGAAACAGGCAAAGGTAAAATGAAAAAAGTCTAAAACAGACTTATCGGCAAGATGTTGTCCTCGGTGAAATTGTATCCCAGATTAGTCCTGAATATGTTCATACAGCAAATGCATGCCACAGTTTGTAGCCATATAGACAATTTATCATTGTCTCCTGAAGAAGCATTTTGTCTCTATGTCATCCTCAATTCGTAGCTTTATATTGGACTGTTTATTGTCCTGTATTATTTTTTTAGGTTATTGTTATTTATTTCTATATAATTCAACATAATTATTTACATAGATTGTGAGGGGTCGAGGCTACATAGCATTATTGGCCCCCCTCTAGAAAGTTAAAAACATATAATAAATCACTGGAGTGTGTAGGATTGCAACGGACAGACGGTCGTCCTGTATTGTCACTAAAATGAATAAAAAATAATGAATATTTCGTTGAAACATATTTTATCAACATAAGTAGAAGAAAGTACTTACAACTGTGCTGGTAGCATTGAAAGGTTTTTGTGCATATGCCTCAGACTGTGTATTTATGATGATATCATTTTTGTTTCCAGGAGAGAGAGAAAGAATTAACAAATGAGATTAGAAACCTCCGTCAAGAATTGATTCAGCAGAGTGGGAAGATGCAGGAGAATTATAATGTGGTCCTCAATTTACAGGTAGGCTAGGCTACAAAAGTGACAAAACAAGAAATTCATTCAATTTTAAAGCAAGACGATAGAAAAGATAAAGATTTAATTTAAGCAAAGTTAATAATTTGTTTTCTGTTAGAGCAATGATCAAATACAAAATATGCCATGTATGGAAGGATCAATTCATGAGTTTCACCAAAGTAACAGTAATGTTATATATATGCAGGAACAGTTGGTAAAAGTGTTACAATAGTAACAATAATGTCATGTATAATGCTGGAACAATCAGTGAAAGTATTACCATAGTAACAGTAATATATATTGCAGGAACGGTTGGTAAAAGTGTCACCATAGTAACAGTAATGTCATGTTTATTACAGAAACAGTTAGTGAAAGTGTCACCATAGAAATAGTAATATTGTATTTAAATATATTGCAGGAACAACTGGTGAAAGTGCAGTCAGACCAGATGCGGATGAGTGCTAGGGAGCAACGAGCAAATACTAAAGGTGCAAACTCTCGAGCCAACTCAAGAAACTCTTTGAATAATAATAAAGAGAGTAAAGTGTGTAGTATACAATGACCCCACCTGGAGTGAACACAGTGATAAAACAGCTTAGAGGAAGTGTGTATTTTGCAATGACCCTGTGCATAGGGAACATATGTGTTGTTGAACTGTAAGCAGTCACATAAGGGATGATCTGGAACAATGGACAAGTCCATGATCCTGTGTGTTAACTTATTGGTGTTAAGGTGGTTGATTCATGAAGAATGAAGGCAAAGAAAAACACTGGAATGGATTCAGTAACATGCAATAAAACTAAGAATCCCTGATGGATTAACTTTCACAGACAACATATCATAGGATGTATGATTCTATCTCAACAATGATATTAATGTTTAATAGAGTGTCAGAATGGCTTCAAACATATATATGCACAATCAAAATGACCTAGATTAGCCAATGATTTGATGGATGTAGTTGATGATATGTGTTAATCCCATTCATATAAACAGACCTTAGCCCCATGTGGTTCATGTTGATGTAAAACAATTTAGTATTTATTATGAAGGGAATTTCTTGCATTTTCAACGTGTCAGAGTATGGCTATATTGTGTATTTTGATGGTCATGTTTGAATCTCATACACATTCATGATAAAATAAAGAATCCCAGGGGAGCCTCTAAATGCGTACCAATCATAGAACTACTGAGAAGTATCCCCATATGAGACTCTAAAAGTGTACATGTATCTCTTTACCCTTCTGGAATCCCCTTAAGATTCTCAAAAGATTTCTTGTAGCGTCAGTTTTGTAATATCAATTGACTGAAGTGTTTAATATTATATCACTGTACAAGAAGTTTATTTTACATAAAAGACAATGGAGAAAAAACACATTGTTTTTGAGAAATAACAATAATGCCACCACACTGCTGTGTTGCAAGTAGTAGATTTACCATTCATTCAAATTGCCAATGATTTAAATTGTCCAGTTGCAATGTGGGACACAAAGAGTGCTTTAAGCTTGAATATTGCTCCAACTCATCTGTATCAATTGACAATTGTCACTACAAATGTTGTCAGTTCTTGCAGACTATTTGCTGGAAGGATATTTTTTTCACCATGTGTATATCTCTAACATTATACTCAACTCATGAATATTAAAGAAAAATATCTAATCATTTTGTAAATGTCCACTTTATATATGATGTATGTCTATTTCTATATTATTACATATTTGTGATACAAGTTGAAAGTGCAATATTGAATGTCCATAATCTTACTATTTTAGTGCATGAAAGCATATCTTTATAATTATTAGCAAACCTCCTTGAAGACTTCCACATATAAAATTGTAACTATAGTAACAATGAACCTTTAAAGGGGTCTTGGAAGGGGTTTAGAGTCTTGTTACAATATGAGCTATTTCCTTTATACGGTCAAGACGGTATTTGATATATGTACCATGTATATTATAGATTGTATATATCTTTAGATGAGAACTCTATTAGATAGAACCCCAAATCCTATACAGACTCTTCATTTAGCAAGATATGTTAAAATATTGTATTTTTGGTATCCCACTGATTTTAAACATGTTATGATACGAAACCCTGACCATATCAAAAAAAACAAACATTATGTTGCCACGGATGTATAAAGCATAGTGTATTTGTAACAACAAAAATGTAACTGCTAAATAATGAATATGACTTTTGAAGGTTTATTTTTAAAATCCGTCCCCTCTACAAATATATATTTTATAACGTGACAATCAGATTGATGTATTGTTTTACAATTGTGTATTGTCTTAATAAGTAGAATGCAGTCATTGTGACTTCTTGTATTGTGTAATACTATCACCATGACAACAAGCAAACATATTATCTACAGGTATTGAAAATGTTTACAAATATAACTTGTATAACCATTGCATGCATAGGATATCAATTAGCATGCCATTTTGTAATGTGAATCAGATTTTTTTATAGAAATAATAGATCTAATAGTTTTATAAAAAATAATTTTGTGTTCTTTTATTATCAAAAATCTTGAATCCTGAAGAGGTTTATTTGGAGATAATGGGGAATTGTTTGAATGTATAGTAACTCTGACAGAGCTCAGATAATATCAATTGTGGCAATCACAGCCCGGAAGAGCCTGACTACGGTAAAGTCAGATACCGTTGTCACAAATGGCGGACATAACCGTCGCTTCAATAAGATTTTCATGATTTGTATGTTTAATAGAGCACCTAGATTAAATTCCTTTAGAACAACAATCAATCAAAGTGTCTTAATACTCATTGTACAGTTAATAATGTTCTACCATCGAAATAAAGTATTTAATTTAACCGATCAAAATGAGATACGGGACAACGGACACTGTAATTACCATATGCCGTTGTCTTTCTAAATTACTCAAATTCAGATTCCGTTGTCATTGACGATATCGAAGACGCTTTATTGTGGCGATTCACGACCAAATTTGATCGAAAATGGGATTTCATATAATACATTATCACAAGAGCTTATAAGCATGCACAGAATTAGCGACGATAAAATCCCATGAAATGAGGACCAAGTGATTTAACAGTTGGAGAGACGGCTATGTCCGCCATTTGTGACAACGGTATCTGACTTTACCGTAGTCAGGCTATTCCGGGGTGTGAATAAATGGTTGGAGCGAATCCCATTTTCCTCTGTGTGTGCAGGGTGGTGGTCGTAGTGTTCCTCCACCGTCTCAATGAGACACGCTTTTCACTAAACCCCCACTGTTTAACTTTACCAATATTATCAACAACAAACACAAAAAATGCAAGTTTACATATCCTTTATTCTGTATTAACTGATATCATACAAACAAAGTCACAAGTCAAGCACAATGTCACAAAAGTTTCATCAAGTTCAAATGTGGATCTAAAACAGGTGTTCACGTCTGAAAACTCAAAGGGGCAGCTGGGTTTACACACTGCTCCTGCTCCTGCTCCTTGCTTTTATATTTTTGTCACATGGCCCATTGGACCCTAAGCAATGAACACTAACCAGCTCCCTGCAATGTATATTAACTGATCTAGTGTACTAACATGTTAAAAATAGAAATAGATTATATATAGCCAAATTCTTATATCACGTTGAAATGTACAGTAAAACATTTCGAGGATTCGACATTGTCGAGATTCTGAATTTTGAAGAAATATGAACACATTCTCAATAGATATTTATAGTTCTTTTGACCACATAGCTATATAATAGTAATTTGAAAAGAATTTCAAATGAATATCACAGATGCGAGTAGAAATAATCTTGATTTACGTCATTAAAAATTCACAATTCATTCAAACCGATTTCATATTTGTAATCTACATGTAAAATTACATTTAGAAATGTGGTTTTGAAAAGAGTTTATCAACTTTGAAAATTTAATTTTCTTTGAAAATGTGACTTCTAGGTCGGGGAGATTCCCCATAGAACCCATGGTAAAACCACAAAAAGTGAAATATCTTTTCTTGTGTTTGGTAGATAATATTTTCTTTTATTCCATAATACTACTGTTTTCCCAGGGAAATATGAAGGAATAAAAATCGTATTGAATCGTATTACATGAAAAAATCGTATTGTCCCCGGGAAAAAAATCGTATTGGAGCGTATTACATGAAAAAATCGTATTGTCCCCGGGAAAAAAATCGTATTGGAGCATATTTACCTATTTTCGGTTTCCCGGTTATTTTTTCCCAGTTATCTGCATTTTCCAAATGTAGCATTTTAGAGGGGTGTATTGTGGAATAAATAGGTTATTTCTGGTCGGGATTGAATATGAGTTTTATTCCTCGGAAAATATGATATTGACCTTGGGCTATATGATATTGACACTCGGTCGCTGCGCTCCCTCGGTCAATATCATATTACCCTTCGGCCAATATCATATTGTCCCTCGGAATAAAACCCATATTCAATCCCTCCCAGTAAATAACCTATATTTACTGGACATATTTTAATTTGTATAACTATCAGATACATAAAGGTAATATGAAAAGTGAACCACTAAAACTGATGCATATTCAAGTTTCCCCCGAATCAGCCACCTAGCGGCGAAACTGGTAACTACCTACTCGCATCTGAGTAATTTAGTCATGCTAGAAAGCTCCATTATAAGTGAGACCATTCCAAAAGTTTTGAGTGTTTAACTTTCAAATATTTGAGCAATTTTGTTTGAAACATGTGATATTTTATAAAAAGTATTCAGATTAGACAGGTTAATTTTTCAAATTGGAAGTTGCTCACATTTCAAGGTTTTTTTTAACATGGGAGTCAATGGGAGGAAAAAATGGGACCGAAAAAAGTGTCCAGGACATGTTCGGATTAGCCAGGTGTTTGGCTAAACATGTTTTACTGTACTTTAAATATTTAAAGTGACAATGCAGATGCAAACACAATATATGTAACACCTTTATTACCGCCTTTATTTTCATAAAACTTCAATCGACCATGTCTGTATACTCTCCATAAAACGAAGAAATAAAGAAACATAAACATACCTAAGAATATCAGTGGTAAATATCAATAAATAAGATGTTATATCGATATATACATTTTTTCAACAAACAAACATCTTCACAAAATATTTAAACTCAAAACGTGGATTTCATCTTCATAAAAGTGGAAGTCCAACTGTTTAGGGCAACTGTTCAATTTTTCAAATTGAGGCCAATTTTTTTTAAATAGGCACATTTTCAAAAATGGAGTATATTTTGGAAAAAGTTAACCAGCCTGAATGTACTGGAATGTTTTATCTAAAATTCTACTGGGTGGGAAATTTGCACACAGGGATCTACCATTCCTCAACTGGTTTATATTAATAGAAGGCTTTTTTGCACAAGGTAGCCCTTATACCTGATCCATATATCAATACTGATTAATATAAGTGATTTTCTAAACTTATCCCAACAGTCATCTTTTAAACAAATGCAATAGCAAATTGATCAAAAATCAACGTATCGAGTGTATTTGGCAAAAAGTTCACCTTGAATAATTGGATCAAGTCAGAATAGGGCATCCCAGAGCACTTGGAGTTCCACATACAGCCAAATATCAATGCCAAATAACATTGAAATACCTTTAGATAAAGTCAGTTTTAGAGAATTTAGTTTTTCAGACTCATTTCTGTCCGCTGGCACTTTACATGATATGATTTAATGGCCTTTTCAAACTGAAATTGCATGTGGATCTTCTGGGCGCAATAAGATTATCAATAGACTTATCATAATTGTGGCTAATACAAAGAAAACAAAAAGTAATCGATCAACCACGCATGCTACAAGTTGCCACTCTTGAACATACATAGCATTACGTTCTTCCTCTTGTCTGGAGGCTTTTGCATCCAATCGAGTCATCCTGAGTTCTTCCAATGATTTATTCAAAGTGTCTCCCATGGATGCGGTCTTTCCATTTCCATTGACTATTGGAACGTCTTGCATATGTTCTCTCCTTGTATAATGGTAGGGCATGTGAGAGGTCTTGCCATCTGCCCCTGTTCCCTTTGACTCCATCTCCTTTAAAATAGTATCTAATAATTAATTAAAAACAATAGACACCTCACTAAAATGTCTAAATTGACAATTTGATGTACACATCTCATGATGTGACAGTATGATGGCATATTTAACACTATTCAAATCCAAAATGGTTGTCATAAGCAAGAGAGAGAGACGTAATGCCTAGGTCACATTTGCACCAGGCCGATTGAGTATTTTGTTCAAAATCAAATTTGAGGTCAGTTGTGAACTTCTGAGAACTTGTACCAAGTTGAAATCAGATGAATCGGAACAAATGTGACCCAGATGTAAGTCTTGACATACAAGTGAGAAGTTTAGGTAAAAGAGTCGTTCGGTACCGTAGATGGGGTGACAAGTAAACAATGGAATATAAAGATACCCTGCGCGCAGAGTAAGAAGTGAAGTCGAACGAATGCAAAGGGTAACTTCTATATGGCAATATACCTTGACTTCGAGAACAATGCAGATAAATATAAATTGCATTCAAAGCTTGATATATCAAAAACATTTTTAACTTAAACGGACTCATCTCTCACCTGGCCGTTTTGGGGGTTCCACGGTCGATTTTTACCTCAAGGAATGTCAAAGTTAGTTGAAATAATAAGGCGACCGAAATTCGACATGGCGTCAATTTTATTGGGGGGCCTTATATTAATTATTGCCGAACAAAAACAGTATATTCATGTTACGGTACTCCAAAATCGCAAAGGTAAAAGACGAGTCCCCGAGATTGCAAATGAGTTCCGATGGAAAAAGAGGAAAATAGCTGACCCCTAAATGAGGTATTCAAATTGTTCTTTTTACCATACGTACCTCAATCTGCTGTAGAAAGTCACTAATATGCGGTGTCAGACACAGCACTTTTGCGCAACATCCAAAAAGAAATCTCCTCAGAGGTTTTGGAACCCTCGCACCAAAGCATCCATAGAAGTGGATATTTAAAACACCAACCGCAGACAATGTCGAAAATGCCAGAAGCACAACAGAAGCCCCAAATAGTTGAGCTAAAAAGCAAAAGTAAAAATAATTCAATACTAATGTATCAATATAGTTTTTATATGCCATAACTCAACAATTAAGAATTGTGCTTTGTAGCCTGTCATAGTGAACACGAAGGATGATTTTCTAGTAAAGTTATGTAAATTACCCAGAAGTGGCACATAATCAGAAGTCTCGGGTATATTTTCTGTTATGAGCAACTGGTACACGGTCAGGGCCAATAATACCGTCACCCCAAGCGACACCTTTTCACCACTTTCTGCTGGTAACCAAAACACTGCTACTGCTATGACCATCAGCAATATACATGGGAAAAGCAATGTGAAAAGGTAGAAATTTGGCTTTCTTTTTATGTGTATGCTGAGTGTAACGTCTGAAAATGCCCCAGCAGTATACTGCACATAATTTTGAAGCAGTTTTGTATCGATTAATTCCCATTCTTCATTTTTTATAAAGTTACCAATATTTGCTTTATTGTTCGTCGGAATAACATCAACTTCATGTGCAAAATATGTCCATGAGCCGATTTTCATCGAGCATATCTGTTGATCAAATGGGTACTCGCTGAGCTGAAGTATGCAGGTAGTTTGTGTCTGTGCAATAGTCATCCATTCTACATCGCCTTTATAAGAAATCCTCACATTTGTTGCACTCCATATTTCAGTGAAGCCCTTTTCCCCGTCCACACTAGAAATGAATGTTTGGCATGAATTTCACATCTAAATTGTCACAAGTAGTTCACTCCTAAATGAAGCACAAAAATACAGACGAGTTGACATCATGATAAACCATGACATCTCATTTCTTCTCAGCCCTGAGCTGTTTCAGGTGAAAAAGAAAGATGCTATGAGTATCAGAATGACGAGTTGAGAGTAAGCTATCATTCGCGAATTCAGTCGTCGGCTGTCGACTGACGGTTTAACATAGTATCTTATGGTCAACTCATTTAAATATGAAAGAAATAGTGCTATTTATATTTAAATGGGTTGACCATAGAATAGTAGGTTAAACAGTCTTCCCAAGTTTCGATAAAATAATTTGTCAAAATTTTACAATATGTCTTGTTCTCATCATTCGATATGATGTTGCCTTATAGTTGCTTTTGTTTTGAAGGATAATTCTTCGATTTCACGAGTAATACCAAAAATAGCGGACGTCCCTTTCAATCCTAATGACTTTGGACAATTCTGCGTCTTAAATATTTAATAACATCTACACCGATCAATTCTTTTTTCTAGAAGGGGAAACACTGGAATATTTTTGAAAAGATTTAAACCAGCAATTTCCAATATCATTTCTGCCTTACTTATAATTGCATCTAAGCCTCAGTCACATTTGCCACGGAGACTGTGCGGTCGTACGGCCTATCATTTCTGCGGTCAGTAACAATTCTACGATCGCCTTAGAATTCCTGCGGTCAGATGATAGCAGTCATATTTGCTACGGCAGCCACATGCTACATATGATGGCGTATTTTTGAGAAGACATAAAAACTACGGTTGCCAATGCACATGGCTGATAAATTATGACGCACGGTCAGATCAGCGGAGGGCGGTCCTACGACGGGCGTAGTTTTTCTTGACAAAAAAATATGGTAGACGCAAGGCAGTCGCAGGGGGGAGGCTTACGGTGATTCTATACCGCAGGTGTGAAAAAAAGTTATAACTTCGAATTATAATTCTACGGTTGTTTTCCTTTGTTTTCCGCAGAAGGTCCATGTGCAGTATGGCAAGTGATTTTAGACGGTCATATCTTTCACCATGAGTACTTTCTGGCCATATATACAATGGGTTTTATTTAAACAATATGGTTTCTTTAGAGTGAAGTACCCATGATGATAAGAAAATTGACACTTGCCATACTGCACATGAGGCTGAGGCTTAAACATATGTCTTATTCTTACTTAAAATCTCATTTCTCTTGTTGTGTTATACTCAATTTATGATTTCATCAATACTAAATAATACCGATACCATGCTTTATACAATGTACGAGGGTTGTCCCAGAAGTAATGCACTAACTATGCTCTAACTTTATCAATAATTTATATTTTTCCATGAAATTTTCAGTAAATGTTCCTTAGAGACATTTTGATTACTCTGAAAAATTTCATGTTGACTGATAAAACTATATTGATGTTATAATAAAATCAAGTTGGTGAGTTTGGGTAGGGCGGGGCAGGTTATACAGTCACGTCAAAAGGAATAAAAAATTGAAAATAAGAAATAATTAATCAACAAATACCATTTTATGTAGCTATAAGAAGTATGCTCAAAAATACATTTTTGAGATACTTAATTACTATGAGCACATCCTAGATTTAATGGATGTATATTGCACAGTGTCCCATTTCACATTTTCTCAAAATATTGCCCTTTGCATGTTATGCACTTTTGATGCCTGTCCGGTCAAACGCTCTTGGCAATTTCTTCCACTGTGACTTGTGGAGTTTTTGCCTCTCATGTTTAGAGTCGTCATCCAGGGTCAAATAGTCTCTTAAATCTATTCTGCCACCCCATAATTGTAGTTCTATCTGGTATATACTCCTTATATACTTTCTTCATGTTTTGCATGGCTGTGAGTCCAAGTGAAGTATGAAATTAGGCCACCAAACGCAAGGCCTTCTGTTATCAGGTAAGAATTGCAGCCATTTTTGCAATTTATTGACTGTGACTGTATTTGAATCTGTGACTATTGAAATGTGGTATTATGTATTATGATATCACAGTGCTAAATGTCATTATTTGTACTTGGTTAACATCATGTTGAATAAATTTAACAATTTCCCAAACATTTTGACCATTTGAAGGAAAGAAATATTAATAAAATAACACTTTAGATCTTTCCATAATTAGAAAAATTGGTGCCTGCCCCGCCCACCCCTACCCCCATGTTGTTATAGCAACCATATTGAGACTTAATATTAATGTTTGATGCTGAAACTTCAGGATATAATAGATTAAACTTCAATTGTTATATATACAAAATTTCAGCTGAATTGAAGAATATTAAAGAAAGTTAGAGCATATAGTGCATTACTTCTGGGACAACCCTCGTAGGTACATCATTTTTGCTATGTACGCAACCTATCTGGCTGTCAGCTGACAACAAGACAGTTGGACCTATTTTAGGACATTGGCATCGTTAAGCGCATTCAGGCAATGGAGTGAGACACATGGCGTAGTTGCCAAAATAGCAAAATTAATACATCGATTCATACACATAAATTCCAGAAGAATCGACCATACAAGATTATAAAGGGATGGTCTGCTCTTGCTTTAGGACTGTGGGTTTTTAAAGTTTCGCACCAGCGTGTTTTCAAACTGCGCTACACTTCGTTTCTAGGTGTGTCAAAGTTGCTTGTAAACATAACTAAAAATATCAATTCGAAATTAAGACAGGAAACATATAAATATACCTGTTATACAATGTCATATCGGGGATCCAAATATTTCCAGAGGGTATTGTAAGTTCATCAATTCCATTGTAATCGGCTGGATTCCAAGTCAGAAACTCATCTCGCCAACCCTTGACGGAATTAAATCCTTTAATCAATGTGTATGAAGTAGTAAATTAAACCTATTACTAATCGTTGAAGGGTTACAGCGTATGGATTTTACCATTCACCGATATTCCCATACTTTTGAAGTATGAGTTGCATCGTAATGTCACACTGATATTTAAATATTTAATGACTTTAAATAATATCCCTGGAATGTTATTAATTTCTACAACCCAAGCAATATTCACAGACTCGTGTGTGGGGACAGACCCAGACCATATTGTTGATATAATCATACATCAATGTTCTTATATTTTTCAATAATATAAAAGTACTTACGAATGTTACCCATATAGCTGAACTGAGTGTTTGTGTCTTCTCCTTCTGAGATAGAAAACAGTATATTTATGAGTCAATTTCTATGATAGCTCTATATGCTTTTCATATAAAATAATAATTTATACTTACAGACAAAATATGTATAAAAAGTTTTTTAAATACTAGTAGTTTTCTCTGTTTGTTTCGGTGATGTTTTTTCTTTTTTTAATAAGTTTTTATTTCATGTTAACAGCATTACAATTAAACAAGGTTGTACATAATAGTGGAGTAATAAGTTGCTTGTCGGTGTGTTTTAGGCCTGTGCTTATACAACTTATATACATTAATATTAATAATTATAAATCCCACCAGTCCTCGTATTTGATTGAGACTCATTGATACAGATACTGTTGTCGTTGTGCTCTCATTCTTCACTGGTCTAATACTGGAATCGTAATTGTTTACATCGAAAAGGTCTTTCACCAGCGAGACACCATTTGACGCTGTAACTAAACAACAAGAGACATGCTCGATAGCCAGGATGAAAAAATCTTTTCTTCATCCTTGTCGATATGCACAGTATTATATCATCATTATCAGATTATTTAGATATATAGTTTTGTAATTTCTCATGTTTAAAGTGGATTTATTAATAATGCAACTTGTACAGTGCCACTGGAATACTTGTACTGTTTTCATACTTACTGCGAAATAAAACATGAATTTTTGTACTGAAATTTCCAAACGCTGAATCTCATGATAGATCACTTATTTCATAACCCCTATGTAATGCCCTACCTCTCATTAAGCAGCATATTACAGCAAATGTATATATCCAATTTTGTCGCCTATGTCTCATCGCATTTGATGTTTACTGTGTATATATCCTTTCTATTGCGGACATCAGGATAGCTTCACTTGAGTGAATTCAAATCTTATTGCCTGGTTAGCATGTAACTATAATTTAAACAGAGTAGGCCAATAAAAATATCACCCTTATATTAAATACTAAATACCTACAATGGGGATATTTGAATTAACTATGTTTGAAATCACTGTTGGTTTAATAATTATACATAATTTCTTGGAATTTCAGGATATCAAGTTTGCATTTGGAGTATTTAGAAAATATTCCTTAACCAAAGGTAGTAAAATAAGAAAATCCATTTAAAATTCTGCAGTATTGCAATATAAACAACCTGGATGAAACTTAGGTATAAGTCAATTGGCGCAATTAAAAGGCCCACCCTGTACATACATGATAATAAATATGGTATATTATTATTGCATTTAAAAAGCTTGATACATTTCCAAAAATATGATTAAAACCCGACTTGAATAAATCTATCTCCGTCACGAGTCCGTGATATTACCCCAACCAGTTTATTATGGGTTAGTTGAAGTTAGTTTATAGTGGTAAAAGATGGCTCCATGCTACAGCATATGAGAAATGATTCGATGAGAGTTCAGCTTTAAGACACTTACAAAAATGATATTTTTCAGTTCATAAATACATACGTTTTAAATTGGATGGGGCTAATGTATTGTGCTTTGGCACTTTAGTGTACTTTTGCTGCACTTTGCTAAATAATCTAAGCAAGCCACGCAGAGTGAACGATATCGCACTGATGAAAATAATATAGACAGTTTTCTTAACTTGCATACCAAGAGGCAAGAAATATTCCTTAAAATTGCAGATCAGTCCATCTCGAAACGTGTCGACAAGACTATTCGAGCAAGGTTATAGGACGAAAAATCCAAATTGGCATTTTTTTATCTTTTTATTTTATTCAATTTAACTTTTAACATATATACAAATACATAAATAATACAGTTCAATTATAAAACAAATTGATCTAAAAATAGTATGAAATGCCTAGCGAAGAATGAAGCATGATTACAATTTGAATGTTTATATACATTAGCGAAAAATACAATGTTGCAAGCTATTTTTGACTTGAAGTTCAGATTTATAAAGAGATCGGCCTTTTCCGAGAAAGCTATCCAGTTTGAATAAACAGTGTAAGAAACAATAGTCAATAATAAGTCTCTGAACATTGAGATCTTGTTTTCATGGATTTTTATATTGCCCCGTACAATGTCCTGCCATCTGATATTAAGTTTTAGTATTTTTTCAATTTTCTCCCATATTGGTTTTATTAATTTACAGTCAAATAGCAAATGTTTCATATCTTGCGTCTCTCTACATTTCATACAATTTCTATTTACACCTACATGCCAATTAGAAACCATTTTGCCACAAGCAATGGTATTATGCAGAAGTTTAAAGTTAAATTGAGCAAAAATTTTATAAGACACATTATTTATCTTCCTTTCATAAACTCGCTTAAAGAGACTATTTCTATACTCCAACTTAAAACATCTGCACCAGTAATTCTCAGAAATTGACCGTTCTACATTTTCCTCAATTATATGTTTATATACAATCTTCGTACTATCTGTATTTATATGCCTAAATCCATCTTTAAAGAGAACATATTCACTATCTTTTATATTAATGTAATTTCCATAAGTGGTATCTAAACCTTTTGTAAAAACAGTCAAACATTGTTTTAATGTAAGCCATTCCACCATCCAGTTTTGAGCTCGATGCTTCAATTGTTCAATAATAATTTTTTCCTTTTTAAAAACACCCTGCCTGTCAAAGAAGTCCTTGACATACATAAACCCAGATTTAATCCAGCTTTTGTAATATAACGTGCTATTTTTGCTTTTTACATTTTCATTTAGCCATATGACTTCTCCCATGCGATATTTACCTTTTGTATTGTTTTGTTTACATTTATTAAAGGCAATGAAAGGTTCTTTGTAAAATTCTGGCAATTTTATGTCAGTTTTACTAGTGAAAGTGGTCTTCAAGAATTGTTTTACAGTAAATCCTAAGTTGTTAATATAATGTTCAATAATGAGATTCCAAGACGATTTATTATGCAAAAGTCTTTAAATCCAAGACCCGCGTATAGCTTTTATCTTAGTATCAATATGGCATTCTTAATATTTACCCAGAATGCCCCAAAACCAATCAGTTAAAACTTTAATACAGGACAACTTTTCGGACAAAATTTTAGGACAGAAAACCCAAAATTGACGCTTTAACATTTACCCAGAATTCCTTAAAACTACTAGTAATCGGTTCTAGATTTTCATACCAAAAAGGAATTCCTTAAAATTAAATCAATCCGTCGTACGGTTTTCCTGGAAACGAATAGACTTGACTTTACAAACAAGATCTTGAAAATAAAAATTCAAAAATTTAAAGCCTAGTTAGTGTCTCTTGGGAATAGGGCATATTGGAAGGAGTTTAAAGTATGGCTGCTCAATTAGAATTGGCCGCCATGTTTTTAAAAGTACAATATTTGATAGATATAATAGATTTGGTTGAGATCTTAAATCCTGGGGCCTAATAGGCATGGGACTCTGGCTCAAGTCAAAGGGGGATTGGCTTGCAGGATCGAAATTCGATGTTTCCAAACAATGAGAACGTCGAAATGTCGTTATTTTCGGAAATTATAACCGATTGTAAATTCAAAATAAATACTTCAGATCCGAACCAATATCTCGATCATTTCTTGTGAATTTTGGAATTTTTCGTCAGGAAATAAGGCCAAAATTCACGATTCAAATGTTGAAGTGAACAACGACATATATGGGACAGAATATAAACGTTGTACTCTTGGAGCCAATCAAGAGTATATCATCAATTGAATCATGGGGTTTTCCTTCTTCTTGAGCCAATCCTCCTTGTATTGGGCTCAAGCAGGGAATTTCAAGATAGCTACTGAAATAAAAATGGATACCTTTTTAAACTAAATTGATATATATAACTAATTTACGATAACTCAAATAGCAGTTATCTGATTTGGTTTTAATTTATAGGCCAGTTAATTAGCTGTCATGTAGATTTTGCCAAAATATGACAATATAAGTTCCTCTTAAGAGTTGCTGTTTTTCTAATAAATTCAATTATTTGTGTCAAATGTATTAAAAAACTTACTCTAAAATGGTAAAACTTTTGAGAACTCCAATTGCTTGATTAACAAGTTACAACAAACAAAACATCTGTTCTTTCCTTCATTTTATTTATTCATGACTTGGTGATTATAAGTAGTAGTGTACACTCGACAAAATTATATGACAATTACTCAGATGCGACTAGGTAGTTATCAGTTTCGCCACCAGGTGGCTGATTCGGGGGAAATAACATGGCAGGGTATTACAAAATTCCCTTAATTAAAGAGGCTCTATGCCGTAGGATAGCACAATCAAGACCCCTCTGGACTTTTTTTGCATATTGAGTTTCACCACATATTCACCCATCTACTTACCAAAGAAGAAGTCCCAAATCCCCCTCTTTCAGTGTTAATTTTGCGATTGTGCTGGCCGATCTAATTATTTTCGCAGAAATTAATTCAATCTGAAGTTTGAATATACCGGGAAAGTCCTCCTGTTATCTGATTGGTCGTTGAATTTGTTTATCATGAACCTGATTGGCTGCCTGGTTCAATGCGCTTGTGGGCGCTTGTGTGACTCAGTGGGGATTCCCCTCGCTAGCCGAGGAATCGATTGTGTTTTATACTGGTTGTTCTGTTGATTATTTCAATATTTCGGCAATAATATACGGAAAAGTTATTCTCAAGATATATCCATTGTATGTGAGACACTATATGAGCAATAACAATAGGATATCTTTGATTGTCTGGGGGAGAAACCAATGGCATAATACATCTTTAAACTTGAATATTCATCAGTTTTAGTGATTCACTTTTCATATTACCCTTATGTATCTGATATGTCCAGTAAAAGAAAATATCATCTACCCAACACAAGAAAAGATATTTCACTTTTTGTGGTTTTACAACATGGGGTCTATGGGGAATCTCCCCGACCTAGAAGTCACATTTTCAAAGAAAATTAAATTTTCAAAGTTGATAAACTCTTTTCAAAACCACATTTCTAGATGTAATTTTACATGTAGATTCCAAATATGACATCAGCTTGACTGAATTTTCAATGACGTAAATCAAGATTATTTCTACTCGCATCTAGGATATTGCTAGTTCAATGGTAATGGATACAATAGGAAATGTTAAGATGGAATATAGGTAACATCTTATAAATCACCCTCAATAGTGAATTTACACATTTAAGTCAACATAGCCGAGCTGTTGTCAGATAGTAGCATCTTGCTATCCAGGTTCATTCAGGGGCATTATTGTGCCCTTGAATGGCAAATCCCACCGCTGACACCAATATAACGACCTTGGACACGCTCGTCCGGGGATCTGTAACGAGCCAGACACTAGACATGAAAGAGAGTGTAAACTCAATACTCCGTACGGGAATCGAGCCCAGGACCTTTCGCGCAATAAACTGACTCTCTACCGCTCGAGCCAAAGAGCCACTGACATTCATACTCATACCATGCTTCATATTTTGATAATTGACTAAACTGTCTAGAGAGAGAGAGAGAGAGTGCTAGACCACAAGATCTGAACTTGTTGGCTGCAATTTGAATATTATTACGCTCATTACAATTGTGGTTAACACAAAGAAAACAAAAAGTATTCGATCAACCACACATGCTACAAGTTGCCACTCTTGAACATACATAGCATTACGTTCTTCCTCTTGTCTGGAGGCTTTTGCATCCAATCGAGTCATCCTGAGTTCTTCTAATGATTTATTCAAAATATCCTTTATAGCAGCAGTCTTGCTCTTGCTGTTGTGAACCTCATTGTTAATGGTTATTGGAATGCTGTCTTGCATACGTGTTCTTCTCATATAATGGTAGGGCATGTGAGAGGTCTTACCATCTGCCCCCACTGTAATCTCGTTTGACTCCATCTCCTTCAAAATATTATTTTAGAATTTTATGTTTGTATCGTATATTTAGAACATCTTGAAAAATAAACATGAAACATATTCTTGTGCCAATTTACATGTTTTTAAATGACTAAAATCAATCAAATATTTATTTGTCGTTTATTGTTTTCCTTTTGCACATATTATTGATCCCCTCCCTAAAAACGTATTGACCTATTGATTCCTGATTCGGGCCACTCTGTTTCAAACAAAATGCAGAGCCCTTCTAATAAGCAAATTAGACTAATTAATTTATTGAGCCGAATATAATCAAAACAAGGCCAGAGTAAACCTTATATCATTTAAGATTGAATGCTACATCAATTGCAGCAGTTCTTGATTACTATATTTCCAAAATGTTGTTTGCTGTCAATTTTTGGAAATAAATACTCCAATTTTGAGTTTATGTTATACAAATACAATCATTGAATAACCAATAAATGAGATGCACATCTCGAAAGACCTCTATATCATGGGAGGGGGTACAACACAATGAATGAAAAGGGAAGGTCACAATATTGCAAAAACAGTGCATTAAGAGACACAAGAGTTATTTGAGTCATTTTTAGATTTAAGTTACCTCTATCTGTTGTAGAAAGTCACTCATGTGTGGCGAAAGACACAAAACCTTTGCACAACATCCGAAAAGAAATCTCCTAAGAGGTTTTGGAACCCTCGCCCCAAAGCATCCGTAGTAATTAAGGTTTAAAACGCAAACAGCAGACATCACAGAAAATGCTAGAAGGACAATAGTGGCACTGAAGAACTGAGCTGAAAAGCAAAATACGTGGCACGTGATTGAGATTGAAGTTTTAATTAAAATGATATTTTCTGCGTCCTTAACATTGTCCAGGAAAGAAATTACAAATAACATATTATAACTGCTTTAGAACATGATATGTCTGGGGGTATTGCTTACCAAGAAGTGGTACATATTCAGAAGTCTCTGGTATATTTTCTGTTATTATCAACTGGTACACGGTCAGCGCCAATAATACAGTCACTCCAAGGGAAACCTTTTCACCACTCTCTGGTGGTAACCAAAACACTGCCACTCCTATGATCATGAGCAATACACATGGGAAAAGTAACGTGAAAAGGTAGAAATTAGGCTTTCTCTTCATTTTCACATAAACGGTTACGTCTGAATAATTGGCTGTACCATAAACATCCTCATGTCGTATCATATTAGCATCGATCAATTCCCACTCTTCATTTTTAATAAAGTTGTCGAGGTTAACAGTTTCTGTCCCTGGAATAATATCAACTTCTTTCGCATGAAATGTCCACGAGCCAATTTTCATCGGACATATCTGTTCATCAAATGGATATTCTTGGAGTTGAAGTCTACATGAAGTTTGTGTCTGAGCAATTGTCAACCATTCTACATCGCCTTTATAAGAGATTCTCACATTTGTTGCACTCCATATTTCAGTGAAGCCCTTGTCTCCATCCACACTAAAACAACAAAGAAATGTTCATGATGCCACGTAGTCTTTCCCATGCGCCATTCCCGACTGACTAGGATTTTTATCAGTTTCTGTGAAACAATGGACCAAATCCTGTACTAAGGGCTGATGTAAAAAAGTTACTCCACCTCAGTGGGAAAATGAAGTTGCTGAAGAAATAGATACTGCGTATGCGTCAGACTAGCGTAAAACCAGTAAATCATGAAAGTACGTCGCACAGTCCGTTATGGTGTATCAAATTTCAAGAATGTTCTCAGATCACAACGGCTCTTTAGAGTTAGAACTGATGACAATATTATCACTTGTAGCAACCATATGCTACATAAGGCTTGCATGTAATGACTGACTTAGTAGATTTGGAGGACATACACACATAACAGGATAAATAGCAATGTATTTTTGAATACACAATTATTTCACGCGGATATTGATTACATTTTAAACAAGACATTAGAAAAGGGCTTTACCAATATGTATTTCTCGCCATGACATTGCAATAATATGATTTGGACATATAGCAAGTACGTTGGGGTTGCCAATATAATATAACTTACCATGCTACGTTTAACTTTTTTCCATACAAAATTGGCATATTTGCCAAATTAGAGTTTTGTTAGTGGACTTTATATAAAATAGGAACGCATAGATACCTGTTATACAATGTCATATCGGGGATCCAAATATTTCCAGAGGGTATTGTAAGTTCATCAATTCCATTGTAATCGGCTGGATTCCAAGTCAAAAATTCATCTCGCCAAGTCTTGGTAAAACGAGAGAATCAAAAAGTGCGCTTTTATTGCGATATGATTTCATATTATATTATCCTCAAAAAAGTTAAGGACCAGTATTTTTCCTCATAGGTTTACATGTCAAACCTTATGTTTATTTAAACTTTATTTTCTAAGCCCAAACGCAAGAAAAACTGATAATTTAAATGGATATATACCTTGACTCTATTCTCTATATTTCAAGAAATTTTCAATTTAATCTCTCTATAACAATAGGTCAAAAATAGATGTCAAAGTTGAGGAATTTTTAAAAAATTGCAGAACCCATGTTAACCAATGGGAAATGGTGGGCTAGGGGCAAATCATATTTTTGAATATATATTCGGTAAAACATTTATCAAAAATAATTTCTGAGTAGACAATTGAATTGTTTTACTTTGTGCATGCTTGCATGTACTTACCATCTTGAAATAACGTATAATTCATATTTGGCGTCTCATTTTGACTATTATAGCTTCATTTTGTCTAGTCTTGAAACCACATGGTGTCATATGGTGTAGTATTTTACAATTCATTTACAAAAAATATCGACACAAATATTTTAAATGATTTTTCAAATTATTGTATAAAAGAGTACTCACGAAAGTCGCCCACAGGGCACATGTCAACGTTTGTGTTTTCTCCTCCTAGAAAAGAAATACATTTTTGATTGAGTTTTAGATTTTGTTTCTGGAGCCATTACTATTTTCGGGAATACAGCAACAAACTAGTATTTCAGCATAGATAGAGTCTTGTGGTGCAAGAGCATTCGTATCAAATTGAAGTTCGGTTGACTTACGAATGAAATATTTCACATGTGCACGAAAGACCAAATTCTTGACATATGGTTTGGTTAAAAGGTTACTGGGGTATTTCAAGACCGAAGATGATATAAATTAATAACCCTTTAACTTTCCATACCAGTTCTCGTATTTGATTGAGAGTCACATACATATATACGTCCGTCGTATCGTTGACATCTTTCACTGGTCTGATACTGGAATCGTAAATGTTTTTATGGAATAGATCCTTCACAAGCGAGATTTGGTTTGGTTTTGCCACTGGAACAGCAAATAATATGAAATATAGAAGGGCGGGCCAATATAGTCCATATTTCAAGATGTAATACAAATAACGACAATCAGTGCAGTGCTTAAGTAGGAAAATATATAAATGATTGGCTTGGTATTATTCCAACATAATTTCGGCCCATGATTTCGCCTAGCAACCACATAGCAATGAAATAAAAATTAGTGAAATTGAAAAATTTAGGGTAGGGGAGAAAAAATTATTTCTAAATTTGGAGAAAATTATCATTATAATCATAATACCACAGTTTGCATAAACATTTAGAAACATGCCAAAAAATTAATTAGTGAAGAAAATGGGATTCGCAAATTTTGTCGATTAACTGTATTTTACAGTTAGTGCCGCGATTTTCATGAAATAAAGCATTTTAGAAAGGAAATTCAGTGTGCGCTAAATGATTATCTATCAAACAGATAGTAATAGCAATAATGATTACTTTGCATTTTCTATGTACAGAAATAAGGTATTAGTAACTATCAATATTCTATGAATTTCATTTTTATTAGCATCAACTTCCGACTATCATAACTTTGCCTCTCTACCCTCAATCACCTTGATTTTTTAAAAATTGTCATTTATGCTCAAGGTAGAAATAACGGAGCCCCCCCCCCCCCCCGGTGCAGACATTAGGGTTAATTTTGATCAACAAACTTTGGATCAACGCTATTTAAATCTTAACACTTAAAGGATCAATGAATCAACAAGACATCTGAGTTAAGACGAATTGCATTGTGAGCTTTTCTCCGTATTTAAATTAAACAACTCGATCCCATACAAGTCTTCCGATCCTAATCTGATATTAGTGTGATATGATTGTGTATTAATAAAGACATGCTACATAGTAATTGTAAATTGATCATATGCGAATACGTAAAACATCATTAAACTAACCAGCAACTCTGGGATCAACTGTCGTACTCGTTGGATCAATTGTTGTTGCAGCTCCAGTGGAACTAGTATCAGCCACTATTGTTGAAGCATCAGAAGTGGCATTATCAGTTACTGTTGTTGTAGCATTGGTGGTGGTTGCATCAATTACTCTAGTAGCATCAGTAATAGTATTATCAGACACTGTTCTTGTAACATCAGTAGTAGTAGCATCAGTTACTGTTGTTATAGCATCAGTAGTGGTTGTATCAGTCACTTTTGCCGTAGCATCGGTGGTAGTAGCATAAGTTACTGTTGTTATAGCATCAGTAGTGGTTGTATCAGTCAATATTGCCGTAGCATCAGTGGTAGTAGTGTTGGCCACTACTGTTGTGGAATCATTTGTAGCTTTATCTCCCACTGTTGTTGCAACATTAGTAGTAAAAGTGTCAGCCATTATCGTTCTAGGATCGATCGAAGCAGTACCAGCCACTATAATACAATAATAATCAAGAATTTACGTCTTTCCAAAAGTTAAAATTATTTCTTCATTATTTTTAAAACATGTTTCTGGATTCGTAGTCAAGCATACGATGTCTATATTCATAATAAATTTTGTATCATGAATAAGTACATATTATAGTTTATAGTTTCAGAGTATAATTGACACTAGAGCAACAGCTGGTACACTCTGATCAACTGGAACAGTCGGGCGCTTTTCAACACAAAGCCAGTGTGCCTGTGTGTCCTAATTCACTATTTTGCAACGGTCAATGCCATACCATTCAGATTTGAGACAAATATACTCTGATTAGTATCGAAGATATTCATTATTCAAAAATCATTATTATAATATTATTTTGTTGTTCTTCTTTGTTTTTTCGATAAGATTTACAAATGCGATGAAAAGTAATTTTGGTGCATGATGACACGGCATTGTATTTGAAACTATAAAATGTAAGAAATTAAAAACAAACTAAATATAGACAATGGCTTCATAATTAGTTAATTGATTGATTTAATTATAATTTCGATACTTAGTAAAAAATATACATATTTTGTCTTCATTGCAGAAAAGAGAATATTTGAGACTGTTACAATCCTTACCTCTCAGTAAGCAGTATATTACTGCAAATGTATGTCTCCAAATCATTCTTTTCATTGTATTAATATTCCTTATGAATCTTCCTAGTCAAGTGAGTCCACTCGGTTTAAGACATCTAGGACGCTAATTTTGTCCCCATATTACACTTCGACTTAGATGAACATTTTACATTAAAAATCCCAGTAACAATAAAGTATACGTGAAATTGGCTGCACTACTAATCATGTCACAGTTGGTTGCAGTTTATTTTGACTTCGCTTTTGTTTTATACTTTACATGCTTCTATCTATATAAACCATTTATGTATTTTTTCACCAATAAATAGCGCCGATGCAAATGACAGCGAGTCAACCACTAATGGTAACACATACATATTCCGATTGAAAGTCATAATTGAGCTGAGTGATGGTAATATTGATGACACCTTAGCTACCTGCTCGTTCTAACAGTTAACCAGTAACTACAGTAAGCGTAAGAGATGCTGTTCACATGAGTTTTATTGGCACATTGACATTGACATTAGGAGTACAGGGCCAAGATAACTGATATATCGAAAAATAGAAAACAACTGAAATGTAAAATAGAAATATGGCAATGATTTCACTTGAATTGTATAATAAACACATTTTATTCCATAATACTACTGTTTTCTCTGGAAAATAAAATCGTATTAGTGTCCCTCTAAAATCGAATATACTCGAGAAATCGTATTGTCCCGAGGGAAATCATATTGGATCGTACTGTCTCCAGAAAAAATATCGTATTGGGATCATATTTGTTTCCCAGGGAGTCCCTCAGGGATCCGTTTTGGGACCACTTTTATTTATCATTTATGTTAATGACCTGTTCACGGCGTCACAAAGTCTTAAATCTGTTTTATTTGCAGATGACACTAATCTTCTAGCTTCAGACCATAATTTGACTAGACTTGTAAATACTGTTAATCAGGAACTCATTACTCTTGATGACTGGTTTAAAGCAAACCTCCTTTCTTTAAACTATTCAAAAACAAAATTCATCGTCTTCTCCAAAAAACGAAAAAAGTTTTGTCAACAAATTGAAATATTTATAAATGGAAAACAAATTGATAGGGTTCATGAAATAAATTTTTTGGGAGTAACAATTGATGAATTCCTTGACTGGAAAAGTCACATAAAAAATGTAGAAAGAAAAATATCTAGAACCATTGGAATCTCATTCAAATGCAGATACTTGCTAAACATAAAAAGTATGTTAGCAATTTATAATTCTTTAATATATTCCTACTTGAATTATTGCACAATCATTTGGGCCGGAGCATATTCAGCTTTGGATAAACTACTCAAATTACAAAAATCATACCTTCGTCTCATGGCAGGAGAAGACAGGTTTGAGCACTCGGCTCCACTTTTCAAACAATTTAGAATACTTCCAGTGCATGATATCTATCAATTAAATGTTGGAATTTTTGTTTATTGCTGGTATAACAATATATTAGTCCACCGCAAGATTTTTGAAAACTATTTTACGTTAAATGTTGACATTCATCGGTATCAAACTAGACATTCACATGATATCCATGCCTTCAAGTTCAAAACAAATATTGGCCTTTATTCACTGAAAGTGCAAGGTCAGCAAATCTGGAATTCTATATCTCATCATATTCAACAAGCAGCCTCACTCTCAATTTTTAAGTCTTTGTTCAAACAAAATAAAATAAATGACATACCTTTATAGTTTTAAAGATTTGAAAATGTCTTTACTATTGAAAATCTGTACTCTGCCACATTTTGTCTTATCAACTTATATATATACATATTATAAACTTAGCAGCAATTACCCGTTCTCGTGTCCTGTGTCTCTGTCCCCGAGTGTTAATATTTTTTACATTTTTGAAATTATTTCCAACAGACTTGGGCCAGTGTCATTCTCAGGTATTTCTCCACTCCATTTTTATTTGTCTTACCTGTTGGTGTCACTGACCCATTTCTGTCCAGTTAAAACCAACATATATGCTCTTGAGAGCGTCATGTTGTATTGAATGTCATATATAATTTTCAAAATAGTAATAAATATCTGAATCTGAAAATCTGAAAAAACTGTATTGGAAACATATCATAATCGTAGTATATACGAGCGTAGAAGCAGTTCATCACAGAATGGTATAGTAATAATAATCATGTGGTTTAAATCCTAGAACTTTTGGGAACAATTCTTTTTCAAATTTTAGTGGTGGAACAATTAATTTCTATGCACAAGAATTGCCCCGCCCCACTCCAAATGTCAATCTAAGTTATTCAACCGTAAAAACATTAAAATGGCAAGTCTTTTGTAGCTCTTCAGAAGAAAGCTCCCTTGGATGAACATTTATTTATTTGTTGTTAATTAACATGTTCAATATGACAGTGAAAACTGTCTTGTTTATTGTTACTTAAAAGCATGGGTTCTGTATTTATAGCCTATCTGCTTGTAACAGGGCCATGGAAAAAATTAAATCGTGGAATAAAAGGTCATTTCATGGTTGATTTAGAAATATCAGCCGCAGAATATTTTGAATGGCCCCTATGTCAATAACAATAACTTTACCCATATATAAGATCGCTTCATACTATGGACTTTTTTTTGCATTTTTATTCGATTTTCACATTTTTGTATTTGATTACAACCATTCGATATTCCACTCTATTAAAATAATTCGAAACACATAATAAATTTGTTTGTTTTTACACATTTATATTTGATTTATGTACCTATATATGCGGTAAATGCACTTGTATATGCGGTTTATGTTATTCAGTGTTTGGTAAAATGTCACATATTTAAGTCCATGTACACACACGAACAAAGATGGTTGACGCATAAATTTAGAACACGCATCAAATACAAATACACTTTAGAACCAAACAATGTTCATTTATCGAACAATCATAGGCTCCAAGATAGCACGGACATATAATGACTTACCCCACATAATTAATGACATGTACTATCGCATAAAATCATGTGGGGTAAGTCACGTGACTTACCCAACATAAATGACACATGCCGCATGTAGCATAAAACTATTCGGTAAATCACGTGACCAGTGACGTAGAAATTATTTCAAAATGGATGAAACAAGGGAGGAAAAAGAATTTGAACACGATTCATATTCACAATTTAGAGAAGAAATTGAGAAGTTATAAGATCATTGCAACAGGCATGAGGCTTAAACAGATCCTTTGTTCTTAATAGAAGATATGTACGTTTTCGCGATTGGAGAATCACACAGAGCTCTTTGAATATATAGATGGCGCAAGTCACATGGTCGAAGTCACGTGACTTACCCCACATCAAAATAGTGAACAATGGTTTATATAAAATCATTCGGTAAGTCACGTGACTTACCCCATAAATGAATACTGTATGTTTAGCACAAATGAATATGTTTACCCAATACGAATAGTACTTGGCATCATATTTAAAATACTTATCAAATTTATATTTGATCGTGTCGAATACTGTTTTGAAGCATCTTACATATTTGTTGTGTAGGACAGTCAATTATATGTGGGATAGTAGGTACCATTTGTTGTAACTGGTTTTGTTTATGTTCGGTTTAACTTACTCCGTGGGGTAAAACCCGAAGATATTAATGTTACGAATATTGATGCAATAAATACACTATATCATACAACTTCTTCACCTGCGCAAATATAGTATCTTTCAAATGCTCTTATCTTCTATGGCATGATTTGAAACAATTTTCCAATAGAGCGTTTGTATCTTCTGCTGCACCTGAATCTCTATGGACAAAAGAGGGTAAAGAGACAAACAGATATGCATAACGAATGAAACTTTAAAGATTTGATGATGCCGACCCCCTCGCTATTTTTATTTGGATTTTTATTAATTTTTCTTGTAATTGAGAGTAGTTTTTCTTATAAATTGTGTAAAAACTAATCTAAACATTCAACACGTTATCTGACAATCCTGCATGACAGGTGAGGAAATGATCAAAAGAAATGTGTAAAAACACAACATTTTCCAACCGATCAATTATATGGGTAGATTGACTACGAAATAAATCGAGCACTGTTCGAAAATCTTTTAACGTTATTAGAAAGTTAAATGTCTTCCTAAACGAATACACAAAAAATCAAACATGAAATCCTTAATGCATTCCTCAGATTATTTTTTAAACCTACATCAAACCTACATCATTGTCTCTGCTTCAAATCGGTTAAATAGTGACATCGTACATCGAAAGTGTACTACGGTATATTCTTTCACTGTACCTTGCCGATGGTTAGGCGCGTTGAACGGTATAAAGGGGGAGGGGTATAATACACTGTTTATTTTCATGTGAGATCGTGGTTTGGGAGAGTTAGTGTTTGTTTTTCTTATTATGACTGGCGTACTGTTAGATGTTTTCTTTTTCTTGCTGTGTTTCGTTACTATTTTTGGTCCTTTCCTTTGGGGACTTGTGCATATACATAGTATATGTATATGTATATATTGTACATATTTGTTTTAATAAAAGAATGATCTAAAAATAGTCATGTGTTTTGATTTTACAATGTTGCCGATACCAGTGAACGATACCAATAATTTGACAGCTTACTAGTATTTGTTGTCCATCTTCATATAAGCCCCGAAATCAAAAAATTATTTTATCAAAAATTCAATCCAAAACAACAAAAAACAATATTTGAAAATTATCCTTGAGATACTTATCAGCTGTTGTCCTGTTGTACTTTATGGATATTACACACGTTATGCATTAATGCGTTATATTAAGTTAAGTAATGCCACATAATAATAACAGTAATAAATGGACACATGTTAAATCTATAGTTAACATTTAGTTATTCTACATTCAACATCAAGGCGCTTCGGGACCTGTCTTCCAAAAAAAACGTGCAGAAAAAACTATGCATATGCTCTAAATCAAGAAATTAGCAATTTGAAGAATGAGACATTGTCTCAATTTGCTCAATAGATCGGCCATTTTGAAAAAGTAAATGCTGATCTGGATAATTTGCCTTCGTAATATTGTTCACGCATATGCCTTCATAGTCTCAAAATTACATGGGGCATCTGAAAGTTCTAAATGTACCAGGTAGCCCTACACGAGGAACACACAAATACATTGTGAAGAACACAAAGTCATGTTTATTAAATAATGTTTCCAACATTTTTCGGCATTGGGTCTATCTAACATGATTTAATATCCCTTTTTACGCAACCGTTCATATAGGTCTACCTTTTCTGGTCTTAATTCGAATATGAATACGCCTATTAAAATTGTGGCTATTACAAAGAAAACAAACAGTATTCGATCAACCACACATGCTACAAGTTGCCACTCTTGAACATACATAGCATTACGTTCTTCCTCTTGTCTGGAGGCTTTTGCATCCAATCGAGTCATCCTGAGTTCTTCCAATGATTTATTCAAAGTGTCTCCCATGGGAGCGGTCTTTCCATTTCCATTGACTATTGGAACGTCTTGCATATGTTCTCTCCTTGTATAATGGTAGGGCATGTGAGAGGTCTTGCCATCTGCCCCTGTTCCCTTGGACTCCATCTCCTTTAAAAAAATGAAAAATAAATACTAAACGAAACACAAACTATAGGATAACACGGCATTTAGCTTATTCGGAAACTGAAATGCAAATCGGTAAGCGGCAAAGTAAAAATAGAGTGACACAAAAAATGCCACCCACATAGTGTTGCACAACATTGTCTGAATAATTTCAGATTTGTTCTTTAGCACATTAAAACTATCTGACTAGACGCCGTGAAGCAACTCCACAAGAAGTTTCGGATGACTTGTTCAACTGGATGCACTTTTCTGAGCGTTATAGTATGTGCCCTAAATGTCAGGCACACCTGGATTCTAGGCTTTGTATAAAAAACCTCCTACCTCATACCCACCTACCCACCTACGTGGGGCATGATGCAGTCATTGAAGGGTTCAAGTTGAAAGATTTTTAAATCTCAAAATAGCTCTCATTATTAACATTTCTACAATTCCGGCTTTATTTTATGACGAGACGCATGACAGATCCATAAATAAAGGCATATGGGTGCATTGTAATGTGTAATGACCCGAGGGCGTCCCAGGGGAATAACTAACCAACGACTGCGAGCATAAAGTGTTCTAAATTCGATGCTCCGAGTGAGAATCGAACCCAGCTGGGCTGTAGTAGCAACTTCCTATCAAGGGTCGTTACAAATGCATCTATAATTCATCATAAACTAAGATTTAATAAACTAAGATCTTTAAAATTGAACCCTTCAAAGACTGTATCATGTCCAACGTGCGTGGGTAGGTGGGTATGAGGTAGGAGGTTTTTTATACAAAGCCGGATTCTATGGGCAACGTTATTGACGACCATGACACATTCCCCCACAGAAAGGGCACCGATTTTACTGATGATCTCCATCTTCAGGTTTCATATGGTTTGGGGGGTTTGTTACATTCGCATGGTCCTCCAAGTACCTACCCTCAGATATACAATCTGGAGGGTTTATGTTAGGCGAATATAGTCAATAACTTTGTCAGTAGAATCTAGAATAGAAGTGTGCCTGCAGTGGTATGGACGACATTTACACTGGTCAGTATCAAGCGAAGGTAACGGCCGTCACCTTCGCATCAAGGATGGCGGACGGGAAGTGTTGATTTCGATAAATCAACAAAAAAAATATGCAAAAGAACAAGCTAGGAATTATATAAACACAAATGTTATTCAATATTATGTGGGTGGCACTTTTCTGTATCACCCTGTAATATTACTTAGAGGTTTTCACTTTTGTGTTCCTTTGTTTGGAAGATGTGAGTCTACGTTACCTCTATTTGCTCGAGAAAGTCACGAATATGCGGCTTTAAACACAGAATTGGAGCACAATATCCAAAAAGAAATTTCCTTATGGGTTTTGGAACTCTCGCACCGAAGCAGCCATAGAAATGGAGATTTAAAATGCAAACAGCAGACATCACTGAAAATCCTAGAAGGACAACTGACGCACCAAAGAACTGAGCTGAAAAGGAGAAAAAACAAGAATTAGACGCAAGCAACACTTCAATTATACTTTATCATCTCTAATATAATAAGATATCATGTATCATATTTCTATTGGCCCTTTACACTTCTGCTACTGGGCTAGGTAACCAACTTTGGTAGAGGAATGATACACACATGGTGAGCAATAATTAACCCAAGCAAATGTATATTGATAACTCAGTCATTCAGCAATGGTTTGAAATCAAATTTAACTAAATCAAATTGAATTAAATAACAATTAAACCTTGTTCATTGTTCTTTCCTTCTATATAAAGTTTTATTGGTCTACAGAATTGTGCCAACTATGACACTAAACCCATGCTGCATGACTGAGTTATTAACATTCATCCGGGTTATACCTTTTTGGCTCACTCTGCACTGCGAAGTGATGCTTTTCTGGTTTTTGAAATGTTTCTGTAATTTCATCTATTGCGATGATATGGCTTACCCAGAAGTGGCACATATTCAGCAGTGGATGGTATGTTGTCTGTAATTATCAACTGGTACACGGTCAGGGCTAACAATACCGTTACTCCAAGGGACACCTTTTCACCACTTTCTGCCGGTAGCCAAAATACGGCCACTGATATCACCATGAGTAATATACATGGGAATAATAAAGTGAACATGTAGAAATTTGGTTTTCTGCTCATGCGAACATAGGCTGTAACATCTGAAAAAGTTCCTCCATCGTATTCCAACGAATGTCTAATCAATTTAACATCGATCAATTCCCATTCTTCATTGTCTATAAACTTATCAGTGTATGCTTCATCCGTTACGGGTATCACATCAACTTCGTCCACATTGAAAACCCACGAGCCAAATTTCATAGGACATAATTGTTCATCAAATGGATAATCACGAATGTAAAGTCTGCAGGTAGTTTGTGTTTGAGCAACTGTCATCCAATGTATGTCGCCTGTATGGGAAATCCTCACATTTGTGTTACTCCATATTTCAGTGAAGCCCCTTTCTTCATCAACACTATAACAAAAACAAGAATACATGTATTGCCACAAGAGGGACATTTGTAACAAATGGTGTCTGTTTGTTGGAAGGGTAGTCTAAGTAGGAACTGGCAAATACATATAGTTGTCATGTTTAAAACGGGACAATGTCACGTCTGTGACAACGGGAATCAAACCTGTCCGTCTTGCATGTTTGTAGCTCAAAATATCCTACCAAACAAGCTTGTTTAAAATATGTATCAGAAAACCAACCATAGAACTACCAATAGCATCATGCTTAGGCGTAGTTAAGATACATTTCTTTGTATTAATCTCCAACATGCACGTATTATGTAGTAGTGTTTTGACATTTTGTGATGTACAGGTGCATTCAAAGAAACACGCGTAACTAGTTTATTCAAGAAACATAAAGAAAAGCATTTCCGTTTTCACTTCCGTTCTAAGAATAAATTAACATTGAAGCTGAACGGTTATAAAGTAAGAGTACTATACATGCATGTGCAAGCTCGAAACGTTACGCGTTATATGCGAGCTTAAAGATGTTATAAATTAATGGCAGTTAGAATCTCTAATTAGCTTGTACTTAGCACATAGAACAGTTCTTTTGTTATTTTTACAACTTTGGTGATATTTCCCCCACAAAACCCGATTCACTAAGACGAAATTGTCAACCGCCTTGACACCGAATTTACTTGTACATTAAAAGTAAATTCGGTGTCAATTCAGCTTTATAAATTAAACAGGTTATTTACTGGGAGAGATCTTGAATATGGGTTTTATTACGAGGGACAATATGATATTGACCGAAACATAATATGATATTAACCAAGGGAGCGCAGCGACCGAGTGTTAACATCATATTGCCCAAGGTCAATATCATATTTTCCAAGGAAAATCTGGTTTATAACATCTTTAACCTCTCTAATTGATTCGGTCAAAAACGAGTGCAGCCAGATACCTGTTGTATAATGTAATATCAGGGGTCCAAATAGTGTCAGATGGTACTATAAGTAGGTCCAATCCATCATAATCAGCTGGATCCCAAGTTAGAAACTCATCCTTCCAACGCTGAAGGAAATCAAAGTTCATATTTGTACTTGCACAATGTATATCACTGTGATATATGGGTTAAAATAGAAACTAAAAAACATATTTGACCTTGTCGTATGGTACACTGGTTTACCGTTAATCGCTAAAATGTCTTTAATCAGAACTAGATATCAAACTATATAAAATATACTAACCAATACCGCCCAAATAGCACATGTCAGAGTCTGTGTTATCTCAACCTGAAAAAATAAGTAATACGTTTTTTAAATGTTCAGTATGAATGAAAATAACATATAGTATCGAGTTAGGAAAGTCCCTTGGCAATGATGCAAATTTTAACTTAAGGTGACGGCTAAGTAAACCAAAAGTAGAAAAAATGGCAGCCATATTTTTTTTGATAAAGACACATGGTTTTAAAATATGTTTACCTTGTATATAAATGTATATCTTCACTTAAGAGACATGTAAAAGTGAACATCACACATAAACGTGTTTTTCATAACTCTGAATTAAAGGTGTATGGGTCCCTAAAGCTAATGAAAACTGAAGTGGGATTAATTTTTGAAAATTTCAAGGAATAGGGTTGCTTTGGTGTCACATTTGAAAGACTCCAAAAGGAGTGGTATCGATATGGAGAACTTTTTGAACACACATTTCTCTTAAACCTGTCATAAAAAATCTAAAAATTTAACACATCGTCAATTTAATGGTCATCTTTTGAATGGTAACAATAGTATTTGAAAAAATAGATATACTTTCATCTAAATTATTTTAGAAAACACATCAAACACTTGTTCTGTTCTTGGTATCATGTTTCCAGAGTGAAATGAAACATCTTTCCGAACCTCATTTGAACAAAACGACATAAACACAACATGTTTAGGTCTCTCAATAATGTAATTGTACAAAGGGAATTTTGGTTGATTTTAAAAAAGTATCTTGTTAATGAAATAAAAGGTTTATCTTGATTTTTAACTATTTTGGGGGGATTTTGTTTTAATCTTTTGAATACTTTTTTAAAATCAACCAAAAATTCATTTGTATAACTATAATATTGAGAGGTCTAAAGACATGTTGTATATGCTATTTTGTTCCAACAAGGTTCGGAAAGACATTTTATTTCATTCTCAAGAATTGGTAGAAAGGAGCAAAATCAATTGCACTAAAAAAACAATTTTTTTAACAAAAACAGTTATATAAAATATTTCTAAATAATTTTCGCATTAAAATGTTGTCAATCAGTCAACATTACATAAAATACCATGTTTTATTACAGAATGTTTTCAATGATTGGTTTAAGAGAAAAACATTGTTGAATTCAGTTCTCCATATCGATACCACTCCTTTCATGTATATATCATAATAGTTATACTGTAATAGATGAAATATATTAGTGATAACCCATGCCACTTGTTGAAGTCACAAAACTTGTATGAGGATTAATCAGGAAGTCTGGAAGTAGTTCCGGCAAATAAAAGGGTGGACATGAAATATTATAAGAAACTATGAGTGGGGGGAATTTGCTTGAAAATATTTCAATTGGTGATACAAGCACATTTAATGGCTTAATCTGTTATTTATGCTATTAGGAAAAATTCCATCCCTGTGATCGATTAAACCGAACACTATTTCAAGAAAAATTCAAGATGACCGCCATATAGGCAAAATGATATCTAAACAAAATGGTAATAAATGGCGATTCTTAAATTGTGTCTAAAATCAACAGGAACAATCAAGGAAAACAAGCGATTTCTCGGGAACAAGTAATGGATTTCGACTCGGATTTTAGCAAATGATACGAGATTGTGATCTACTACTTTGATAGAAAGATTGACATTTTCATATAAATACTAATTTTATTCGTAATTTGTGGTCAATTCGTCAACTTCGGATTTATTTGATCTCAACTACTGAGCTTTGAGAAAGTAAATAACAGTTTACCACCAGAAGTTGTATTAAGATCTTTGCTCAGGGTATCATGTGTTCATCGAATGGTACATAATATGTTACCATAATATATGATATGTATTAGAGAAACAAATGAAACAATTCTAACAGTCTTACTGGGATCTTCATTAGCCACCATTTTATTTCGCTCCGCAGCATTTCTGCATGAATGAAACGCCCATCGTGCATGTAAGAGCGTTTGGGTTAGACACTGTGAAGAAATGCATAAGATATATTTATGGGATGAATTAGTATTTTACACTTGATCAGAATTCTACAAACAATGGTAGATTTTTGTTAGATTAAATTTCTAATTTGCAAATTCTTACTCAAATTCAAATCACCTTCCTGCTTGGTGTTTCATTCCTCCTTACTAAAGAGTCATGGCAAACCACATATTGCATATTCATAATCAATAATGCATAGAATACATTGATGGACCGTATATTAATGTTTTTAACCTCAATCAAAATTCAATGAATAATTTACTTTCAGTGGTCATGATGTCGCTGTAATAGTCTGTAATTGTGAATGCCTGATAAATGTCTGTACTCGATAAACCATTTATTTGTGAACATCCTTTTATTCTTTAGGCTGCGTTCATTTATACAAACTGATTTGATATACAGTAGAGCATCAAACTCAAGAATTTAAGAACAGTCTTACTAATTATATTTAATTTATAGGAGTAGGGTTATACAAACTTATAAATGAACAAAATAAGAGGGGGGGGGGCAGAAATGAACCTTGCTTAACTCCCATATAATTATTTATTTTGACTTAAGCTCATGACATGTATTATGTGGTGTCCCTCTTAAATGCATTAAGTCCTGAAAACACAATTTAAACTTTATAATACAGCCATTTTTGTCAACTATATTATCCGAGCTATGGTCTGTCCGTCGACAGATTTTTTAAAAAAGGTTTGAAGTAGTAGAAAAGCAAAAGTCTGAAATATTCTGCCAAATATAGGGGTAAATTTCCCCCACTATATGTTTTGAGCGTTATTATAATCCAACAATGCTCCTTCCTCGTTCCTTGGTAAGGTAAGATGATTTGTTAAAATGTTGGATTCTTATAAATGTGTGATTGTTCCAAGGCTAGTCCTTGAAACTTTCAAAATTAGCCTCACTTTTCAGACCCCCGAGTCACATAATTGATAATATTTTATTATAACAACGATCATTTTGTTGAAAATCAAAATCTTAAAGATGACATATCATTGATGTTGTTTTCGTTAAAAATACATATTGATCAGGTATATTAAAGTAGGGAATGTTTTTGACCGACCAGGCCCGTAGCCAGGATTTGCCTAAGGGGTTCACTTTTTGAAAAATTCCAAGGGGGTTCACTTGTGACAATTTTTTCCAAAAATGGCCAAAATCACTTAAAAAGTGCTCAGAATGGTGAAAAACTGCATGTTTTTTGAAAGATTTTTTGGACCAACTGAGACTGGTATACAGGGTATACAGATTTAAAACTAATATATTGGCGTGTTGCCATGAAAAGCAGTTATTAACTTTTGAATGTAGTCAATTTCCAAAATATAAAATGTAACGTCTACAATACAGTCTAGCATCTAACCGCTTAGATTGGGACCAAAATGGTCCCGTCGGTAAAATGGACAAATTCATTTCAAGTCTAGTTATATAATGGTCCATTCATGAAATTAAGTGTGTGTACCTCCCCCATCTCAAAGGAATCACTGAAGTTCAACATAAGGTTATAGCTGTCTCAGGCTGATGCACATGATGACTTATCAGGTGTAACTACAACTGATTCCCTTGAGTAACCAGTTGAATAATCTACATACTACTATCTACATACTTACCTGTATTTGCAACACATTTCAAATTGAAATCTTATCATTACTTAAACAATATGCACAATATAAATTCAGATTAGCTAGTTTATTTTGTTTATTTTTACCAAGGGGTATGGATGAACTAATTCGATATCTAAATAAAATCTGTACTTAATATTATTTTTAAAAAAGGCATAAATATATCCCTTTTATTAGATTTCACAAATTGTGTATTGTTTATATAGTAATTTGGCACAAAATGAGAAAATCTAAGATTATGGAGAGAGTGATGAATTAGAGATTCTTCAGCTTGGACTTGGGGGGCTAGACCAAATTAACAGAATCAGTAATATGAATGTTAGCAATTATATTAGGCAAGAATAATGATCTGAATATTACTTAAGATGAAAGAAAGAGTTCTAGATTATATATACAAGAAACTATGTTGAACATGTTTGTTTTTCAAGTTATCAAAATGTAAAATTGGAGACATATCAGCTTTTTAAAACATATGAATTTCGTTATGAAATCATATATCTTAGTTTAAACAGAGACAAATAAAAATGTTTTATATGTCTCTGGTTAAAATTGTTTTCTGAACAAAACAGTAATCAGTTATCGGAAGAATACAAATTATTGTATGAATTTTGTGAGGAATTATGAATCCACTTATAAAGTTTGTAGATGAATATTACTATTCTTCTAACTTGAACTTAATGTCTTGATTTTAGAATTCACATTCATATTATGTTGTGTATGTTTCTAAAGGATTGGTATCGATATGGAGAACTTTTTGAACACACGTTTCTCTTTAAACCAGTCATAAAAAATCTAAAAATTTAAAACATCGTCAATTTAATGGTCATCTTTTGAATGGTAACAATATATTTTGAAAAATACATATATACTTTCATCTCTATTGTTTTAGAAAACACATCAAACTATTGTTTTGTTCTTGGTATCATGTTTCCAGAGTGAAATGAAACATCTTTCCGAACCTCATTGGAACAAAACGACATAAACATAACATGTTAAGGTCTCTCAATATTGTAATTGTATATGGTTGATTTTAGAAAAGTATCTTGTTAATGAAATATAAGTTTTATCTTGATTTTTATCTATTTTGAGGGGATTTTGTTTAATTTTTTGAATACTTTTTTAAAACCAACCAAAAATTCCTTTAAATAACTATAATATTGAGAGGTCTAAAAACATGTTGTGAATGCTATTTTGTTCCAACAAAGTTCGGAAAGACATTTAATTTCATTCTCAAGAATTGGTAGAAAGGAGCAAAAACAATTGCACTAAAAAAAACTAAAAATGTTAACAAAAACAGTTTTATAAAATATTTCTGAATAATTTTTGCATTAAATTGTTGTCAATCAGTCGACATTACATACAATACCGTGTTCTTTACAGAATGTTTTCAATGATTGGTTTAAGAGAAAAACATTGTTGAATTCAGTTCTCTATTTCGATATAAGGCTTCAACCTGCACTTAAATAAAATCTCCATTCTATCAATGAATATTTTGTATTCACTGGACCTAGTATGTGAGTTAAATATACATTACACACTGTATAAATTGTCTAAACTAAAATCAGTGATCCAAGTTAGTGAACAGCTCTGTATCTATATGATATCTTGCCTATTATATTCAATTTCTAAAGAAATGAGTCAATTAGTAGACACCCCAAATGGAAATTTAGTGCTGCCTCCTATAAACCAGTGTTGAACTATCTGATGCCCATCGGTTAGATGCTAGACTGAATTAGTAAAGTATACTAGTACGAGTATAAAATGTCTGCTATATACTGTACATATATACTGTACATATATACAAGTACCAACTGAGACTGGTATACAGGGTATACAACATTGTACATGAACATAATGATGTATATAAATGTGTATACATAGATAGAATATTTTGTTCATTGGACCAGATAGTGTGCAGAGAGTGTGACATTATGTGGTTTAATATTGATAAAAGTTTCCTTCAATACAATGTTACACTCTAGTGAATTATCTTTATGCACTAAACTGAAACGCCCCAATTACGAAACCACTTTTAAATGCATTTCGTAATACTAGTTCGTACTCAACTTTATATCCTGAGGCCCAGGAAAACGTTATAAAATATTTAAAAAGTCCCCTAGAAATTTTCGTCAACCTTTGTAAATTCATTATACAATTTAACATTCATACCAGCTCCCGTATTTGGTTCATGGTCATTCCAATAGACACCGTAGTCGTTGTGTTGAGATTCTTCACTGGCCTGACCTTTGGATCGTAACTGTTTTCATCGAACAGAGCCCTCGTCAGAGCTACCTGGTTTGACGCTGCCACTAAAATCAAACCATAGGATACAATTTTAACAAGCAGCTGATATGTTCAAGCCAAAGGTCCATGTGCAGTATGGCGAGTGATTTTAGACAGTCATATTTTTCACCATGAGTACTTTCTGGGCATATAAAAATGTCCAAAGGGGGTCCTAAACCATAACTTTTCCGAGAGGTGGATTGATATTTTTCTAACACGGGAACTTCACTCGAAAGAAAACATAATGTTTTTATTAAAAAACACTGTATTTATGGCTAGAAAGTACTTATGGTGAAAGATATGATCGTATAAAACCACTTGCCATACTGCACATGGACCTTTCAAAAGAAGGAATTCGATTCATGATTGTCAATTATATCAATGATATAATACATTTATATCGCCTTACCTTTGATGAAGAAGCATATTACAGCTAATGTAAACATCCAGTTCTTTTTTCTGTATTCCATTTTTCAGTATTTAATTCTATAACTTATATGTATAGTTCATTTTACACGAAACGATTCAAAACATTCATTTAACTTAAAGATCAACCTGACTAATACGAGCCTTGATTTTATCCTGACGTGCATGTATATATAAACTTTTCACTTCACTTAAGACTAACACGGCGTGAAAAGAAATACATTTGTGTTCAATGTTATCCTTTTAAGGTTAAGGATTGGGCATAGAAACTGGGCTGTAGCCAAAATTGACCTAACATATTCTGGTTTTATTTATTTAATCAACGTATGAATAAATAAATGTTTCGAGACTTGAGAATTAAATACGCAATGTCATTCAAAATGGAAAGTTCTGATTGGGTTATTTATCAATCAAAATGTTAATCCAGATTTCTGATTTATTTTAATCTGTAGCTTGTTATTTCTCTTCAAGAAATGGTGGAGCATTTGGAGCCTAGAAAGGACCAGGTTTGGTTTGGCAAATGATTTTAGACAGTCATATTATTGACCATGAGTATTACTTTCCCATATGATAAATTACAACATTTCACATCAAACAAATATGTTTTACCCTTTTAATTTCCCGGGATAATAAAAGTATCATTACGACTATAATTATTGCAAATATAGATTATACAGATCTATGACACTTCGAAAGAATATTGTCATTGGAAGCTTAGTCTGTGCTATACGGAAACAAGCGGTGTGGATATAATGTGAGCACGGTGCAGATATTAACGGTGATTTTTGAATTTGAATTCATGATATTTTACAAACTCAGGCATGTTGGGTACTCGATTATATACATGCATGTTTACATGATCCCTAATGATCTTTCATACCATACAATATGTACCCTTCAAATGGTCTCAACACAATTTCTATCAATTAAAACTATATGTAGTTATCTCTAGGAGAAGAAAGACATGTCTCCCTTGAATAATATAGCTTAACTGACCTCAGCTCCTTTTCAAAGCTGGCACAATATGCCTCAAAACATGTCATATAAGCCATAAATGACTGTCAATCTCAGATTGATTATTCAGGAAGGTGGAGGACATCAGGACAAGTCCAGGAAACCCTTGCTTTAAGTAAAAAAAACTGGAACATTTTTCCATCGATTGTTACTTTTTTGTTAGTTTAGTTTTAGTTTAATAATAGTTTATTTCTGTGTCACAGGTTTACTAAAATATTACAAGTAAAATACATGTATTAAAAAACCCAACAGCCGACATCGGCTTACGAGACACCATATAAATATACAAAGATAGTCAATAGAAAAATATAGCATCGGTATGTCGAATAATATCACAGAGGATGTAGAGTAAGTTTGCAGAGTGTGAACAATTCACAGACAAAATGACTAGAGTTAAATAACATACAATATAAACATGTGATTTCAAAATGCAATAAATGAGAATACAGTAATTATGACTGGTTGATAATATTGCACATATTTAATATCACAAACGTTCCAGGTTAAATAAACGTTTTGAGAACATTTTGTAAAGAGTAGCAGCAAGGCAGCTTTGAATGTTCTTTGCATGTAGTAATGTGATCATAATTAAGGTTGGATTGGCACTTGAAGTATTTAAATAAGGTACTTTAACTTTGGCTTCCTGATACAACATGTCTCTTAATTCTGTATAATGTGAACATTTAACAAGAAAATGTAATTCATCTTCAACTTCATTTGAGTCACACAGTTTACACTTCCTTTCCAATAAAGGTGTGTTATTATACCTTTGTGTCTCAACATTAAGTTGAAGGGACCCAGTTCTAAAGCTAGCTAGAGTTTTCCTATGATGTCTTGGCATGTAAATGTTATTATAATGTTCAGTTACTACTCCGTACTTGAACTGTCTATATGCCCTCAGTTTAGGCTTTGTATAAAAAACCTCCTACCCACGTACCCTCGTACCCACGTACGTGAGTCCTGACCCAGTCTTTAAAGAGTTAAATTATTAAATGTTTAAAACATTATTCAATCTCAGTTTATCCTGAATCATAGATGAATTTATGCATCCATATGCCTTTATTTATAGGTCTGACATCTCTCTAGTAAAATAAAATAAAGCCGGAATTGCATAAATGTTCATTATTTTTGAGCTAGGCCTATTTGATTTATGTTTTTGATATGTCGAAATGTTTTTTGTTGATCGGGCAGTCTTACCTGTATAACACATCAGTGCTGATTAGCAATCTCCTAGCCTTCGTTCAGTGCAATCCGTGCCTCCTGTTACCCCATGCAGATTGTAAATGTCCCGGGAAGTTTACCCTTGTCCAAAAGTTGACATCTTTTTAAAAATATATTTCTTAGAGTTTCCAACCAATTAAATTCACCACATTTTATTAGATGTTTATTTCAAATGTTATTAGAATTCATTCTTACGAATATTATACGTTATTAACGTATGTTAGTCAAAGATTTGGTGTCGTTGTTGTCCATTGTATTCACGTTTTACGCGCAAAAAGCTAGAAACTACAAAGCTGAACTTTTATCATTCAAACCAGTTTTACATCAAATCATTGTCAAAATAAAACTCTACTCTTCATATTACCTAATTATGGATCAAACGGCCATGAATAATGTCGAAGTTTACAAAACCAAACTTACACTCCCCTGCATAAGTTTGGCAACTCTAACTTTTAATTCCATCTAAATGATTCACTGAACTAGTGCGCACAATTATCCTTAAATTGTGCCAAAAAGCGATTAAAAACGAATATAGCGAATCCTTCTACTTTTCAAATATTTCGTTATTAGATTATTCATGTTATTTACCTAATTTTGTTGCATTCGTCTATTAGGCTTCCATTGCGGTGCAAGTAATTTCGATTTGCATTCTCCTGACTGGAGTACAAATGTAAGAAATGGGAGGAAGTAAATGTTTCCAAACCCTTTTCTTGCAACTTTGCAACTTTTCAAGTGTGAACACAAGAAGGCAACAGTCGGACACGACGGACTGTGCTACTTGAACGGCAGATCTGCATGAGCTTTTACTGTTTAGGTAAGTTATGTAGAACTTAAAGGTACGTATCACACTACCCTGCCCCTGCCATCAAACTGTAGGCTAGCCTTTATTTCTTCAAAGGGTGCTGCAAAGAGGTTACAAACTGTGGAGAACGTTTGTTTATTTCCATATTTCTGAAGGTACAGTATATTAGATTTAAGCTACATATATTCCAAGTGTTCTTCCCTGCATTACATAGATTCATCGAGCAGTTTGCAAGGTGGCAGAAAAGCCCCATGGATAACATTTGCAAATTCACTTCAGTCTGTAATTAATTTTAAGAAATACATGCTACAGTATGGCGGAGGACAGTGTTTTATAATGTGTTACCTTGTTTACTACGCCAGCATCTTTTGATGCCATGGTCACATTTGCCCCGATTTTCAGCACCGGCGCCCGGCCAATGAGTATTTTGTTCAAAAGTGAATTCAATTCTGAACGAAATACTCAATCGGCCGGGCGCCGTAGTGAAAATCGAAGCAAATGTGACCAAGGCATAAGCAACCCTATCCATTCATAATAGATCTGATTTTCCTAAGACCTGTAGATAAGGAGTTTGTTGTCCGGGTGCCCGCTATAAAAAACAGCTACTCCATAGTAAGATAGTGTTCCTAGTAAAATTAATGATGATTTGAACAAAGATGTATTGACTTCAGACGGGGCTACAGGTATGCATTATTGCCATTATTGACTTTATATGGGGATATCATAATATTCAAAGCCAGCATTGATATTTATTTGGCTGTAGTGAGATTCAAACTCAATAAAACGTGGATCTGCGCATCGATCTTTGTAACGTTATTTAGATTGTCATAGATATAATTACACTTCATTTATACAAAATTCTATATACATTATGGTAAAGTAAAAGGTATAGGACTATTAAAAGTATGACTGACAAAAATACTAAATATATGCGCTTGGTCGAATTTGCGCCAAGCAATAGATTCGTTGTACACTGTAAGACTGCCCGATCAACAAAAAATCGCTTCGATATATCAAAAACAACACTCAAATAGCTCAAATGAACATTATGCAATGCCGGCTTTATTTTATGACGAGACAGATGTCCGATCTAGAAATAAAGGCATATAGGTACATAAATTCATCCATAATTAAGCATACATTGAGATAGAATAATGTTTAAAAAATGTTAAAGATTTAACTCTTTAAAGACTGGGTCAGGACCCACGTACGTGGGTACGAGGGTACGTGGGTAGGAGGTTTTTTATACAAAGCCGCTCAGTTTATTACCATTGACTAGGTTATGTTGATCATTCCAAATATTTGTAAGAAATGGATCAGTTTGTTGAAAATAATCACTAATTTTTTTCATGAAGGGTTTACATGGGGTTTGTGTCCCTAAATGTTGTTCAAGGCCTGCTAGTTGTATTATGTGCTGTGTTCTGGAATCCCAGCTTGAGCGTCTTTTTAGAGACCATTTGTAGATATTATGGTTCAATCTGTTGGGGTTCATGTTTCTGAGTCTAATAAGGTGGCGTACACATTTAATTTTCTGTTTATCCTTTGCTTGTGTCCAGCCTAAATCCCCTCTTACTGCTTCATTGCTGGTCTTTGCTCCAACACCCAGGAAAAATTTTCCAGCTCTATTTTGCACTTTGTTAATACAGCTATGTTCTGACAGCCCAACAATTGAGCATCCATAGTTAATAATAGGCTGAACCTTGGTGTCATACAATTTGTTATACACTGAGAGATCCATGCCACCTAACTGTTTATACTTAGAGATTATAACTCCAAGGGCACGATTTGCTGACTTGGCTATTTCTTTTGCAGTTTTATTGTAATTGATATGTTCATCTAACCAAGGTATTTATAGGTGCTGGCATATGATAATTCCATGTTGCCACAGTTGAATTGATGATTACTACGGGGTTTTGAAGGTGGGCGATAATGTAAAATTTTGGACTTTCTCTGGTTGATTTTCATTCTCCACTTCCTGCACCATGTATTTACAGTGTCAATCATTCTCTGAAGGTCTTCTGCAGAGCTGGCTATGAGGGCTATATCGTCAGCATATAAAAGTATTGAGACATTTGTGTTGTCTATATTTATCCCATAGTTCAATTGTTTTACTTCAAGGAACTTTGTAAGGCGCTTGTTATGAATATCACAGTATATTTTACATGGCACTGAGATTAGGCTGATTGCTCTGTAGT